CCGGAGGGAAGACTCGGGGTGAGAGATCGAGGGCTCGATAAAGCGGACACCTCCGGGCCGCGTCCACGAGGTCGGGGTCGGTGATCCCCCGCAAATTTGAAACGATCCCAGGTCCCGGGATTACATCTCCCCCGTCCAGAGATGCCCGCGGAAAGTTCGACGATCCTCCGGGAAACTCGGGGGGCGAATGACGGAAAGTTCCCGGATAGAGAGGACGGGCCGAAGTTCCGACGACTTCTTGCCTTTTTTCGCCGCCGGGTCCTAAAGTCGGCGTCTAACTTGCGCCCCCGACGATCCCCGTCTATTACCGGTAATATTCAATGGGATTCCTTCCATTTTCATGGGGAGGGGTGAGTAACATCTTGCTGTCGGTACTTACCGCGGAACGGGGCTCGAGAAGTTCGCCCTCGCCGAATGGATTATTCTCCTCTCCCCATTTTCCACCGAGGTGCGAAGAGACCCGCGACCCCCCTCGGCCTGAGAAAATGATTTCCCGATAATCGCGCGGGCTCGATTCATTTTTTCCCCCCTCCTCCCCCTTCGCATCTCGGCCTCAAAGCCGCGATGACTCGCAAGGGGAATAAAGATTTTCCGCGTTTCGAGAAGAACGGAAACAAGTCGCCGGACTCCCGGAGGGGTATTAGCGATTTCCACATATTCCGGGCTCGTTCCAAACGCGATCCCCGGCTGGGGGGCCAAAGACATCAGTGGAAGATTCATAACGGCCCGAATATCCGATCGCGACCTCCCGCGTACCCCGAAAAGGAAAAAAAGAAATTAATCGAGTCCGTCAAATCCGTCCTGTATTAAATAAAAAATCGCCGCGACAAGTCGACCGGAAGTTATAAAACGGTCACGCGACATTGGCACGGGCCGGCGATCGATGGGACACCGCGGGTATTTTAAACGAGTGCAGGCGAGTGCACGCGACTGCATACAGATGTATACGGTTGCATACGATTGCCTACAGTTGCACGCGAGTCGACAAGCGGCATCCCTCCTCCCCTACGAGGGGGTGCAATTGACCGACCACAAGAGGTGCAAAGCCGACAAACGCGGCCAGGGATGACCGTGAAAAGTCGGAAGTTCCCGGTGGGAAGCACTTTGCTCTTTACGGGGTGCCCGTCGACGGAGTTCCATCAAGGAGAGAGAGGGAGGCGTTAAGTATCGCCGGGAAGTTTCTTCGGGGTTGGAGAAAGGGGGAGGGGTTTCCGCAGGTATTTGTAAGGGTAAACGCTCCCCTTTATGCGGCGAATAAACCGAACTCGCTACGGGACCCCGTCCTTTCCCCGTTTACTCGGAACCTACCTCGCGAAAGCCCCAGGATTTTTCCGACACGCGACTTCCGCCCGGAAGTCGGGATTTCCGGGCAGAGGCTCGGAGCCAAACTTTTCCCACCCGGGACGATTTGGAGGACGAGGAAAGAAGGGCGCGGCGATAAGGGCGACGAGAGGAAAGAACGATAAGAACGAAAAGAGAGCACCGAGATGAGGCGACAATCGAGGGGAACGGTGGTCCAATCTTCCTCGGGTATATTCTTCATTAGGAAGTGGAACTTTGGGACCAAGGATCTCGTCCCCAGGCTCTCGCTCGAAATTTCGGATGACAGCGGTGCACGAGACGCACGGTTTGCGAGCATTTCCCGCAAGTTCCTCCGAGGAAGCCGCGAGAGTCAATGCATTACCGGTCCTTAGTCGGCGGACTAAGTGCGTGTGCTCCCTCTCTCCCCCGAAGTCGCGTCAACTCATTGTCCAACTATCGCAGACGAAATCCCACGTGGAGAAGACCCGGTCCTGGGAGGAGCTCCGCACCTCTCGCGGTGCGCTTTGCACCGGTGCCCGAATCGCCGGGATTAGACGGAACGGGCCGCATAACGAAGGCATCGGGCTCATCTCGGCGGCCTACCACCCTATTTCTCAATTTTTCAATAACAATTTATGCATCCAGGCCTTCTTCAAAGACCGAGTCCCTGCACGCGATGCGCTCTCCATATTCCTCCCCCGTTTATGATAATTCCATCAAACATTTGCCTCGTCCATTTTTTCTTTTATTTTATAGTTTTGCGCGGCTCGTCTTTTCCGCTCTCTCTTCCTCACGAGCTCGTTCACTCGCTCGACATAAATCACCGGGCACGAGATCATTGTCGAGCATTGAAAGCGAGCTGACGAACGTCCCCGTCGACGGGCCTAGTGTCATCGGTCTCGTTCTCCGGGCGTCGTCCTCGTCGTCGACGTCTCCCGTCGAGAGGAACGTCGGCCGCAATTTGTTCGCACCGACGTGCGTACCGATCCTCCTCCCCCGCGCGCGGCTATAAATAAATTCTTCAACGAGAACCGGCCCGAGGAATTGCGTCGACGGGGGCGTCGATTCTCGCACCTACGCGTGCGCGTTAATATCATCAATTATTCCACGTCACGCCATTTATCCGGGCATGAAACAAAGATCGGATTACAAAACGTGTGAATTTCTCAGGAATTTTCAGGACAGACTTCGACTAATTCCCGAGCGCGCGTTCGATTATCCGCGGCCTCGAGTGAGCGTTTCCGCGTCAAGCTCGAGGCCGAAAACAAGGTAAAAAATCGCTCCCGATAGAAAAGAGGGAATAAAAAAAGGGGGGGAAAAGGCCGTGCCAATTACGCCCCGGGGGCGGTTTTCCGCGGCATTTTCGCGCCCGTTTCAGCGGGGGCGCTGATCCTTACGCGAGTCCCGTTTTGTCCCGTTTTGTCCCGCGACGGGAAAGGTCCCGGGTACACGGGGGATTGAATTAAAATACGTCGAAAAAGGGAGACTCCCGTGTATACAGGTATACAGGGGCAGCCAATTAGTAGGGATGTTCCGGGCCGATCCACGGGGCGTTTTTCTCCGGTACGCGATACTTCGATCCGCGTATACAGGGTGAAACGACAAGGGTGACGGGACGGAAAGCCGACCGTCCCCCGTAAATCACGACGCATTCATCGTGCATCGGGACGAAAAGCCGCATAATCGACACGAGGGGTAGGAGGAGAGGAAGGGAGGCCAAATGGTCGAAATCTGCGTTCGCTCGGAATCGGGCGGAAGGGTGTTCCGCAAAACCTGAAACGAGGAGAGTAGGTGCGGGATATCCGCGCGGCAACGTTCAAATTCACGCACACAGTCGGGATGAAGTCGAGGTCGCGGAATTCGTCGATCGAGGTGAACCCACGCTCGCGATAGGAATTCCACCCTCCTCCTTTTTTTGACTTTATCCCTGCAGGAATTCTTTGTAAGCGCGACCACATCGCGCAATTAAGTTCCTCGAATTTTTCAAGCCCCCGAAACGGGCCGCAAGAATTTTTCCCCCGATTTGTAAAGAAAAATCTCCAAGGAAGGGCTTCGTTTGTGTCGGGCGGATTCGCGTCGCGCAAAGAGGGTTGATTCTCCCCCAGAAAGCGAAGATCCGAGGAGGGGGGAGGGGGGAGGGAGGGAAAGACAGAAAGGAATTTTTCCCTTATGTTAGGAGGATCCATCCCCGAGACATCCGACCCCGGAGCACGTCGATGGGATCCTGAGATCCCGAGGGCAACTTCGGGGATGCGCGTTCCCGTAAACACGCTCGGCGAAATCCGTAACGGGGGGAAGGGGCCCCCTTTCAATCCCGAGGAAGGTGGCCCTCTTAAAAGCGAGCGATGGCGCGGAAAAATGCAGCTCCTCAAAGGAGCCCTACCTCGGCTCCTTCGGTCCTCTGCATCCCGCTGCATCCCGCTGCATCCCGCTGCATCCCAGAGAGCGACCCAATCTAAGAAGGACCTTCTGCCCCCTCCCCGCTCGAGCTGTTAGAAACCCCGCGCCCCAACACCCCAATGCGCGTGTAAGCCAAACCGAAGAGAATGCAACGTGCCTCCCGGCGAGAAATCCAGGTCCAGGTGTTGAATTAGACCGATCGCCTCGTTGTGCAAGGAATTCTGCTCCGTAGTGCAATATCGAAGAAGAAAAAATGAGGGGGCATTGCAGCTTCCTTGGGACGAGGAAGAAGCAGGAGAAATGAAACGAGCCTTCCGAAATAAGCCATCCCTCTCGAACCACCCCCTCCTTGGCCGCATGAATGGGATCCGCGGCCCGCGATCTCGAACGGAGAACACGGGGTGGAATTAGTTCGTTAAAAACTACCAATTATTTCCCCGGGCCCTTGTTAGCGAGGGCTAATGAAGCTCTTTAATTACGCCGAGAGTACGTTTCGCTGTTTCCGCACCGACACGGAAATTTCTGTAATTCGACCCGCGAGGATGCCACGGCGTTTTATGGGAGCCACCCGTGGTGGGTGCTATCGGCGAGTCCCACAAAAGAGCAGCGTGGAAGGTGACTAAATTCTCCCCTCCTCCCGGTCGCGCCTCCGGGGGGTCGCCGCGAATACCTCGGCTAAGGGTGGGAGAATTTTAAGACAAAAGTTTCGGGACATTTTCCACCGCGGGGAGACGGAGCTTTCTGACAAAAGACGAGACCCCGTCAGGGTGCGCAACGGGGCGTGAGAAAAATGGGGAAAAAAAAATAAAAGAAGATCCGCGACCTTTGCCCGAGCTTGAATAATTTGTGAACGGAACGCGTAGAGGTCGGGGTAACGAGCACTCACCGGCGACGAGGAGAAGCCGGCCGGCAGCGGGGCTGAAGATCGCGAGTCAACCGGCACGACCGTGGCTGGAGCCTGCACCTCGGCGACGCAACCTCCGGGACTAACTGGCTGCGAGTTCACTTCCCGTGGACCGTGCCCGGAAACTGCTGGAAACCGAAAACGATGCGTAGCCCGTCGCGTCCAAAATGTAACTTGAACCGGAGCCCGCGCTTTACTGGCGATTGCCGGCAATTGCCGGCGCCGGGATGGTGGGGAGCCGGAGCTTGGGGCGCCGTCCGAAAGATGACGACACCCAACGAGCGCGGCATGGGGAAAGAAGGCGGACGCCGCTACGACGCCGCGAAGTAGTTCCCGACGCGTCCGGCAGATGTTGCCATGTACGTAAAGAATATTAGTAGACGAGAGACACGTCTCTAGAAATCTTTGTCTGTGGGGGATTTCTCCGCTTATGCGTGATAGGTCCCACTGGAATCGAGACCTCTTTTTCTGCCTCGATTCCTACGAGGTAGGTGAATCGTCTTTAAACGGTAATCCGCTTCGGACAGTGGCATCTTAAATTGTTTCTATTCGGAAATTCCATATTTCGCCAGTCTGCATTTTTGTAGACAAAGTGTTACTAAGGTTTTTCATTGAAAAGGAATCGCGTCGTGGAAAACGAATGGTTTATAACCTTTCCAGACGTCACCACATTGCTGCTTTGTTAAAATTACTATATAATAATTATATAGAGCGGAAGTATAAAAGATGCGTAAATCATGTGTATAAAGACACTTGTTCAAAATATCTAAAAACCGCTTTACGTTACAGTATTCATAACGTCGCGCGGAGTTTTTATCTGGGGACTGATTTTGCAGTACATCGACATACATAGTTTTTTGTTCTATTCCAGGTAGTCATAATGGGGGCGTATAAATATATGCAAGAATTATACCGGAAAAAACAAAGCGATGTTTTGCGATTTCTTCTTCGGGTTCGATGCTGGCAATATCGACAACTAACGAAGATGCATCGTGCACCTAGACCCTCGAGACCCGACAAGGCAAGGCGACTTGGCTATAAGGCTAAACAAGGTATGCCGTGACTAAGGAATGTTCTCAAATTAATTCGCTTGCATGACTCTCATGAATAATTAATGAAGTGAACATACTTTTCTCTTTGCATTTAGGTTTTGTTATATTCAGAATACGCGTTCGACGAGGTGGTCGTAAACGGCCAGTACCTAAAGGTGCTACTTATGGCAAACCAAAAAGTCACGGAGTAAATCAGTTGAAACCAACAAGGAAGCTACAATCCGTTGCCGAGGTAATATGTTTAAGTTTATGCTTCGAATGATGCGTAGCTACCCAGTAAGACCATTTATGCTTTTTTTGAATAGTAGTAATTGCATCGATTATTGAAATATCGATATTTATGAAATATGTCATTCGGTACAATAGCCAATATAATGCTTACTTACCATTACTTGGAAATTGACGCTTTATTCTTAAACCGATGTCAAAATGTTTCATTATAATTTATTAAAACCTATGATGACAAAGAGTTCAAAACCTTGAATCTAATGATTACATATTCCTTGGATGTCTGATTATTGGATAACACGCAGCATCAATGTTTATATAAACAAAAACGGTGGCCTAATCGCAAGGTCCTCTGTTTTAGGAGCGCGTTGGGCGAAGATGCGGCGGACTGCGAGTTCTCAACAGTTATTGGGTAGCACAGGATTCGTCTTACAAATACTACGAAGTTATTCTGCTGGATCCCGCGCACAAGGTCAGTTCATGCGACAAGAAATATATATTTATGAATAATACCAAATTAAAAATGCTGTTTCTCTAATAAGAAGGAGCCAATCGCGCTGTTAAAGTTGGCACGCTTTACCATTGAAATTGATGTCATTGCAGTAGCTGCTATGATATCGATTTGAAATAATAAAAAATATGTAACGTTTTATTTTTATTTTTGACCTCAGGCTATTCGAAACGACGCAAAACTGAATTGGGTATGCAACGCCGTTCACAAGCATCGCGAGCTTCGAGGAAAGACGTCCGCGGGAAGGAGCTCTCGAGGATTGGGCAAGGGTCATCGCTTCTCGCAAACGATCGGAGGTTCTCGACATGCCGCTTGGCTCAGGAGAAATTCTTTATCATTGCGTAGAAAGCGATAGACGCGGGTACCGTTCTGCAAACGATACCGATCACTCACCGTTACTGCAAATAAAAATTAAGTTCAAGTACGAAACGGCAGGCGACCTTTGGATACTCGAGGTTTCGATTTCGGTTGTCCCATCGACTACGAAGAAACGACATTTTTCCATCGTTACAGCTTGTAAGCGGTAAACGCCCGTTTTTATGCAACGGTGTCATTCATTGACCAATCGATACGGAGAATATCGAGAAGGGGTTGGACCGAGGAAGTCGCTAATTGATCGGGAGCGTCATCGTTAACGTTCTCGAACAATTGGCAAGGTATGAAAAATTCGGGTAACGCCACGTCCAACGTCCAACGTCCTCGGGGGAGGCGGGTTTATTTCGGTTCGCGGCATCCTTCTCGAGGGTTCGCGTGGGCTTAGGACCGAGCGGGGTATCCCCTCAGGTATTCCTGGATCCCCCGCGCGCGCTATCGACGCGGCCGCTGGAGGTTCCTCGGAATCGAGTCGCGCATGCGCCCGGCCCGGAGGCACGGCGTCTGCGCCCGATCTCCACGCAGTGCCGACGGGCTTCGGGTGGTTTCGGGTCCGATCTCCTCGAAGGCGACGCGACGCGGTCCGACGGTCGAGGAAGCCGCCGGCCGGGGGATATCGATGAGACGGTCGATCGGAAACCGAGCCTCGCGGGCCGCGAGGGTCCCGCGATGACCCCCGGGGGCGAGGTGGACGGCACGAGGTAAGGATGGAGGACGAGCTGCGATGCCCCGCGTGCAAGAGCCTGCTGAGCGAGCCCGTGCTCCTGCCCTGCTGGCACGCGCTGTGCCTGGCGTGCGCGGTCAACCTGCAGGCGCCGCCGGACCCGCTGCCCGACTCCGCCCCCAGCTCCGACCAGGAGGCCGACAAGCTGTCCATCCTCTCGGAGACGGACTCGGGCGTGGTCTGCGGCAGCGGCTCGCGCCCCGGCAGCTATGTCGGCACGCCGGCCAACGGCACTTCCCCGCCGTCCGGCGGCACGCTCTACCTCTGCTGTCCCGTCTGCCGGAAGAACGTCTTCTTCGACGAGGGCGGCGCCTACAACCTGCCCAAGTACCGCGCGATGCGGCGCATCGTCGACAAGTACCGGGAGACGCGGAGCGCCCACCCACTCTGCCAGATGTGCGAGACGGAGCCCGGCGAGGCCACCGTCGCCTGCGACCAGTGCGAGGTGGGTCCCCCGGCCCCCGGCCCCCGGCCCCCGGCCCCGGCCCCGTCTGCCACGGACTAACACCCTCTCATCGTCCCCCGTTCCAGATCCGCTACTGCGACGCCTGTCGGGAGTCTTGCCACCCCAACCGCGGGCCGCTGGCGAGCCACAACCTGGGCCCCCCCGGCCCCGGAAGTCAGCGCGGCGCGGGCCCGGAGCCCTCCTGCGCCTGCGCCTGCCCCGACCACGGGGGCGAGACCCTCGGCCTCTACTGCGCGCCCTGCAAGCTCGCCGCCTGCTCCCTCTGCGTCCGGGACCGGCACGCCGCCCACCCCCGAGACGTGCTGCCGTTGGCGGCCGCCTGCAAGACGCAAAAGGTGCCGCTCCTCCCTCGGACCGGCCCTTGTCGCCCCACGACCACCGTCTGTCGTTCCGCTTTCGTGTTGCAGACCGAGCTGTCCCAGAACCTGCAGCACCTCTCGGAGAAGGCTCGCTCCACCACCGAGTTCATTCAAAGGCTCAAGGGGCTGACGGACAGAGTCCACGTAAGTCTCCGAGTGCGCGTCGCTCCTCCCGACCGACCGACCGACCGACCTCGCTCGCCCGTTTCAGGAGGAGTTCGTCGTCGTGGAAGAGGAGATAGAGCAGCGGGTCGCGGCGCTGGTGGCTCTGCTGCAGAGCCGAAAGGACCGGTTGCTCGACGTGGCGAGGCAGACTCGCGAGGCTCGCGTTCGCTGCCTCAGGGATCAGGTGTCGAGATGCGCCGCCCACCTTCAAGGAACGACCTCCCTCCTGACCTTTTGCATCGAGGCGTTGAAGGAGACCGACGGCACGGCGTTCCTGCAGATCGGTGGAATGCTCTCCGCCAGGGTCGCCAACGCCGTCGAGTCCTGGGTGGACGCCGTCGGCATAGAGGAGCTGACTCGCCTCCCGCTTCTGGACTTCACCCTCGACGACCAGTCCCTGAGGCGGGCGATCGACCAGCTCGCCTTTACTCGGATTAAACGTGAGTACGCCCCGCGCGCCTCGGTACCGCTTCACACTACACGACGTTGACCTCTTGGACGCAGCTTCTCAACGAGAAGACGAATGTCCCGTGCCAGGTAATTGACTCCGAGTACCGGTCGGTACCTGGTCGGCGGTAATCGTCCTCGTGCGTCCCTGCCCCGGCCCCGGCCCCGGCCCCGGCCCCGAGACGTTTACCGTTCCGAACGTTCCGTTTTAGCACCTGCCGCCCCTCTTCTGATCCCGGAGGAGTGCAGCGCGGAAAATAACAGCGTCACCGTCGCTTGGCAGCCCCCGCCGAGTAACGCGAGCGGATGCGACCAGAGGTGCCCCGACGTCGATGGCTACCTCCTCGAGCTCGACGATGGCCGTGGCGGAGATTTTAGAGTAAGCCTACGATGCGCGCCCGTAACGCTCGACGGCGGATACCTTCGGTACGGGTCTTCTCTTTTCTCCTTAGGAGGTGTATTGCGGTCGCGAAACCATGTGCACCATAGACGGTTTGCACTTCGATTCCTTGTACAAGGCCCGCGTCCGCGCTTTCAACTGTGCCGGAGAAGGCGAATACTCCGAGCTGATCGGATTGCAAACGGCGGAAGGTGGGTATCCCTTCTTTGGGCACGCCTTCGTGGTTTCGACATCTCCAGCAAAGTACGCTTCTTCCCGCAGTTGCCTGGTTTTCTTGGAGCACCGCCACTGCGGGAGTCCCGCAGGAAGTCAGCGTTTCCGACGACGCCATGAGCGTGTCGTGTGCGGGTTACGAGCATCGCGTTATTTTGTCGAACATCGGGTTCTCTCGCGGAGTGCATTACTGGGAGATGACGGTGGACAGATATCACAGCGATACCGATCCAGCGTTCGGCGTCGCTAGAGCGGAAGTCACTCGCGATCAAATGCTCGGTAAGCCCACGGCTCGCGGAGCAACTCGTTGAATCGTTTTCATTTCAATTTCTATTCTATTCCGTTCGATCGGTAAGCGAAAGGAAGCGAGAAACCGAAGGAACGAACGCGTCGTTGTTCCAGGCAAGGACGACAAAGGCTGGAGCATGTACATCGATCGTCAGCGTTCGTGGTTCATGCACGGCGGTGGACATGCCCAGAGGACGGAAGGCGGCGTTCAACAGGGTTCCACCGTGGGCGTCCTCTTGGACCTCGAGACCGCCCACACCCTTCAGTTTTTCGTCAACGATCAGCCCCAAGGTGGAGTCGCCTTCCGTGACCTCTATGGGATCTTTTACCCCGCGGTCAGTCTGAACCGAGGAGTTTCCGTCACGCTTCATACCGCTCTCGAGGTTCCCAGACGTCTCGTTGCCCGCGAGAATTACCCGGGCGAACTCTTACAAAGTTAGGAACACTTGGGCGTTACAAGGAAGGATCTTCTTCGTACCCCGGGCTCCGTTTCGGGGCGATCTCTCGATAAGCTAAAATAATTAAGGAAACTTAGTGAAATAGACTCGTTCGAGAGCGTTTACATAGCGTCCACCTCAAAATCGCGACATTTCATTCTTGCCCGACCGCGTACGGCTCTTCATCATCAAGTTGCCATTGCGATATAAAGTGGAGGACGGACTCGGCTCGGCTTTTTTTTTTTTTTTTTTATCGTACAACGGAAATCGTCAAAGCTCAAGTCGTATACTTCGGACCGATAAAGGTCGGTCGAGTATGCTTGTATGTATGTACGTCCGTTTGCAAATCAAACCGAGCGTGCATTTGCATGACTTTCTTCCTCCCAATTTCGATTCCATTAAAAGTAGTACATGTTTTTAACGTGCATTAATGCCTCATATTCAATGCTAACTGTATACGTTCGTCATCGTTTCGCACGGCTAAGGGATACGCACGATGTAATAAATTTGATTCTACCTATTTGTCTCCTCGTTCCGCAGCAAGGATTTGGATTCAATAATCATTCGGCTTTGTACCCTCGACAGGTATTGGCTGATACTCGAGCGAGTCCGAATCCAATATCCCCCCGTAGACTTCTCCGAGCCCAACCACAGAATGCAGACCGTATTCTTTGGTGGAACTCGCCATTTTCCCGACCGAATTAAGCGTTGTAAATGTAAGCCATTTCTACGCTTTGCTCCGTTCTCCGGTTGTTCCGTTTCAATCTGCTTTTAGATTCATCGTATCGCCACGAGTACATTTCACCTGTTTTTATTTAGTACTTCGCGGTACTTTGTCCATTCAAATACAGCTGCGTCGACTGTAGCACGCATTTGATAACTTACAGTTACAATGCAAACGAGAAGTGCAAAGTACATAGCGTCGCGTCGAGTCACATCACGAACGCTCACGTTATCGTGTCAACTCACCGAGTTTTCTTAGAGTACTCCCTTTTCTCCGTTTCGTTTTTCCCTTGTCCCTTTTGTGTATGAGTGGGCGCTCGCAGGTCGGGGCATTTTCAAGATTTTTTTATACCAACACATAACGGTTATCGAACATGGGCTTTCGCCAATCACCTTTCTAAACATAAGAGATTTACCTTCCCTTTTATACGCCTGCGCCGCCAACTATTTTCAAATACTAATAAACTATATTTAATCAATTTAAATACTTCGTACGTTTTTATATCACTAAAATCCTGAATAATACACGTACGTATCGTTAAGGTACTTTTCATTATTACTAACATATGCATGCGGGGGATTACCTTGAAAAACTAATATTTTTAAAAGAAAGCAAGAACCTAAGTAAATTTGACGACCCGTGATAATGCTACATTGCATCAAAGTAGTTCTTTATACGCTTTGTGGAGTTGATCGCAATTTCGTTAACTCTCGTAAATCACTGCTATTTACAGCGACGTGTTAATAGTAATTTTTCTCCTTGACGAGATAAGTCCTTGCACGATATCAATTCGTGTTCCACGCATTGACATACATTTTCCATGGAAAATGTGCATCTTAAGAACGTGCAATAATCCCATTAAACACAAGTGATTTATTTCATGATGATATCCAAACGGTCAGAATATAAAGATGCCCCACTTAGAAACGGAGTCGCTTGAAGAAATACCGGTAAAGATTCTCTCGCAATTTTGTCTAAACCTTTCCTTTCCGAGCCCTTTACGTTTGGAGGTTTTGCAGTAAAAAGAAAATTCAAGTACGGCGCATCCTCTATCGTATAAACGTACGCGTAAGAGCGCACATCGCACACAGGTGTTGGTTATTCGAGCAAATGAACCGTGGTCTGTCGTATAGTGTGACTTTCCCCTTCGAGTGATTACATATTAAGAAACGCGAAGAATCATTGGCATTAACGATGTAAATCATTCAAGGTACCGCTGGCTGCACCCACCGAAGATCGATTCGATCGATATGATCGTCATGATGAAATACCGACATGTTATATTCGTTACAATGTGCGTGCTACAAAAGTGACTCAACCAGACCGAAATAATAAAAGTGAAAGTAGACATGTTCAGAGAAGTTCGAGTCTAAGTTTCTTAAATTAATGCGTGGCGCACTGTACGCGGGAAGGACCTCCTTCGTCCTCCTCGTACGCCTGCCGAGTATCTCTCCGCCTAGCCTCCTGTTCGGGATCTAAATCGGTCAGATAGCATTCCTCCGCTCCGTCCGGAATGATGACCTCCTCCCTGCGCGGTAGACATTGCTCGAGCGCCGGTATCACCGTTGGATCGATCGTTTGAGGGAAATTTACGATGAATTGAATGACGAGCCGCCCGCGCGTAAACGGATCCTTGTACACGGGCATTCCCTCGTTCAATATACATTTCAAGTCCCCGTGTTTCGTTATTACGCCGGGGAGCGAAGTTACCACGAGGTTCCTACCGTCCAGACTTCGTATTACTTTCTGGAACCCGCAAAGGCTTTCGATCAGTCCTAAATGCATGCGCATTATCAGATCGCATCCGGATCGCCTAGAAAAATAGAAGAACGAGCGTTTCAACCGTTACCGACCAGGCGCGACCGCGTCCACGTGGCAACGCCTCGAATGACCGAAGTACTTACTTGAAAACTTCGTGCTCCTTCTCGTCCAGAACGATGACGATGTCCCCGGCCTCCAGATCCGGCTCCTGGTCTCCCTCGCCGGTAAAGACGATCTTTTGCCCGTCCATCATACCCTTGTCGATGTTGACCTCCAAGATCTTCCTGTCCCTTATCGTTCTTCTGCCGTTGCACTGTTTGCAACGGTCTCGCGGATTGATGCGCTGACCCTGTCCTTTGCACTCCGAGCACATCGACTGCACCTGCTGGATCATTCCCGGACCCAACTGATTGATCTGCACTTGCAGGCCGGAACCGCCACACTGGAGACACTTTTCGACCGAACCCTTCTTGCCGCCTACGCCTGTTTAACACGCAATAGGCAATAGTACGTCGTATACGGCTCGAACGAAACGTAATCAAGGAGAGTACCCAGTATCCGCTCACCTTCGCATTTATCACAGATGACGTTCTTTTGTAGCGCAAGTTTTCGTACCGTTCCGTTGTACAGTTCCTCCAGAGAAACCGACAGCTGGTGGACTACATCCTGACCCTTGCGACCTCGACGCCGATTTCTCCCCAGACCTCCGAAGAAGACGTCGAAGAGATCCATAGGAGAGGTGAACCCACTCCCTTCCATTCCGCCCTCTTTCAGAGCCTGCTCGCCCCCTTGATCATAAATGCGCTTCTTTTCCGGATTGGACAAGACTTCGTAAGCTTGCGAGATTTGTTTGAACTGGAAGCGAAACGTAATCGTTACGTTCGGTGTCACGTATCCGGAACAACGTACAACAACGGCGGCGTAATCAAACCACCGCTCTTTCTCTAATTAATTGAAATCGGTACTCTCCCAAGTTTCCAAGTAAGGTTCACGCGTGGCGCGGTTATTACTAACAACGAATGACAAATTAACTTACCCGGTCGCCTTCATTGGGATTTTTATCCGGATGATACTTCAAGGCAAGCTTTCTGTATGCTTTCTTAAGGTCATCGGGCGAACAGCCTGGTTTTACCCCCAACACGTCGTAGAATGTAGTTTCCTTTACCATTTTCTTTCACGGGTCTTCTTCTCCGCAGTGATAACTAACTGTCGTATCCTGCCGTTAAAGAACTACCTGGAATAATACGTCGTTAGCTGTTAATTATGTAATTACATGGAAATGCATTTCGAGCCTCTCTTGGGAACATCGTTTTTGTAAATTTTCGTTTTATCTACATTCATTGAACGAACGTTCAGGCGGTGGAGCAACTTTCGTCATCCTTTTCCTTTTCCAAGCCATGGCGAGCCAAGTGTTGACGATTTCAGCAAAAGTTTATATACACCACGTGAGTTATTCCAGGATACGGATCCCCGATTTTTTTGGTCCAAGAACCAATAGTTAGTACATAAATAGTGAAGTCGATAACTTAGAACGCAGCGACATTACGTCTGGCGTTCCCATTTCATCACAGGCAAAACCATATTATTATGCAGTGGTGGGTATCGATGCGTGCAGCAGACTTTGTTATTATTTAATTTGATAATTAAAACCTGTTTTTGTTAATTCGTTATAATGGACAAGCAATTTTGATCGCATAGCATTTTATTACATAACGACTGCGATTTCTAGGCCAACCATTGAATTCGTTTAACCTTTTGCAATTATGGCACATCTGGGCACGCATATTTTGCCAGGCATAGTCCACTGTGCGACCGCAAGGCAAAAGCTGAAAGGTTTTTTTTAAAATGCATAAAGATACATTCAATATACAATCATTTGTGGTAACGAGTTAATAGATATCAGAATTTCTTCTTGTGATAAAAAGTGTACCCATATAAAATAAATTTCCCTACATTTTTATATGTTATTACCAAAATGCAATATGTAATGATTTATTTCATTGAAAATACAAAGATTTCATATCTACCAATTATGTTTGTAACCATTCCAGAGCGACATTTTAAAACCATTAATGAAAGCTCACAAATAATTTCTGAAGCTCTGTTATATGTATTTCTGGCCAAAAATTATTTCAAGGTGTTTTCCTTTTATTCAAAAGCTGATCAGCAAAATTGGATCGCTTTAATATAGAATGCATTGAACTTTGAAAGTTATTTAATTAATTTCAAGTTAACGATATCTCAGCTGTCCCATTCGCTACCTAGTCAAGTCAACCAGCGATGTACCAAATACATTTTCAACAGACACTCGATATCTATGAAATGGAAATTACATTTATTTGAAATTTCCATTGGCAAAACCATAATCCACAATTAGATAGGTGTTATAATTCGGTCATATCATCTAAATGGAAGCATCCAGAACATCTACGAGTCGCTCGAATACAAACAGATACCAATCTCTAGGGATGCTTAACCCTTTGCACTCCGCTGTCCCCTCTGAGGGGACATTTTAACGTTAACGGGTTAACGGAGTTTCCAATGACTTAACGGCAAGACTACTTTTTCACTTGCAATCATCAAGTATCGTTGGCACCATTGATCAGATTGCAATTAAATGATTTTTAATGTGTGGTACCATTTTTCCAAAAATTGTGCAAACCAACAAGATCCGTTCGTCACAAAACGAGGCCGCATGTACACGCAGAACGAAGAAAATTGAAATTACTGAGGAAAAGACTTTCTAACGTCGATTTACTAAAAATCGTATCGATCGGCCAGCGAGTTCAAATAGTCGGTTGCGGAAATGTAAGAGCAACAACAACGTGGAGGGCAAACCTTACCTCCAATGAGAAATTCTACAATCTAGGGCTGCGTAAGTCTCACGCGCGTACTTCTCTGACGCTAAAAATGAAAAGCTGCGATATCACATACGTATTATTTCCCTCCGATCGTTGTTGAACCTTCTCGAAACTTCTTCCACTAGCAATGGACGTCAAAATGGATAAGATCAAAGAGAAGACAGGAGAACAATTATGGCTGACGAAAACGTGACCCCATGTACAAAACGCCCTCTAGAAACCATTCCTATTGGCTCGTTACAAGCGGCTCGGAGAAGAGGACCACTATCGCAACCGTACCGAACTACATCAAGGAACAGTGACGTCGCCACGATCGAACGCGAGAGTGGACACGTCCCAACTGGACACAGTGCCAAGATGGCGACGGTATGGGCAGGCCGCAACATTCGATATCAGTTTCTGGTCTAGACATTTTTTCGACACACAATCATCTGCCAGTTCTGACCAGTTATATCTACTTCTATCTAGTTCTATCTAATTAGAAATAATTTCAACTTCGAATTCTATAATATTCGGCACTAAGTTAACCTCGATTTCTCGGCACTTCTTTTAATGTGAAGGAGTATCAAAAAATCAAGTACTAGGTTTAAGATATATCTTTGTAGAAATAGCACTACGCACCAATGTCCGGTGAACAAGAAAATGATAACGGTCTTCGAATCGATGGACGACGTCCTTTGGAACTTCGGCAAATTCGATTGAAAATGAATGTCTTTGGACATGCTGATGGAAGTGCCTATTTTGAACAAGGCAAAACCAAAGTCCTCGTTGCAGTCTATGGACCACATCAGGTTACTGTTTTTTGTTTTAAGTATTCTGTGTCCTTTATTATAATATAATTTATCAGGTATTGGCCTTTGGTTAAGTTATCACAATATTCCTGTTCTTGTTAATTTTGGCGATGTTCAAGTAAAAAAAAAAAACCATCATTATATTTCATCTTTATCACCATTTTATTGCTTATCATTATCGTCATTATAGCCCAAGTCAAATACCGGTAGGAGTAGCAGTAAAACCGCAGGGGGAGTATTAAACTGTCAATACAGCACGGCGGTATTCAGTTTTAGTGCCGGTGAGCACAAGAGAAGACCTCGTGGAGATCGAAAATCGGTTGAACGTTCTCTTCAACTACGGCACTCCTTGGAAGCTATAGTGCGCTTGGAACTTTATCCGCGTTCACAAATAGATGTATTTCTTGAAATTTTAGAAGCCGATGGTAGTGAATTTTGTACAGCCATCAATGCTGCAACAGTTGCTCTCATCGACGCTGGCATTCCAATCAAGGTTACTGTTCCGGAATAATTTTAACTCTGATGTGATGAGATTAATTAGTTTACAATCTTTCATCAAATTGTTCTCTACTTATGAATGTATCGGAGAGTCATTAAAATACTTGCATGTTATTCTGTATTATGTGTTCAAGGTCTTCATGAAGCAATATTTTTCAGGATTACGCTATTGGATGCACGGTTACATTGATGGACTTGAAACTTACAGAAGATAATAAAAAAGCTCCAAGAACAGGGGTAATAGATGCAAATTTTGCCGAAGAATGCGCTTCAGAAGTTACATTATCCTTTATTACGCTTCCTGGGATAAATAGCGATCCATATAAAGGAATGGTAGTAATGGGACATGGAGCGGGTCAGCGATTGCATTTATCGAAGTTTCAGACTCTTAGAAACCAAGCTTTATGTGGCAGTAAACATATAAAAGAAATTTTAGACGAAGCTGTAAGATATCACTTGACTCTGCATTCTCCATTTTCACCTTTTAATCTGCAAATTTCGTTAGACTAAAAGGCATTCATTTTGGGTGAACCGTATCTTTGCATATTATTCAATAAATAATCTCAAAGAACAGCTAGGAAACTGTTTAACGGCTATATTCTCCTTCGATTAATTTACAAAAATAGTCAGTGCTAGTTGGCCACTTGTTGAATATTCCATGCTGTGACTTACCAATACAAAATCGCAAATTAGCGTAGAAAAATATAATGATATTTTTGATATAGCATTCTATGTAGTTGAGAATATATAATCCCTGAAACGTCAATTAAATCTTGGCATCTGGGTATTTCTCCATGATCATTGCGACACCCTGCAAGAAATGTAGATATTAAAACTATGGTAGCGACCACGACACTAGAATATTAATTACCTGACCGCCAGCAGCACAGGCTGCAATTAATCCAAATTGTTGATTTTCTCGTATCAGTCGATTAGCGGTGTGTGTAGCTAAACGTACTCCCGTTGCGGCAAAAGGGTGTCCGATAGAGAGCGATCCACCCCACGCATTCCACTTTGAAAGGTCAGGTACTCCTACTTTCCCGGATCTCCTTTTCAAATAGTTCTCCGCAAAATAATCAGAATCCAGTGCCTTCAGATTTGCGAGAATTTGGGCTGCAAATGCTTCGTGTACTTCCCACACTCCGACATCATCCACCTTGAGACCAGTTTTGTCCAAAATCTGCAACGTAACCAATTTGAAAGGCAAGCCATTTATGTTGTCGAAATACTTGGAAACTAATAAAAGCGGTGCACGTTAACACTGAGTGTCGCAAGGGTGATCGATGGCTTCACAACCCCGTTTAGACCGGATGCTCGTCAATTGTTTCGGCACTTGACGAAACAGCGTACCTTTGGTATGGCATATGCTGGACCAAGAAGCAACTGATCCACGGGATCTTGGGATACGTAAATGAAACCACGCATGTATGCCTTAGGCTTAAGTCCTAGTTGATGCGCTTTTTCTTCCGTCATTATCAGAGCCGCCGAAGCTCCGTCCGTAAGAAAGGACGCGTTCGCTGCGGTAATCGTTCCGTACGGTTTGACGAACGCAGGTTTAAGTTTACTCATTTGATCCAACGTCGAAACTCGAACTCCGTTGTCTTTATCCACTACACCGTCAACTCCTGGAACTAAACAAGGGAGTTACGGATATGACTACGAGGAACTTATACGACTCCCCTCCTGGTAGGAAATCAGGTAGTAACAATAGCGAAGATTTTGAAATACCTGGGTGGTATCATCAACGTGTAACGTTATGTTGCGTTAATTTATAACTTACTTAATCGAGCGAAAAAAATCTTAACCTACCCTTGTAAGGAACTAAATCCGTCAGGTATCCTTGCTGTTGAGCACGTGCGGCGAGAGAATGTGACCTTAACGAGTACTGATCTTGTTCGGTTCTTGATATCTTAAAGGCTGCTGCCAAACGGTCGCTACTATGGCCCATCGTTTCTCCACTGGAAAACTCAGCTACAGCTGGTAACTGGAAATATCATGAGATATCGCCTTACTAATCTTATGTAGTCACTTATAATTACAAAGAAATAATGTTTTCATCTTACATCTGGAGTAAAGTGCGAAGGTCTAATGCTAGCAAGAAGACTCATTTTCTGCGAGAGCGTCTTGGCTTTTCTGGTTTTTAGCAACAACGAGCGCATCTGTCGACTGTGTCTAATTGGAATGTCTGACATAAATTCGACACCACCAGCGACAATTGTATCATATACTCCACATGCCATCAAACCCATTCCCGTAGTTAAAGCTTGATTGCTACTGATACAAGCCATCGTGACTGTATGAGCTGGAGTGGTATCGTCGAAGCCTGCTGCCAAGGCAGCTTCTCGTCCGATGTTAGAAGTTCGTACCTCTTGCATGACTGTTCCAAATACAATGTAATCAACTATTTCTTTTGAAATTCCTGTTCTATTTCTCAAATTACTGGAAAGTGGAGAAAAATGGCCATGAATTGAAACGTACTGACATAAAGCTGTTAAACGCGACCATAACGATAGCGACTTACAGTAAAGCATGCGTGGCCAAATCGTGAGCCATTAGGTCATTATATTTTGTTCCTGATTGCAAAAATGGGGTTCGCACACCATCAATAAAGACAATATTTTTTGCCGGTCCACCTGCATGTTTCATAGAAAAGAGTCTAAAACTCTCCAAGTATTTCTTACAGCATGTTCCGGTTAAATAAACACCTGTCATAAATAAAAATGTAATGAAATAACAGAATGTCATTTTATCACATGGATTGAAGAATGTTATATCTATTTTAGTAGGCGTTACATAATCACATTTTGGTTAACAGGATCAAGCGAACCTATTAAATTCAAATAGTAAAGATCATTCATATCCCCAATGATATCTAAAACCCACAGAACTTGTCCCTACAAATCGATCATTCGGCAACAATACGTCAGAACTAGTATCTCATTAAAGTTCAGAAGTGAAACACCATTTTCATGTCAAAAACCCTGATACAATACATATAACATTCACTATATACTACTACTACTACTACTGTAAATACAATGTATGTCCAATTATATCCTTATCCGGAGAGAAAAGGAACTTTGGACTTTGTATAACGACTTGATGCAACTCTAATTTTTCTTTACGAATTTAGTAACATAATTTCATTACAACTTAAAAGCTATTATCATTTTCAAAATACAGATATTGATTGAATTATTGATAAGAGCTTTTATAATATAATTAACGGTTTAATGTAATAATGGTTTTATCCAGATAGAGATACGAATGAAAGAATCTACATTATGCACATTGACAATCACAACTAGATGATAGTTACGCTTTCATAATTGAATCTCGAAATATTATTAACGCTACAAAAAACGCTGTGACACCGTTGATTATAAAAATTCGTCAAATTTAAATCATATATTTCCTTATTATTACGTTTAAGTACTTTTTTATATTTCATATATATATATATATATGTCAAGAAAGGTTGAGTAACAAACGATACCATTTAGAACAAGGTTTCGGTTAATCCTCTTTGCGTTTTGAAGAAATGTGGCCATTTTTCTATATTAATACTATCGTACTTTATTCACTACAAAGTATCGTATAAAAGTAAACTGCTTCCTTTCCAAATGGATCAGAGTACTTCCCCCTCCCTTAACTCAAGACCGCTCAAGAAACGGAGATGAGTTGGTAGATTGCTTACGGGCAAGGATTCTATACAACAGGAAGGTTTGCTCGATCCCTATCGTCAATCCTTCCCGTTGTATAGAATCCCTGCTCGGCATATAGACATAGTCTCCACCGCACTCTTAAATCCAGGATTTACGGGTCCAAATCCAGTAAATCCGATTAAGATGTACGATTTACAGTCTTCTTATTACATTTTAAGGAATTCGTTAAACGAATTCTATGACATATGCCAATGTAAACGAAAAACATTATTGTCTCTTGTAATCTCTTCAAAGTATGAAACATTACTTAACGAATAGTCCCACGTGTGCCGATTTCCTTTTTCCTTACATTTTAACGGATGATGACGCTGTGGTCGAGTGGCAGAACCTCTTGTTGCAACGGGATAAACAAATTTCAACGGTTTTAACGTAGCGAACAAACTGTTGTCGCAAAAAATCGACCGTATCGACATATAAGTCACGCAACAACTTGACAATGACACACGTACCGGTATGAAATTAGTAGATAATTACCAGCATGGATGTCATTTAACGTATAATATTTCATACATTTAATATTTCAGTGACTCCTCAACAGACATAATTTTGGCGTGGGCATATTTTACAAGTGAACGCCATGACGGTAAAATTAATGAGACCGTTGCTAAACATAAACGCCTCGCAAAGATTCGGATCTGCTTATTGCGGCATGAGCACATCAAGGTTTGTATATTTTACCAGTAGAATTAATTCGGCGCCTTATGAGCGAGCTCTTCATTTTTGCGATGTGCGAAACCACTAAGAATATGGCCAAATAGTGATATGTCATTGTAATGTATGTTTTAGTAACGATTCGTGTGGCGTGTACGATTTGGTAATCGTGGGTGGCGGAATTTTAGGATGCGCAACAGCCCGGGAAATGCTCATTCGCCATCCTTCGTTGAAAGTAGCATTGGTCGAAAAGGAAACAGCGCTCGCCGTCCATCAAACGGGACACAACAGTGGCGTGGTTCACGCAGGAATATATTATACGCCTGGAAGTATAAAGGTAACCCCGTTAAAGCCCGGAAAAGCGTTTAAAGATTTCCCACGACAACTTGGACGACTCTCAACAGTTTAGTTCAGATTTATAGATTGCTTCTTCACTTGCGAGGGTCACGCAATTTGCAAGTCTAACTTACGTGTTATATTAAAACACCGTCTTCCGTAAGCATCGCGTTGTACCAAAAGTGTAATCTCAAAGTACCATATTATACGAAAGGTTACCCATGATTATTCTACCAAGTAATGAAAATATTAATCGGTTTAAAAGTGGCATCAAATTTGGTACGATTTGGTAAATGAAAATAGGACGGTAAAATTACCTTTCGCGACGACTGCCTCTCGCTCGCTTACGAATACTTTAAAATTTCATTTCAGGCCAAGTTATGCGTGGAGGGAATGAAACTAGCATACGAATACTTTTGTAAATGCAATATTCCGCATAATAAAATTGGAAAACTAATAGTGGCGGCGAATTCAGAAGAGATGAAGGGAATAGAAGCTCTGTTCGAAAGAGGAAGAAAAAACAATGTTCCGGATCTTCAACTGGTCGATAAAGATTGCATTTCGAATTACGAACCAAAATGCAGGGTAAGTTATGCGTTAATAAATGGCTACGTAGATTAAACATGCCATTAAACATAATCGAATGCGCATGTTGGCTCCATCGTCACTAAGATTCATTACATTATTCAATTTCATTTGTATAACGATATTAAACGTCCTCGTGGAAATGAATCGTTTGACTTGGATTGATTACAGGGAGAAAAAGCTATTTGGTCACCGTGGACAGGTATTGTAGACTGGGCTCTCGTTTGCCGGAATTTTGCCGCAGAATTTGAAGAAATGGGTGGAAAGGTTCACCTCAATTTCGAAATGACGGGATTAACGGAGGTGGCGGAGTCAAAGGGCAAATCCGAGCTGGCACCCATGGCCTTGCAGTCGAGAAATCGAGTATGACCGATAGGCCCCGTGAATTATTATTTAGAATTTATTAAGCGTTTACGAAGTAAATTCATTTTTATCATTACCTGGTATTTCTTCATTGCAGTGTATACTGACGAGATACGTATTGACCTGCGCCGGCTTGCACTCGGACCGAGTGGCAGTGATGACAGGATGTGACCTCAGTCCTCGTATCGTTCCTTTTCGAGGGGAATATTTATTGTTGAACGAGAACAAGCGACATTTATGTACAACGAATATATATCCAGTTCCAGATGCTAGGTTTCCGTTTCTAGGTGTCCACTTTACTCCTCGAATGTCCGGAGACATTTGGTTGGGACCGAACGCCGTCCTAGCATTGGCCAGGGAAGGTTACAGGTACTTTGTCAATTGTTGCCAATCGACGGGAAAACGTTTTACGCGTTCGGAGTTACAACTAGTTCTCTAACTCGTCTGTCGTGTGTTTCATTTGCAGTTGGTTTGACATAAACATTAGAGATTGCATAGAAATGGCCCAGTTCCCTGGCCTTTATAAATTGTGCTTGAAGTATTTAGTGCCGGGTTTACGGGAAATGGTCAAGTCTATCGTTTACCCGCTGGCCGTAAAAGAATGTCAAAAATATATTCCAGAAATTTCGTACAAAGACGTAAAAAGGTTCGTTGGAAACGTTGATCGTAATCGGTATCGATTGGTGTGCCCGTTTCAATCATAGTACTCGTTGAATTGCCTTTCTTTTTTTTAGAGGGCCAGCAGGTGTCAGAGCCCAGGCACTTGACAACGATGGAAATTTGGTGGATGACTTTGTATTCGACGGAGGTTGTGGAATTCTAGGGAGCAGAGTGTTGCATTGCCGAAATGCTCCGTCTCCTGCTGCTACGAGCAGCATGGCTATCGCAAAATATATTTCCAACAAACTCGAAGCAGACTTTAAGTTTTAACGCGTCCACGGTGGATTTTCCGTTCGGGCCAATCGATACCTGGGTTATAATAAGAACCAAATTCATGGTACGCTATTATGACATTTATTACAATAACCGGGACGGTAACGGGATTAGATTCGCATCTTGACCGAAATGGCAGTCAGGGAGTTCATAAGCTAGCAAATAAGTTATGAGTCTGGAACGGAAGAGGGTGCGTGTCCATGCTAAGTATGGAACGGTTTCAGAGCATGTCCGCTAGATAGCAGTGACTCGGCACAGAGGCAAAACCCCGTTACGGCTATGGCTACACTCTTGAATCTCTGCTCGTCTCTATTTACAAATTCATTCTCCCGTCAAAAACATCGAAAACCTTGTAATTGGTGTTCCGGGTTGATTTCAACGATTATCTTGCCACCGAAATGATGTATTTGAACTGTGTAATCGACTATCGTAAATTAGAAGTGGAGTTATGTGATAGTTTAAAAGCGGATCAGCTATATGACATGCAAAACAGTGCAAAAATTAGAGCATTGGAACAGAATGTTTCAACGTATAAAAATTTTACGGACATGGTAAATTTGTATTAGTTTTTTCGTCACAATTTATTTATGTAACCAATTGGTACCGTGGTAGGATTTATTTTAAGATTTTAAATCAATCATCAAATATAATCTTCAACGTCGATCGCGAATGCATAAAATTTAGTCAGTTATTAGTTAGACTATATTCTTTATACATTTCGTTCTTGTATATTGTATGCTTTTTATTTACAGGTGAGCGCAGCCCACCTAAAGCCATTGGACGCCACACGTGAAGAGAATAAGCCACGAATGTTATGGAATAGTTTTGTTACAAATTCAAAATTGTATTAATGACAAAACACAGTCCGGTATATTTATTACAAAATGGACTGCCGTTAACAATAATACCTTTTACTGTTGTGCGATTGCACAAATAGATTCTATTTATGTGATCGTTTTAGGGCTAAAGAAAGAAATGTAAGAGAAAAAATCTACGAATTACTATACTTCAGTCATAAGGGGTAATTCCATTCCGTTAGGTTATTTTCAAATTGCTTGTATCCTGTAAGTCATAATTGCCAGGTTTAAAAGCTTATTCCAGATTTAGGGATAATGTTATAATAACTTCTTTAATTGAGATTAATAACCATTACTCTAATGGAAATGTTACATATATTAATATATATTATCAATTATCGACAACCTATTTTAGAAGTTGATAATAAGTAATCCTTCTTGGGGATGTACAACATTAAAATGTTCTATACATTTCCTTTTTCGCGTCGTTAACATACATTACATAGACTTGGAACGTTTGCAATTCTTTTTGTCGAATGGAACCTTTGCATCTATGATTTCAATTACAATAATGGCGGCCACTTTGTCTCGTACTCATCATTTTTCGATAGTAGATTATCCATTGCATTAACGATCAAGTTTTATATTATTCGGAATCCGTTTCTCGATATCAAGACACTTCGGTTTGCAAAATCCAAGGCTGCGGTCATATGAAATCCCATGTTTGAAAGAACGACCAAGTACTCTGCCAGAGCAAACATGGAGTAGACTGCAATTACAAGAATATCGTGTCACCTACACCAGATTAATATATAACTATACATGCTGTCTCGTCAAATAATTTAACCATGGATAAACACGGAATGTGCTTATCGTTAAACTCCATATTAAGATCGTATCGAACGCCTGGCACGTCCGCAATCGTCATTTCTCTTAGTTTCAACTTTCAACGTTAATGTTTCGTCATTTCACATACATATGTCGGAATGTTGTTATATTGTTTTGCCCTAAAATTTTTCTATATAATTTAACATGTCTACAGTGCTCCAATTGGAAATCATTGAGGGAGTTACGGAATTTGTTATTTAATTCCATCTTTAATTGAAAGCGTCCATGCACGGTTCCGTGTAGGAAAAAGTTTTGACAAACTTCTAACTTTAAACAAAAGGCCCGTTGTCACCAACGAGGTATTGCGACACGATGAATTGAAACTTCTTTTTTACCATCAAACGGTCGTCACTTCGATGTCGATAAGAAAGTGGAAGAAAAGGATATATAGAAAAATGAATTTGAACCATCTAATGGAAATCGAAATAAAGTATCACCGAAGAGGAAACTCACCTAGGGGCTCACAAAATGTATTGTGTCTGTAGAAGAAGTAACAGGCTGCAAATATCGCGCTTATGTTTGCGAGCATCAGTCTGTACTTCCATTTATGAGAGACTTCCTCGTCGGAGGTTTTGCTGATATTTTGGCAGTTCTTTGTGATATACCACGTTAGGAACATATATACCAGCGACGTTATTAAAAAAGTTATAAAGGATAATTTGTGGAGCGCTGGAATGATAAAAGAAAAGATGAATGTACGATAGAATCCTTTAAATATTAAATATTACTCTCTTCCACAGTCGAGATAACTTTACTCGTTATATATTTTTACTAGATGATATTTATATAGAGTGTTACAAAAAGACGGAACCATTTTCAATACATTTTTTAACACAAAGCAGCTTTCACACCGGTAAATTTGAGCAGCATGATTCAGCGTACATTATCTTTTACGTAATTCCCTATAGGGATTGGTTATCATAAAGGATCCAAATCATCCTTTTCAATATTCTGTTGTTACAGTGGAACTTTTCAATTACCATAATTTTCATTGGATGACCAGAAGCTTAAGGTGACCAAAGAAGTATTTTCTATCGCATATGTAGTAAGTGCAAAATTGCAAATCCCACGTGCCCAATGGTATACGTTGCCTTTGTAATATTCATAATACATTATTAGAACCAAAACTCTAATGACAGCCTGTACAGCTACGGCTGCTTTCCAGACATCCTTTTGCGGCCTATAGTGACCAATCGCGGCCGATACGGATGGTAAAAAGTTATAGACCTGTTGCAAAAAAAGAATCTTGGTATTACATTTAGTCGGGTTAATTAATGAAGAGGTTAAGTTAACGTGAAAGAAATTTTTACACGATTAAATACAGCGATACATAATTATGGTACTCGGAATAAAAGTACTTCCATACAAAAATTTCACCGATATCAGGAAAATATCACAAATGAATGAATTACGTTAAAACAAAAAGAAATATGATACATAATTGGGCAGTGGTAATTTAACGCAGTCGCAAAATGATTTATAACCGCTCTATTATCTTTTATTATTTTACATCTTATCTTAAACAGACTTGAAATGTGCAACATTTTAAGCATAAAATAACAGCTATTGCTCTTACCTTACAATGGGTGTAAGTAGATAGCTCAAAATTATATAAAATGGACCAAATGACGCAAAATGTAAAAGCACTAAATGGTAGTAAAACTGTAAACCATGCCACTTTTGAGAAAGGCAAAAGAAGACGAAACCTTGGCAATTCACTCTCCCCCAGAGGGATATACTTGGCACCGGATTTCATTGTGTTCATTTAATCGCAAAGATCATCAGAACGTAGCTACGATAATTCCATCCATGGTGGCTAAACGATACTTTTTCGTTTATAAGACGTTACACATTACAAGAAAATGACAAATATTTAGCCCCTTCTTCATGATTGCACACCGAAAAATCACCTAGACAAGACGACAAAAGTCCTACATCTAATTTTAAATTAACAATGGTTACATACAATTCCATAACAGTATTCGAAACTAAATCACTTATTCATTTTACTTATTAAACTCCACTTGTTCAGTTTTCGCATTTGATAACATTTTGCCAATAAACTTATACTAAGGCCGGGTTCCACGACTCGAGTTAACCGGAGTTTGGTTTCGTTTACAGCAGGTTGAAACCGGGTGTAAACCAGTTAAACTTCGGTTAATTAGAGTTGTGGAACCAGGCCCAAGTTTCCATCGTCAGAATTCATTCAATACCGAACTACTGAAATATATTGACTACATCTCCATCGTACTCCTCGAGCCGGGATTAATCAGGTCCGAATCCACTAACCCACGTGTCTCGCGAAAATTTGTGTCGAACCAATTCATATGAATGGTCTCGCATTTTCACCACCAAAAATGTTCCATGATACCGTGAGCTGCTCATTTTTCATATTTTCGCTCAATTTGCTTTACGTAATAGACCCCCTGGTTTCTATTCATATGTGTGATGTAATCTTTGACATACTCATTTCGAATACTTCAAATGCTATTTTAGTGGAGTGTGCGCATAAGTTTTGTTTTCGCTTAAATAAATATCGGGATGAAACGATTGTAAGATACATGATTTTAAAACATTTCATAACGGTATGTCACTAGGCAGTAGACGTACCAAGTGGCGAGTATAAATAACGATTCTGTCGAACGATACTAGACAACCTCAAAATGTACTGCACGATAAGAAGATGGTAATTTATTTTACGTAATTATAATTAACGTGTTTCTTGAATGTACTTCATTCGATCCCACTTTTTTTTTATATACATAGTTTTTATAGAAAAGAGGCGGTGCGAGCTTTGAGTACCGGGGAAGTTTCGACGGCGCTTCGACCTTTCTACTTTACCGTTCATCCTGATCTTTTTGGACAATTTCCAACCCAGAGGGCGAGTATCTGGCACCCACTTATGCTAAATAAATTCTATGTTAGGCGTATTATTTTACATTGATTTTTATAAGTATGCTAAGTACGCAATGTTTGTAACAAAGAATCAAGAGGAAATATCTTCTAACTGAATTTTTCTGATAAAAAGAAAGGAGCTTGCTGGTATTGAAAATCTGTAGGCATGGCGGTAATATCAAGAATTTAGTTTATGGGTTAATTGATGCTCGTATCATAGTAGAGTAGGAAGAAATAGCCAACGGCGGAGCGGCGAGAATGGAAAGGGAGGAGGGGAGCGGTCAAGTCGGACAAACTATTTGGCTCCTTAGATTATTGACCTTGACATTTTGGTTACACGCGCGCGCGCGCGTACATATTCAACCTATAAAGGACATATAAATTAACATTTATTACCTTAGATTTACACATTTCTCGTTGGGAAGCATCATCGCTCGGGGACAAAAGTTTCGTTTTCTGTAATTGAAACGCATCATGTTTTATGCTTTTCTTAAATGTTACTTCTAAAGCAGTTTTATTCTTCTTGTTACAGACCGTTAACGAAAATTCCTTGAAACAACTAAGTTTAATACTGGAAACGTTACAACAGCAGAGACCCATAAGGCCCACGACCTTACCGTTCTATTTGCGCTCTAAGGATGAAAAAGACTTAAAAGCAGGAAAATTTACTTTAGTGAAAATTCAATTGAAAGAAAGAGATTTAAGGAAAACGATCCTCTCTATCTTGAAGACGTGCAACCTACCTACCACGTTCGTAGATAAGATCGAAGATCAGAACTCGATGAAATCCGCATCGACGTTTCGATCGCGTTATGCCAACTTCGGAGACATCGATTTTTCCGAACTCGAAAAGGATCCAATTTATGCCTCCGTTATTATGAAGCGAAAAATTAAAACGGAACCGGATACGTTCAAGTGAGTATCCTCGTAAGATAAAACTCGAGGTAGTTGAACAGTAATGCATAGAAAAGGAATCGAGTACAGCTTGTATAATGGTTTACGTTTTTACGGTAATAACGGTATAATAATGTCAAACGTTAGAGTCACCTGTAAACCGTTATTTAGGGATTTTTTTCCTCGACGGTAATACAACCTTTCGACCGGATGTTAAGGAATAGCATCGTACGGAGTGTTGGAAACTAAGCGCCGGGTAAGTGCATCTGCTACGGCGCACGGTAATGCATCGAGTAACGTCGGAGCAGGGTCCGGTTCGAAAGGGCGCTAACTTTGCTCTAATAGATGCGCGTTACTTGCATTATTGCGAGAAATCGACTATCGATGGAACGATTCCTTCGTTACGTGCGTGAAAAGTCTAGTTTCCCTGGAGTTTTCAAATAAACGAAGTAAAATTAAGTAAATCTCGTGTGCACTTTGTCGTTACCTTGTTGTTACCTTGGACAAGCTCTCGAAACGCCATGAGAATATTCGAGATTATCTTTCATATACTTGCTTCTCGAACAACTGGATAGCTAAATAACTCGACGTATATTATATCATTAATTTCAACTTTTTTACTCATTTTTCATTCTGCGAATATTATTGCTATTATTTTCCCATTTCATGTGTCCAGTGACTATAATATAGTGCAATTATTTAGGTATTAATAACGTTTATTAGTGGACAATGTGCACGGATAAACGTAAACGTTTTTTGTGCCAGAGCATATCTAGACAAACACGTGACCGAAGCTCACATAAAATTGGAAGCGTGTCGACCCATTCGCGAAGAGGTTAGAAAATTAGAAGAAGAACTCCGTTCTAGTCTGCGACTCAAAAATATTATATGGGATTGTGGGTGGAACATTACTCACTACAGAGGATGTTTGCTAGCTTTCCAAGCTTTGGCGAAACACCACCCCCAACAAATGGAAGTTCTTAAAGAACGAACGTTGGTTTTTGCCAACGATACCGGTATAAGTCTCAAAGGAGACGTTATGCTTAATTCCGGCGAAGTTCGACATAATTGGCTGGATGTAAGATGTCATAATTTTACGATATGCTTGGTTAATCGCTGCATGACTCGGTTTATTAATCAATAGTTTCCATTCACTGGTAGTTTCTCTTCCCACAGCTCATAAAGAACGTAAGGAAGTACGATGTAGTACTGCTAAAATTACCAGCTTTTGAGAAAGCCGTTTCAACGGTGCTGCTGAATATTAAAATTGGCCGACGGTGTGTAATACATCCCGCTTAATTGAATGATGGTAAGGCTTAGAGTTTTCTATATGTGCAGGAAATTTATGCCCAAAATCATGGTTGGTCAGTACGAACAGCAACTTCGACAAATTATCACGACATTGTTGGATTATCGTGAAAGGAAAAGCTTTCCGGCTATCTGGCCGACTAGCCTTTCGTCCTATGAGATCGTTATAGAAACGTAAGTAATTTTACGAGAGCGTATATTATAATCATCATGATGGTGATGTGGTGAATGTACGTTCTTAACGCTACAACTGCTGGCGGATTTTTTGGTCTTTCGTTGACTATCTTAAACCAGTTATTTTGATGGGTTTGGTAGTTCTAGTGTTACGGTACTAGAATTTGGCCATTCTTCTTTAACAGGGAAGCGGGTCCTTTGATGTTGTCACCTACTGGCCAGTTTATCGTTCCATCGTCGTGTCCTGGATTTTTGCTCGTTACTTTCATTACAGAGAATTTGGATGAAGCTACGAAAAGATTAAATCACTACAACAAGTAAGTGAACGGCAATTTTATGCCCGATAATTTAGTGCTTACCACGGTGACCGGCTTTTGAAGGATACTTTTCGGGTTCGAGCCACGAACAGGAGGAGGCTTATTGGTTTTCATTGATCGACTTTTAAGGTTATATGAAAGGAGTCGCGAAATATAATCGACGTCGATGAAATGAAATTCATTTAAATCTTTTTTGCCAATAGCGCAGTTTTAGATACTCGAGTGGTAACAAACTGGAGCGTCGCGTTAACGCCTATGTTAATATCTATAGACGATTTAAGTGTTGTAAATTGAATTGAGATTATATAATTTAATTTCTCCGGCAGTGTTAAGCACGTGGAGAGACAACTTCACGATGCAGTGGTCACAGACCTGAATCTCGCTGCATTGAATAAGGATGACAGTATAACGCCGGATTTGATGATTCAGTGTTGCGAACGGTTACTTAAACACAAAGTCGTATTGGCTCCCATGTTGGACGGAGTGAGACTTTGGGTGACGCATTACTATTCCGTAATGACTGATGGCGTGTTGTGCGTGCCATGGGATTGGAAACTGTAAATAAATGAAGCACGAAGACGCACGATCCAAATCTTCTCTAGTATCGACTCCAAATAATATTGTACACTTTGGAGTAGAATGCCTGTACAGTGTTTAACCAATTAATTAATTTATTAGTACAAATTTTCCTTGAATGAAGCATATTGTTAACGGTTTCCACGAAATGTGCCCTCTGTTATCGAAACGTTTAAAATGACAAAGAAACTGTCATTCGAGGAAGTCAAGTAGTCACAAGACATACTGTAAACTCTGAACGCGATTACTAATGCAGATTATACTTTTACAAAGCTCTGCTATATTTAGTTGCAATTCTAGTCCATTTTGCTTGTGGTTACATTGCTTACTTACTCCATAAATCAACGATTTACACGTTCAGATTACTGCTTGTTTTTAGGAAAAATTTGGAAGAGATAACTTTACTGTAGATACTATTATTGACACATGGAGAGGACATACATGGAGTCAGCGCGAAGTATAAATACTTTTATATTTAAACTTTCGTTGTTGACCACATCGTCTAACACAGAATACGATAAATTGACAATTAATGCCCTGCATTGCAAAAGATAATAATAAAATTCCTCGTTGTTAAACATAAATAAGAAAAAGTACGGTTGTTAAATTCATGTTTATTTGAATGCGTTAAAATACTTTCTGAGCTTCATCATTGTCATAAATTTCTTTTCAAGAACTCTTTTTTTCTTAAAAATGGATGTCAAAATGCTGAGCACTTAAAACACATTCATCCCAATTTATGACTTTCCATGGGGGGTATAACTTGAGAAAACTACCAGAATTTGCAGGAACCACATGAGCCACAGAAGGGTTTGCAATTAATATTATAATTCTGCTCTTATAAATCTTTCTGGCATACGTGGTCATTTTCTCTCCGTAGCAGTACAGAATGGTTGGGTCAGTTAACAAATTCCATGAATCTTTCACCACAAAACACTCTAAAAATTGCCTACTAAATTCAGTAGATACTGCATATATAGTCATCAAAACATATCTGGTACACGAAGATTCCATAGACGGGGTATGAGATATTTGATATTGCCATAAACGCAAAAACGACAATTGATTCTTCAATAAAGCCTGAAGCCTCGATGCATCATTATTTCTATAATAGATTAAGAAGAACAACTCTGCATTAAATGTAATCATGCTTACTTTTTTTACGACCCAAATGGGACAATTATTAATAGCTACAAAACTAACCTCTTTGGTCTTCTTTTTCGTTGCCCAAAGTTTGTGGAAGACAGACAAATTTGTTTTTTCTTAGTTACAGGTAAAAGCATATCCGACTTGATAATTGCTTTAGAATATTTTTTGTTACTCTCCGGATTATTCTTATGGAATACGTTAATAAAAGGAAAAACGGTTCGATCGGTATTAGAAATATTCTTCACCGTTGCAACGTTTATTTCCTTCACGTTTAAATAATCGTTGCAAATGCGTAGTAATGCCTTCGCCGAAAATAAAATTTGGGGCTCATAAGCATAGTTATAGTTCCCTATATCATCGGTAACTTTGTTTAAAGTTTTAGGGTGACCGTTTACACTACAACCACACTTATCCGCGGCGCTGTATGCCGAGTCATATTTTAATCGTTCCATTGTCATTACTGGGGAGCGATGTAAGGGAGCAGAAGGCTTCTCGATTTCAACATCGACATCTTTAAGAATCGTTCTACTCGCGGAATTACCATCCAATCCATCAAATTTTATGGGATTAGAATCATTTTCTATACTTATCGGAGGATACCTAGGATGCGCAGGAACGAAGTAATGTATACTCTCAAATACCGTTTCTACTTTTTTTCGACTATTGTCTCGTTCCCCTCCATTGGAATCGAATAATTTCATAAAGCTCTGACTTAACATTTTATTGGTTTCACTGCAGGTGTCTAAACTATCTGGTGAATGTGGACCTAAAATAAGCACATTGACTAATGACCAGCGATTAAATGTAAAACATCAGTACACGATTAACAATCACCTTTTTTCACGCTAGCCGACAAAAGAGTAGACGAAGTTTTAATTTCATTTTCAAAGTCACTTGTGGTACATGAAAAACTTTTAATTCTTTTCTTTGCAACCTCTCCTCGAATATCCAAAATTGGAGAATTACATGAACGTTTCCCAATCGAAGATTTAAGGATCGGTGATACTGGATGGGAATGATCCATGTCACAAATCTATCGAAATTATAAATTTTTATTTGTATTTCAGCTGAATTTTGATCGCCTTTTTCCGTCCAGTGTCACGGGTATTACACTGTTACAAATAATAAAATACAATGCCTAAAACTGAATTGAAATTACATGAAACATAAATAGCACTCAGAGATGAGTTGGGAGATTGCTCACGGGCATGGTCGCGCCATCGAATCGTGTACTGCCCTCTGGTTTCGTACGTTAGCTATCAACGTTTTTTGTCCCTCGGTTCAGGTAGGGGGCGTTCGCGACCGGCGCGATGGATAGGGGGATAACCGAGGAGGGGGGATGGAGCTCCCCCCCAGACATAAATTTTAGGGGTTGAAATTTTCGATTTGTAACAGGAACATAGGACAACCGAGGAGGTGGCACCGAGTTTCTCCCGGGCAAGAATTTTAGGGGTTGAAATTTCCGATTTCTAACAAAAAAGAATATTAAGAAATTAGCCAGAAGGGAACAGGTGGCAAGTGGGCGTCCGCATCCTCCACCGGAGGGCAGCACAGAATGCGATCGCGCGATCCTGCCCAGGAGCAATCTCTCAACTCATCTCCCTCATCTCCGTACAGAGTTCTAGTCGCGAAATATTTTTCATTCTATCGCTGGTCCATGGCTTTTTATATTCGTAATGTTTTCGAATTTTTCCTACGAACGATTAAACAATGTAAGTCAATGCATAGTACTTGTTGACAAGAGTGAAATTGTTCTAATCGATAACTGTTTCTACACGAGGCAAATTATCTCGAGCTACTATGTTAAAAACGATGTATAACTAACTTAACCTTAAACATATTATCTCTTACATTTATAAATATATCTCGATAGATTAGTAACATCTACCGTATTTATGCGTATAATTCATATCTCCATTAATATTTCTAGAATTTATAATTCACGAATTTTTAGTATAGGTAATTTATTACTGTTGCAGTCGATCAAAAAATATCAGGGCAAACAGTGGATGAATGAAAGAAAAATGTTTGCATAGCAGGGGCATTTTTGTAACAAATACAAAATTATTTACAAATGTCAACTCTACGACGGTTGCCAGATTCTGGGTGAGTAGAAAAATTAGCTCCAATAATGTGGCAGAACATGAATCTTTGATTTAAGGGGTTCATAAAAACAAAATAGTCCTGCCTATTAATGTTACATAATTTGCTGTAATCTGGAATTTTTTTTCTTATCTCAGTGGTGTTGGTAGCTTTTAATAGTTCAATTCATATTTTTTTACAGAAAATTGGCTGAAATAATATTGACTATAATCATTAGGCAACAGATATGGATTGGAGAGCAAACGAAGAAAGCTGGCTTTTTCCAACCGTTGATGCAGCCGGTGATATTAGGAAAATAAACAGCAATGATTTGAAAGAAGTTACATTGAAAAATTTGATCAAGCTTCAACATAACGATACACGCGAGTTTATGTGTGGTTGGGGTGCTGCAGTTATTAATGTTACCGTAACCTATCCTATTAATAAAATCATATTTAGACAGGTAAGACATGCTACACGAACATTATTTGGATTTGCAATATTTAATTTCTTCAGAACTTTATTTAAAGTAATTTCTGTGCTCCGAGTGTAATCTAAATTAAGTAAATTTTTACCGTTCTTTTGAATTTCAAACTTGCTGCTGATATTAACACGTGATGAATATATATTTTTATGTACTGCAGATTTTAGAGGGAGTACCAGCAGAGACAGCTGTTAAGCAACTATCACGAGAAGGATTGCAGCTATTGTATCGCGGTATATTACCACCACTATGCCAAAAGACTCTATCGCTTAGTATAATGTTTAGCGTTTACGAAGGTTGTAGGAAACGAATGTCTATATTGACAAATAATGCAGCGGTAGCAAAAGTGGTAGCCGCTAACGTAGCAGGAACAATGGAAGCCATTTTGATGCCCTTAGAAAGGGTACAGACGTTACTACAAGATTGGCACCACCATAATAAGTTTAAAAATACTGCTCATGCTTTTAGATATTTGTTAACGAATTATGGTGTAGCGGAATGCTATCGAGGGCTGGTCCCCATAATCTACAGAAATAGTTTGTCCAATGTTACATTTTTTTCATTAAGAGATCAAGCAAAATTATTAATAGGCGATAAAGACTCTTTTCTCATGAATTTCATTAGCGGTGCATTAATCGGTGGCTTTACTAGTACTGTCTTTTATCCTTTGAACGTCATTAAAATACATATGCAATCGAAGATAGGTGGAGATTTTCAAAGATTCATGTCAGTAGTTCGCGAAATATACATTTCTAGAAACAGGAGTATAACTCACTTTTACAAGGGAGTACATCTGAACTGTATGCGGTCATTCATTAGTTGGGGTGTTATAAACACAGCCTACGACTTTCTTAAAAAGATTATCACTTGAAAAGAATAGATTTATACATTTATTTATTGTAAAGGTGATAAATAATACGTCATACGTTCGTTTGTAAATTTTCTATCACTAGACGTAATACAGTCATATTTTCTGTAATCGCAACAGCATTTTCGTCTTCCAATTTACGCAAAATATTTTCACAATCTACATTGTACAACACAAATTTGTACAGCAATTATGTTAATTGGACATATTTTATATTAGTTAATCATCGTGATATTAAAAATCAAAAATAAACGTTACGTATAATTGTAATATAAAAAGTACCTAACTGTGGAATTATGTATTTTGTAAATACTCATAAAATAAATGCATCGAGGCCAACGAGGAATCCACGTAAAACGTTCTATTCTTTTTAAGGTCGTGTAATTTATAATTGTGACTAGATGTGGAAATAGAGACCAATCGATTAAAGTACATACATAATACGTTCGGATTCATTGCTGTCACTATAGGGATCGTCAAAGGCGATTAAACGTTTAACGACGGTACCGAAAAGGACAGCCACTTGCCATCTGGAATACCATCGGTGATTCGAGAGTTCTTTATTATCCGGGTGTGACGCCACTTGTCAATAAATTACCTCTAAACGTATTTGGCGTTACAACAATTTACAATAATGCGGTATGTCCGTATTCGCTTCCGTGTACAAACTATTCTATCGATTGCTGCCTACATAATGCTAGGGTCGATTGGTGAGACATCCTTATACGTTGGCTCGAACTCCGTGAAAAGTTTCGCGTTCGAGAAGAAGTACGTTTATATACAAAAAAAAAAAAAATATTACAAAATCCAAATAACGAATATAGCAACGATCGGGATGAAACGAGAGTCATGACAGTACGTACAACTTATGACGAATGCGCTCCTACCACGGTACGCCGAGTGTAAGAATACCTTATAAAAAGAATGTACATATAAATTAAGACTAGAAGGGAGTATTAAAGAACGTTTTCCTTTAAGCCTACAGCCGATATACTTGATCGTGATCAAAATAGAGCTCAAAAGCAAGATCGATTGCCTTAAATCTTTAACATGCTGCATTAACAACGGCGGAAAGCGCATTGGCAAGAAGAAAGCGAGTCGCGCCTTATATTTTTCACTTTTCGCCATTAGTAGCGCTGAAACGAGATCGAGCACTCGATAGGCTTACTATGTAGGGCACAGGACTGAAAGAAATTTAACGAAATTATAGCAACCATATTAATCGTATCGATACCTGATGTATAAATTAGGCGTCGAATCGATCCCGTTTACCTTTTAATATGTAATCCGTCAATAATGTCGGGACGGTGGGGCTGTCGTCGTTAATGGCCTTCAAAACTGAAAAAAAAAGAAACAACAAGGTATCATTGGAAGCCTCCTATTTGACGACGAGTAAGGTTTCCCAATTCATGAGATTCGCCTACTTTTTATGAGCACTTGCAAAGCTTGATTGTCCGGTGGACCACTATCCATATGATATGGAATTACTGTCGTCAGGTACTGAAACAAGTATGTATGTCTTAGCGTCGATTCACGGCGGTCTCACGAGGCGATTAGCTCCGTCTACCTTCGAATCTTGTAGAGATCTGTGCTGTGGCAACGGGCTAGTGCCGTTTTGCATTTGACTTCGTTTCTTCGTGACGTGGTGCTGCCTTCGTCGATTTTGCACGGCAAGTAGAAGCGAGATAAATTGGTTTTTCAGCTCCTTCTCGTACTCGAGCTCGTCCCTGAGAGCAAGCTCGGCGATCAGAGTTTCGCTCAAAGCCGCCACCAGGGATTCCATCTCGCCCAGAAGCTCGGTTAACTGTCCCGTGGTTAATTGCCGCAGTTCTGAAAATGCATTCCGTTCGAATGAGAACCGATTACACCTACGGGATTCAAGACCGATCGTACGTACTTTCTTCGTAAAGCGGGGAGCCGAGGACTTCTTTGCTTCTCTCTAACGTCTCGTCGGTGTCCAGCATCGAGTCTTCGGAGTCCGGGGACCTTCCCATCGAGGGACTTTCCTGAGGAAAAAAGGGAGCGGATCGGGACATCCTTACATACGGATACGTTAAAAACTGAAGAAATCCCAGCGAACCTGCATAATGTCGTCTATTTCCCTAAGGACTTCTTCGGCAGTCTTGAGGGGTTCCTCGGGGCTGTGGGTGTCGGTGCTGCTGGAGAGAATCAAGGCGTGCATGTCCAGGTCGGTCGCAACGGCTTCGTCCTCGCTACTTAAATCTTCGAGCTCGGGCCTAAACATAGCGGAAGAATCCGGCGTTAAATTGCCTACGCGAAAATACCCGTCCTTGAATTACGCATCGGCGGGCGAAACGAGACTCAAACGAGATTCCCACCTTTCCATCGAGATCGGCGCCTCGTTTAAATTGAGCGCGGGCATGTGCAGCTTCCTCGCGTAGGACTTGCTCCAGTCGATCGGCAGGATGTTGCCGAAATTCCCGGTAATCGTCCACCACATCCTGGAAGCAAGAGAAAAAGCGGTCGGACGATGCTCCGGATGCTCCGGATGCTCCGGACCTATTGCATCTTTTAGAAACGATTTCCCTCGGGAAGGAGACGTCGAGCGGACGCAGCCGCGACCTCGTCTCCGCCCGCAAGGCGGAAAAAATGTACTCGAAGAGGAAACGCGAAGGCAAAGCGGAGAGACGGGGGTGTGTCTCTCCGACGGGCGCAGGCGCGGCCATATTGACGCGGTTGCCAGGGGTGGCTCGGGGCTCGATACCGCCACCGGAGGAACGAAACAAAGATCCACGCTCGCGCGATCAAATTTTAACGTCCGTGCCTCGCGCCCCCTCCTCCCCACCAAGAAAAGGAAACACGAATTCCGATTAACCGGCGATATTCCGGGACCCCGTTTCCTGGTGGTCGTCGGAAGAAACGAAAGAGAAAAGGCATCGGAGCGGGAAGGAAGATCGTGGGAGTAGTTCTAACGGTCTAGAAAGAGGATCCGAGGAGAAGGGACCCGGAACCCATTCGTCCTCCTCCGGGCTCTTTCTCCCGCGATTCCGGCCGAGCCTAAGCCTCGTCGAAGCAAAAAACCGTCCGACGAGACCGGCGATGGAAACGATTTTCCTCGTCGGTTACCGTCTCCTCGCGAACGTCCCACGGAATTTGGTCGCAGCCACGTCCCCCGCGTTCAATCGAGCCCATTACGCGAGTTACGCGAGTTACGCGAATTACGCGAGGTCTCGACGTCCGACGAGGTTAATCGAAGATGAGGTACTTACGAGGTCCGAACAACGAGCGCGGCAACGAACGGGAACGACTCGTCGCCGACAGGCCCCGCGACCTATCGGGTTTGCCGTTTCGCGTTAACGGACCTTATCCGGTCCCCGATAAGCGGCTCGACCCTTCCTCTCGGGGCATCCAGCTCCGAGTCGCAACCGGAATAATCGGAAGGTCCGCGAACGAAAATCTCTCCACGCGGAGCGGATCCTAACAAAGTGCATTATGCCCTGGGCACATGTATCTCGTTTCGCGCTCCGGTGGATTTCACCTGCGGGCAGGCGACGCTCGTTAAGGCGTACCGTAGAGCCCCGCACCTGCATCGCGCAACTTCTTTCCAATGATCGTCCCGACCCGACTTCTGCCATTTCTGGAAGTATGGATTTTCTCGGGCTTCCAAAGGTCAGGGGAGTGATTTCGAAATCGACTCTTTCGGGAAGTGGGCCAGCGGACGAGACTTCTCTTCTCGAGAGCTTTCTCTCGAGCCCGTCCCGCGAAAAAGTCGCTCCCGAAGGAAGTCCCGTACCTCCCAGAAAACGGCCAACGTCCGGAGGGGACCGGGGGAAGGCGAGGCGGCGAAATCCGTATCCGTCCTCTCCGAGCCCTCCACCGAAACGTTCCTACTTACTGGCACTCGTTCATGATCTCCTCCTGCGTGCGCACCTGCACCGGCGCGAGGGACTCCACGTCGGTGCCGTAGTCCCTGAAGCAGGAGGTTATCTTCTCGTCGAAGGTGTTGACCAAATCCTCCAGGCTGCCGCTAAAGGGGCTGAAGGTTCCCTCCTGGAGGACGTCGATTCCCCCCTCGTTGGCGTTGCGGTTCTCCCCGAAATCGGCCTCGAGGCTCGCGTCCAGCAATTGTTCTGCTCGACCGAGAACACGGAAGAAGAGATTCTCTGACATTTCGGTCCAATCCGGTCCGGGCGACAAAGGGCGAAAGATCCCCGGACCACCCCCAAAGTAAACGCGATCGATCCGTCATTATTTCCTGATAATTTATCGGCGAGCGGACGTGACTCATTGGACCAACGCGAGGAAAACCTGCATTAGGAGGATAAACATTTCCAATTTCACCCGCAACGAGTCTAGGAGCGACGAAACCTGAAACGAGCGACCCGACACCACGGACTGGAAACCCGCCCCGGCCACGCAACCGAGCTACCATTTTTTCCATTACTCCGTATGATCGCGAACCAAATACCGCCGACTCTTATCCGTTCACCCTAAGATGACAAATACCATTATTTCCTTCCCCTTCCTCGGAACGGGCGTAACGCATCCACGGGAAGGCCTTACGCTTTGAAATATTAATAACGGATACTACCGCGCAGGTGTATTAAAATGGGGACGGAACGATCCCAGGTTCGATGCGTGTTCGGGGGAATGTTATTTTAAGTTAATCTCCGATTATGGACGCGATCGAACGGGGGATTTCCTTTTTGCCGGAGGAGTTTCACCGAAAAGGAAACGAGTTTTAGAGAGGGAGGAGGGGAGGGCGGTTTCGCACCTGTCAGCAGATTGAGATTCTTCAGGCTGGCCGTGTCCTCTTCCTCGAACCGCGCCAGGGGAGCCTCGAATTTCAACTCGGCGATTTTGCCCGCCATGTCCCTCATTATTGATCGGAACGAGCCACGGGCGATCGCGTATCATCCGCGAGGACGAGGATTCCGCGCCGGAACGCCCGCGGCGAGCTCCGACTTCGGGTTTCGGCGCGCGCGCTGCGGACGGGCGGGCGTAAAAACGTAAAAACGGAAAAGCGTGAAGCGTACTCGCGAAGCTCTCGGAGGACGACTGACTCCGGTAACTCCGTCGGAGGGGCACGGGTTAGGGAAGCCCGCCGCCTGGTGGGGGAGATGGGCACCCGTCGTCATGGCGACCGCTGGATGAGCACGGTCGCCGACAACGGTCGCTCGTATCACCTCGGGAAGTCGACTCTCTTTGCCGCTTTTTTCCCGAATTTTCTGATTGGTCGCGCCTCTCGGCCGATCAGCGGCCGCGGATCTCCGGTTAAACGGTAAACTCGGGTTTTCTCGTGGTACCTCCCCGGTTCGCGTCCGGAGAGAGACGGTTGGTAAATGATGCCGCGCGAGAAATTTCCAAAGATCCTGCACAGATGGCGCCACTGCCGTGCCCGCGTACGAGTTTCGTTTGAATTTTCCCGCAAAGCGATTCTGCATTCCTGTTTGCAGTCTCCAAAGGATCGCGCCAGATTTTTCCTGATTTCTTCTCGTATCGTTGCATAGACTTATCTTCGGGTGGAACTTCGACAAGGTTTCGCGACGGCCGTGGACCGGTGGAGCGCGACAACGGATCATTAGGATCTATAATAAGGGATTCGCTCACGTGACAATGGTATCATATTCCGCGTAGTTATTACCGCACGGGTTTGCGACATTTACATGTCGAGTGTTCTCCGCGCGCGTAGAATGTATTAGCATAAAACTCAGTCTTTCACTTTAAGCGGGAAAGATACGATCTCGTCGTATTCGAGGGAGAAAAAAAGACACGCCTCTAATGCGAAGCCACACCTTTGTTACCGAGGCGAAAATCCTGCATTCGCGGGAGCGACATTTGCGATTACGGTAATGATAACGAGCGGCCTTGCCGATTGTTTCGACGGAGGAAAAATCGGGCCGAGGGGTTGAGCTTGCTTGCTCGACTTACTCTTGACATTTCCAGCTTTTAAGGGCACTTTTTGACATTTCATGTGCAGCCACCGAAGCCCTGATGGCCGGAGCAATGATCCGTGAAATGGCGATATAACTTTCCATTTGGAGGCTGTTGATACATAACACGAGTTAAAAGGACCAGTCATTCAACGTGGCAGCCCGAGGTGTGTTGGAAGTACATAAAAGGCCTACGCGGTGCCGCCGATTATGTTTAAGGGAGTTTTATCATCCTATGGTTGAACCGGTCAAAATTGTATCGATTCGACCATTACCCCAATAGGTGTAATCTTGCCGCCGTTCGTTAACGACGCGTTAGGTGTTGCGTTCCGGAGGTCTCTCAGGTCGAGATTTCGTCGCCAAGACTTTCGCGTACGGCGAGAATCTACGAGCGCACGTGGGGGGAGGGACCCAGGGAGTGCAAAAACGAATTTGACTCATTGCAAGGGATTGTTGTTAACCTTGGCATCTCGCGAGCGCAAATCTATCGGCAGCTGTAGTTTATTGTCAATCGACATTATGCGACGGCGAGTGCCTGCGTCGAGGCGGATGTCTTCGCCATCTCCTCGCGTCCTGGGACCCTTCGAACGTCTCGAGAGTCTTTCAATTATTAACTCAATATACGAAGATCGTTCGATATCGAGGATGTTCCCGTCAAAGAAGGCGGTAAAGTCTGCAAGTTTATAGCGAACGACTCACCGAAGCATAAGTCGCGAGGAGAAGGGGACCTCGAGGAAGCGCGAGATACCTCGTCGAGAGTCCTCCTGGTCCCCGATGAAATTCTACAGGGCGAGCGCACGCTCGTTCGATTCATTGGCTCTTCAAAAGCGTCGTTTATGGAATAGGCATTCCGTGAAAAGTCGGCAGGAATTTGCAACGACTCCGCGTGAACGGAATATCTTGAATAGGTAGCGAAAGAAATCCCCGATGACCGAAAATAGAGCGAGGTTTTCGCATTTAAGAATCACACCGAATCGCTGAATCGGGGTATCGTTAATCTTTTTCACCGCGTAACTCTTTACAGGTACACGTCGCTAATATGTACACGTTTAACACAGACCTCGTGGAATCATTTCGGCGTTTAAAATTACTTAATCGTGCCGTGACGAGTCATTCTTGCCAAGATTGTAGCAGGAATCTGACACGGTGAATCGTAATTAAGGAGTGTGGGTCCATTTAAAGCTCGTTAGAGGCTTAATTGATGGAAGAATGAGGCACCGAGAAAAAGTACCACCTCGTGGTATCGGCAAACGTAAGATCCTGCTAAGGCTTTTAAGGCGCTCGACAAATAGGTGTCAAGATGTATTTGTAAATTAGCGAAAAAAACCTGACATATCGAAAGGCAGCTGTAATTGAAGACGTCAGGTGATCGTACCTGTGCGACGCTTTCTACTCCGTCCGATCGAATCCGATCGTCGCTCGAGATTTTTCCTCGCGAGCGAGGCATTCGATTATATGCGTACTCGATGCACTCAACGCGTGTAGCGTAAAGAGTATACTCTACCTGTCACTTTTATCGTTATTTTTTAATATCTGTACACGTAACCAAGGTTTTGCCTCAATTTGGAGCCGGTCGATCAAGCTTTTACGTTTTCGTGTGGGCGATAAAGACATTTACGTTTTTATGTACGAGATATACAGGCCGATTTTTTTAACGACGTCCAATGCATTATGGATCATTCTCATTCTTTTCCCGCTCTTAATTACAGCGAAGCATTGATTCCTAATCGGATTGCCGCAACAAAAAAAAACGTATAAATGTCGTGGAAATCACTTCCCCTTCGCGCGCATACCCGGAGTAATCGAAAAGATTATCCCGCGTAATTAACAATTACTCCAGATAATATCACTCAAAGATCTATAAATACAAGAAAAAAATATATGAGCGGTTTTTAACTTTCATTTTTTTTGTTGTTGTTATTTTCGCGTGGAGCAAGGGGTACAACCTTTTTGCGAGTAAACGAGTCGTAAGCAGACATTATACGGTAAATCACTGCACCGAGTGATAACTCCGCTCGATAAGCGACCGCAAATTAGATCGTCCATTAAATCGTTTGACATGCATGGCGAAAGACGCGTTTCAGCCGTCGATTACGTCGGGAGCGATACGGTTAAATAATCGTATAATTATTTACTGTCATTTTAGTAGCGATTTTGAGCGATCACGCGAAACAAACCTCTCGAGTGAAATTCGCAAAAAGGAATTACCAGGAGATGCGCTTCTGGTGAAGTTCCATTCTGGCGTCCCCGAGAACCCGCGATTATCCTTCCATTACGCGATCGAGGGTGGTTGATTATCCAACGATTGATTCGTAATCGGCTGATTAAGTCGGTACCACTCGTTACGTCAAGATCGCCGTTCGAGCGGTACTCACCTCCCGTTGATCCCGACTACTTTGAATAACATGGAACTGGAAGTCAAGGCCGGCCAAAAGAGTCCACGGTTCTTTATATTAATTCGCGGCCTCTTCGGGGCCTGAAAATGATCTCGGGTGACAAGCAGTGGCATTGAACGACGACCGAAAACCAAGGGCAACGGGTCTCGAGACCTATTTAGTCTCTAGGATCCGTCAACCGGAATCCTCGGACGATTGTTGGAGTTTGGCAATTTTGGCGCCACATTTCCGTAAATGAAATCGCTAACACCTTATCGAGAACGTGGATGGCACTTTGACAATTGCCGGCGATGATCGGTGATCGATAATCCACGGTTAAGCGAGACGTCGCCGATACCGTAGCGTTATAATAGCTTCAAGGCTGTCACCTTTCATTTACATAACCGGGCATGTGTTCGCGTTATTTTACCTCCACGCCTCGGTAATGAAAAACGATCTGGAAGCGGGTTCTCGATGACAACGGAGTAATCCTCTCGGCCGAGTCTTCAAAACAATGAATGTTCGCTTATTCACCTATGATACTACAAATTCACTCGACGCGTGTCCTTAGTTTGCGTTTTTACTCGATCCCGGAAACAAAAGGAATTCCCGGAGAGTATCCGTCGACGTCGAACGCCTTTACTTGCATATGTCTAAACGAAATCTCGTCGTCGACCCGAACAGTGCCAACGAGGATATTCCTGCGAAATTGCTTTGTTAAATATTCAGTTTCAGGCAGCGAGAACGAGTGATACGCGATATCCTGTCCGAGAAGGGATAAAATACGAGCTCGCCCCAATCGAGCCGATCTTGTCGACGAAAACGGAGGATAAAATAACTCGTCCGACTACATACGCCACGTGCCACCTTTGCTATTGTTGCTAACTACCTGTTGGCGATATGCGGACCATTTCATGGCTGGTGAGCACGTAATAACGGAAGGGAAGGTAAAGCCTGATCGATATGTCCGATAGAACTATCAAAACGAGTAGCGAGGTGTTAAAACGACAAGCCTCAATGTTCCCTTAACGAACCCATGAATCTTAAAGAAGAGAAGAAGATTCACGATTTGTCGATCGCAAGAGCAGAGCCGAAAACGAGCGACGAATCATGAATGGAATGTAACTCGCTTGACTTCGTGATTTCATAACGTTGACAGCGGGGTCGGTTGTTCATTGCGATGTATTTTATCGCTCCTCTGATACGGCCGAGTCAGATACAAAGCGTTTGTTTCGCGGAGCCATTTTCGTTGGCAAAAGTGAGGACGTCTCCGACTCCAACGAGGTGATAACATTTTTGGCCGACATATCTCTCGCGCCTAGGTGACACATTGTTGCGAGCTTTTCGAGAATCCTGTTCTGTTTATTCGTAACGACACGTAAACGATCGCGAGAATCATGCCGGCGAATTCGATAACGAGTGTTTTCGCGATAACGAGCAAAATGCGACCGGGGACGGTTAATGAGACCCAATAGGGAAAACCGTAACGACCAGTCGGTGCAGAGTTCACTTCCTAATCGGATTCAATGGGAAAATAGTCGTTGGTACCCTTTTCAAGCATGCTCGTAAATGGGGTATCACGAGACCGGATGATAACGACCCTCTCGGTTGCGGTATCATCTCCTGTCAGTACGCCGACCGTTCACGGACCGTTCACGGACCGTACACGGACGGATCGGCGGTGCCTTTCGACCTCGTCTGGGAAAATATCCACCGACCTCCACCCCCGCGTTCCAATGGAAAAAGTGAGTAAGAAGCGACACTCAATTTGCATCCGAGAGATAAATAAGACATCGGTTCAAAGGAGGAAACTACAAATCCCGAAGCTAGATTCGATCGGCGTTTCTCCCTTGTCGGGAAGTGGAGGTCGCCTCCTGGCAAAATGGCGAAAGACGAAGACTCGTAGGATCGGGCGAGGTGCAAGGTTCCGGGGATACGAGTCAAATCGAGTCAAGATTTCCTCATTTGCATGCACCGCAGGGAGGGCTTGACAGGCTAGAGTCGAGCCTCTTGAGAACGGACGCCGCCGGGAATGAGCTCACTGCTCGCAGCCACCGCACCATTTGCGGTTTTCCTATCGAAATCGGTATTAATTACTACACATGGCCGCGAGTAAGCGCAAATGTAAACCGACCGTCCAGGTGGTAATCCGAACTCGAATGCCGCTATTCCTGGCCAGGAACGCGACAGGGAGGAAACTCGGCTCGTCCCAAAATAGGACGAAACGTTTCTCTCCCACGAAATCTCGACCGCGAATGACTCCCATTGGTTGGGATTTTCAAATTTTACATTTTCATTTCACTCAACTCGGGAAATCGGCGGACTTTGTTTTTGCCCCAACGTGAGATAGCGACGGCAAAGGGTCTCTCGATTGAAATTTCCGATTCGAGGTCTCTTTGCCTCGAGACGATAAGGCGTTATCATTCGGCTTGCGCGCGACTCGATGCACTTTCCTTATGTACCGGAGGTATTTCCGAGGATGACATCGCTCAAATACTCGAATTTATAGAGATTCACTTGCCGATACGGAGTCGAATTTTTAATATTAGTATGTAACCGCGTAAATCGCTGAGGTCACTCGCAGTGGTCATTTTTAGCCTCTTGTCGGCTGTATGATCTCTTTCCAACGGGCTGATGAAGCGCTATCATCCGAGCGATTTGCCCACGTTTTCCCCCGACGGACGAACGCAGGTGACCGACGCACTCTCGTTCCTCGGTAATTGCGACGGATGTAATCGCTCGAGTTCATGACTGGCATTGTTAAAGCGCGCGGATGTATGTACAGAGTGTTCCGCTCGCAATCAACTCCTGACTGGCATGTGAAATTTTCGCCGTGGCGTGCAACCGGGCTCCTCGTATCTCTATCCGGGGTGAACGGCGTATCAATCGCATTAGTATCGATTCGTATAGCCGTGGCAACAAAGATCGTCGCGATGCCGGCAAGTGGCCGGATTTCTGAGGGACGCGAAGAGAAAAATTAGCCAGGAAAAGGGCCGTTTCCTCGCGTTTTCGGAGTAACTTTCATCCCACGGTCAACTCTCGAACGGTGGCCATGTATGCTCGCGAACTGACACCCCGGTCAATTGCTCGTTGCATCGAGTACATTCGTGCCTCTGTAAGTACAGGAATAAGTATGAGACGTTAGCTACGTGTATCGTAAATTACTGTCAAAATCTATTGCCAACCACTCCTTTCTGTCAGTCTTTAAAATTCATTTTTTAATTACAAAAGAAAAGTGCATTTTTATTCCGGAGTATGCGTTGTTGCAATCGCCAATAAAATCGACCGTCGGTACGGAAAATGCAGGTGCGGCTTTGAATAACCAGTTATTGGAGAATTACATTGTATATTCAAAATGTAAGCTACAAGAGGCAACGATTAAAGTACAATACCACCTTGCAAAAAACCGCGCATCACGGAAAAAAACAAAGAGCGTACGTCGAGGGTTAAAACTCAAAAAGCGTAACATATTCTTAAAAGCTGCATCTGCGTTTTTCATTGGCTTCCAGGCGCAAGTAAACCGTGTCGGATATTTTTGCCGATAGGATCACGTAGAAGACCTTCGAGCAAAAAACACATCATTGACTAAAAAAGGCTAATTAGGTCAGTATCGTATTCGAAATCGATAGTTTCAAGTTTCTGCCAGCGTCATATGCGGTAACCCAATGATGCACCAACCTGAGCTCAAAACGGGGGTCTCGTTTAACGAAAAGCGACTCTTCCTTGATTATATATAAAAAAAAAAAAATACGGCGCCCTTAACGGCAAGAATGGTCGATGTCCATTGATTATGAAAAACGATAACTCGCAATGAAATCCGGCTTTGCGCGGTTCAGCTCGGAAAAACATAACAGCGATAGATCGGGCATGGAGACACGCCCTATACGTTTACAAGTATATATAAGTAGGTCTTCGTACATACGCGACATGCACGGGCAAGAGCACGTATACGTGGTAGATTTCCCGCGCGTACGTACATACAAGAGCAAACGCGCCCTCGTATCGTGTCCTTACCGTCATGCGTAGTTGCGTATTACGATGTGCAGTATACGAAGCGAATGGCGATAAAAAGGAATGAAATATAATGGAGCATTCCGAGTTCGAACATTCGATGGTTAAAGGGCGAGGGTCCGCGCGACTCGAGAACTGACCTATCCCTCGCGCTCTACATCGACCGAGTCGGAATTACGCAGACGTCGCTATGACCTTATCGAATCGATCTTTCGGCCGACCTCTTGATTTCCTCCCATTGACTCGGATTTTCTACTACAGCAAACGATGCACTTCGACCCACGCAAACGATTCAACTGGGGCAGATGACTATCCCGATCAAAAGTGGACCGGAGCCGAGATCGAGTCTAGCTCGACGACTCTTTGAAAACCAAGAAAAAAAAAATAGACCATTAAACAAATTTCTTTCCCCATCGTATCGATTGATAGTTAATGAAATTAGAAACTAATTCGATAATTCGTAAAGAAAAACTGCATCTAACGTTCCTTTAACGAGGACATTATTACGGGGAGTATTTTTATAATCGGAAGACCTGCAATTGTGATTTTTTTTTATCCCTCGAACGATGTACTTAAGGACGACAGATGGTAAACGAACGTCTTATGGCACTTAGGCCTTAAAGTATGTCAATGCTCGTCGTAAAGGATACGCATGAATTGTGCGCCGTTTCGCGCCACTTAGAGGCTCGTATTAAATCGAAATCCTCGTACGTACCGTTTGCTCTCCGCATTGTTTCGAGGCGATCTTATTTTTCTTCGTTTCGTAGGCGTGTGCGCGAAGTGCTCGTTAGAGGACCGAGGTTACAATTTAAAAGAAGAAAAAATCTCGCCTTCTCGCGAGGTCCCTACGAATCGGAAGGCCTCACCTTCGGCCGACAATTAGTCGGCCTAAGAGGCGGTCGCTCGATTTAACAAGTGCCAGGAACTCCATAATATCGACACCGACTCCATATCTGGAGGCTAATCGCCGATAGAAATTCAAGTCGCTCCACCGGACTCCAATTTCCCGATCTGGGAGTCCTTACTGATCGCGATCCGCGCCTCGGGGACCACTTTTGCCGAGTAAAACACCTAGGATCTTGAGCGGTTTCTTCTTCCGAATGCTCGTTAACGAACGAGTTCCGCAACGAGGTCGCAAATAAATTGCCAAACAGTTCCTAGATAAGAGATAAATAAGACGGTGTAACATAACGTAACGTTGAATAGCATCCTTTCGCGGGAGCTTCGATGCCCGACACATTTAAGTCAGTTTGCTTTGATCGAGTGTCTCCATTTGCGGTCTCAACGAGCGTGCCATCATATCGGCACCTTCGACCGAATACCTCATCGCCACTCCTTTTGTTCAATTTTTTACCACGGATTATTCGTCCAGAAAAAAATGTGAAAATAACAAACGGTAATCCGCGACTGACATTCGTCCTGAATTTTTCACGATCTTTCTTTTGCTGCAAAAGTTTAATTGGCGTTACGATACGATGAGCTCTTCGGACAAAGGTAACGAGAAGCGCATCTACGTCTCGCTGCCCTCGAAGGGCTAATATCCCCCCCCGACTAATATCGTAGCATTCTCCGCAATACTTTGTACCGGTCTCCTTACATTCGTCCACTCGGAAACCGGAGCCGTGTCGCCACGGCCGAGGCGTTACGTTTCACTGGAAGCAAACGGTCCGTTAATGTTTGCATCTCGGTTAGCTTTTTTCCGTTCTTTTTCAGCCTCTCTCTCCATTTTTTTATCCGGCACAATAGGATCGTACGGAACCAGTTCTTGCGTCGACGACGCGTTCTCGCCGTTCTCGTCGCAGCCACTCGGCGACCCCTGAGAAAGCGGCCGCCATCTTTTTTCTCGGGACCGCGTCCTGCGCCGATAAGAAAAGCGTCCCGGGACGTCACCTCGGTGGAAATCCAGGAACCCGTCGACGCGCTTGACATGGCTTGTCATTTTGCGGGAGCGGAAAGACGCTTCTTCGGGTCCCCAGGAGTAAATACCATCCACGTGCAGCGCCTCGGTTGAGTCTCGGCAAATCTCCCGATACGCGCAAGAGTCTTTCCCACCGCGAATAGGTCGTTAGAAATTCAAAAGCTTTGAGAGCCGTTAACTATTATAGCATTGCCTACCTTCTACGAGACGACTGAAAGCCTCTGGCTGTGGAGAATGCTGGAGGTAGGCACGATTTTTCAGGGACGCTCGAATGTCGCTCCACGTCGACGCCTCTGGACCCTCGTCATCAATTTCCGGCGAATCGACCCTGCAAAAGAGACGCTTTCGTCACCAGAAGTAGGGTGGACAACCAACGGAAGATATCATGGAAAATCGCTTGCCGACGAATAGTGAAAGACGAAGCGTCCGGGAGGAGCGCTGTTACTCGCATTGAATTTACAATTCGAATTGTAAAATCCTGTAATGCGCATATGCGTTGCCTACACACTTTGTGTCTAGAGTATGTTGGACTGATTTATAGCCGCAGTCGTTGGTACTTGGCGTGGTATTCTATGCGTTAACATTTATCGGGTTTCGGTGAGATACTTTACTTTAAGCATTGAATATTGACTTAGTCATTGTACATTGTATGCTAATGAAGATACGAAGAAGGTGCATGCGAAAAAAATCTTCCGAACCGCGGAAATTTCACGGGAAGTAAATGGTATGGAATTGTTGGACGATTACTTGTCAATGGATAATGTAAGGCCAGATGACTGGAAGGATCGCCTCGGAAGGACATCCGGGTGCTGGAAGGAGCCTCGTTATGATCAAGCTACCAGGATGCAGATTATCTGGAAGAAATCGTTGCCATACCGTCGATAAGCTTGCGATAATTCCGAAGCGGAGAGGGGACGCCTCCGGGAAGGCCATTAAACTTCCACCGCCATTTTGGCGCAGGAGTTTCTGGAGGTCCTACGATTTCGGCAGACCGGATGCGATCCGGTAATCGTGCACGTGCTCCAGCGGATATCTTGACGATCCTAAAGTGTATCTTGCTCGTCCCTGAACCTGCAAGAATGGCTTTTGCCGGTAGGAGCCTATATAAGACCGCAAGCGTCCTATCACAAGGCGCAGTGTTGGGTTACCGCCGGAACGACGACAACGAAGATCGTTTTCAAATACCGGGAAGACAGTCTCTCCCCCGGAGAAAGATCCAAACGATCCGTAAGAGGACGAAGATCGGATCAAGCGGTGTCATCGGCAGCGATCCTTGGACGGTGCCTCGATTTTTTGACTATTTAAGGAGCATCCTCGCCTCTTCGAGGTTCCCTTAGCGCGAGGGCTGATCCGGTTTGATTTTATTCTCTCTGTCGATTCCATTCTCGGGGTTTATTTTTCGGACACCATGGAGACTGTGATAGTGACCAAGATGGACAAGGCGAGGATCGCGGAAAATGATCAGAGGAAGACTGGATTCGCCAAGGATGCGCCGAAAGTCCTGAGATACACGGTAAGGGCTCGTGATCGACGCCGCAAAGTACGCCCTGGAAAAAAAAAACGTCCATTAAAATTGTTTCTGAATATTAAATCATTATGGACTTGCTATGTACGCGATAAATAATTCAGTCCTGATATAAGCATTACTTGTAATGTAAGAAAAAAAAAGGTCGTTCCAGAGTAACAACTAGGAATTACAATAACAAATTTCATAGCGCTTCGTCGAAACGATAACAGTCAAGTAGGTAATAAAGGTGCATTTCATGGGCACCCTCGAGTCTTCTTCTTTTTGTGATTACTCCAGTTGAATTCCTCGACGATCGTTAATCGTGAGCAAAGAAAAGACTTCTAAACTGTTCGCACTCTCTTGTTTCAATTAAAAAAATGAAACGTTTCGGTATCTAATGCCGATATCAGGCAGATGCCGTGAATGTGTCATCTCCGGTATTTGTCAATGGCAGCTCAACTTTTTATCCGGCACCATTTTTCGCGATATCATCGTCATCGCGATATTAAGCACAAAGTGTCAAAGTACCAAAATCACATGACAATCGCGACGTAATCTTTAGGCGCTGAAGCAAAGACGTTGATTTGACGATAGCAAGTATCACAGAGATCACTGGATATTCGGTTAAAATCCAATCTCGCGAAGGCTTCGGCGCCTGAAAATTGAATTGAATTAAAATGAATTTAATATGAAGGAGAAACCCGAGTTTGCATAAATCATTCCGATTCGTTCGATTTGCCTAGCGGGGCATTTTAAGTGTAATTTACCTCGAGATATCTTTCGCGAGTAGGCGGATCGTCTTAATCACTGTGGAGATAATCGACGCAAGTACGGGTGGATACATTGATAACTCGTAACTGGAACGCCGATCGAGGACATCGCGATTGCCTCCGAATGCAGGAGAATCGTCGAGAGAATAAAGCGAGCATTGTCGCTTCCATAATTCGTATGATTGGGCGTAATACGTTGCCAACAATGGGTGCATACGTTGCAGAACTTGCGCAACGTTTACGAGAGTATGCGAATGTACCCGGGATGTGTTTACCAACGACATCTAACGAACGGCACGCGGAACGCGAATACGCAATTGCGCGCGTGTAACGGTAGAAATGAATAGGAGGGCCCAGAGACTTTCGTACGTACACTTTGTCGTCGATGACTAAATCGCAGGCAAACACGAAATGACCGCGACGCGAATGATAATATTTCCTTTGCCTTGTCCGTGTCACCCGACGCTAGCTTGAATTGCCACGGTCAATTGTTCCGGAAAATAAGAATAAATTACCCTGTCTAATATGTCCAGCCGAGACGAGACGACCCGAAAACCCGCATTCGTACGTATGCGCTGTTAGAATCTATGAATCTATCTATGAATTGCGAAAAATTAGAAATTAGAAATTCGGCGGGGCGACGGAAGTCTTATCACTTATTGCATAATTTTCTGCAAATTTAGTTTCTCGCCCCTCGACGTATCTTCGGTTGTTCCGATTGGTTTTAATTTCAATCACAGCTGGCCGACTCGTCCAACGACCCGAGCATGGACTACCATATCCAGGTGATCACACCGGATGACGCCCCGAGGGTGCTCAAGTTCCTCAAGAGGTTCTTCTTCAGGGACGAGCCCCTGAATTACAGCATCGAGCTGATCCCACCCGGAGAGAACAGTACCTGCGTCGAACTCGAAGAGTACAGCATAAGCTCGATCGAGGAAAATCTAAGTCTTATGGCCGTTTCAACGAGCGGCGCGGTCATTGGGGTTTGTTTGAACGGTAATAGAGCGGAACTGCCAAAATGTACGTACCGGTTACATCTCGTCTCGTTCGAACGAAATTTCATTTTCTCCCACGGTGTCTCGCGAGTTCTGGGACATCCTATATCACGTGGGATTTGATTCGCCGATAAACGCGCCACCTTCGTCTTATTTATGGACATAATGACCGCACGATCGTAATCGCCGATTACGTGGGTACCGCGAAACCTGCTGGCCTTGATTCGTTAACGGGTTTCGGGAATTCGTGAAAAATCCCGGCGATTGGGTGATTTGTCGGATGCAAGGGCAAAGTACGATAGGCGGTGGTAATTCGCGTTGCGAGGAAAAGTAACTGCCGTGTAAACGTTTGTCTAATCGGGGCGACTTAGCCGGGTAATTTGACTCGAGCGTATTTCCAGGCGATTTTAATCTTAACGCGCGTAATTAATACATATTAAGGAAAAAATGAAAAAGGGGCGGATCAGCGGGGTATAATTTCCCGCATTTCCAGGAGCTGTCAGTTTCCAATGGTTTATCCCCCGGTGGACTTTAACTTCTGTCGGACTAATTATTTTCCCAATGATGGACGAATTCCCTGCCAAGTCGCTGCGTTGTATTTAATTCTGCGCGCCTTAGACTCTCAATATCGGGACGAAAGGATCTCGCTTTCAGCTGGCATTACTCGCGATAACGATTGGAAAAGTCCTCGGTTGAAAGCACGACTCTTTGACCGCGGCAACGTATTTGCGCGTATCGCCACATCTTAATTTGTACTTACGCGTCGATTTCGATCGTCTTACCCAACGATCCTTTGGGCGTAGGTCGAACCAGCGCCCCGAAGGATGCCGAGCCCGATTACATCGCCGATTGTGCGAATCCGAAGTTCAAGAAGGTCCTGAAATTGCTGTACTTCCTGGACAAGCAAGTCACGGCCACCGGAAGGTACACCGGAGAAAATGGAGTGGAACTCAGGATCATCTCCGTCGACAGCAACTGGAGAGGCCGGGGTGTAGCCAGAGCTCTGATCGAGAAAACGATGTAAGGACTGTTATTACTTACGAGCACGCAAATCAACGCTATGTCGACGCACTAACAATAAGTACCTGCACGAGTCGGGTAATTTACGGTAACCACGGGTCCGTCATTCGTTATCGGCCGGTAAGATTATAGAGACGAAGAACGGCCTCGTTGACGACACGAGTCGCTGTCCAAGATGAATTAAATGGGAAAAGTATGTAAACAAGGAAATCATCAGCCTTGTACCAAGTCGCTTGTCGTGAAGTTGCGGATTTTAGCGGTTTCTTAAACGGGAACGCTGTCGAGGAAAAGTCAAGTGACATAGTTTATCGTGTGAGATATAAGCAAATTATATAATAGGTGTAATATTATATATATATATATATTTCCTACTTAATTCTTTTTTCGTAAGAGGCGTGTTGTTTCGTGGGTACCAGTTCCGTGAAGATATCAAAGTGGGATTTCGCAACCGAGTTATTCCTACTCGTTCTCCGAGTGCTGGAAAAAAACAAAAATGACACGTTCATCATTGCACACTTATGGAAGTAAAAATATCTTACGTGTTATTGGGATTTTCTCGTGTTTGCAGAGAGACGGCGAAAGAACGGGGCTTTTCGATAATTCGCTGCGACTGCACGTCCGTGTTTTCCGCCAAATTGTGCGCCAGGATTGGCTTCGAAAAAATTTACGAGTTAAAGTACGAGGACTACGTAGACGAGGAAGGAAAGCCGATTTTCTCGCCCGACTCGCCGCATACATCTGCGACATCGTACACGAAAAAGCTGTAAGAAGAAGAGGGAAAAGTGCCGCAAATAATGGAAGATTGATCCACGGCCGTGATTTCGTAAATTATCGTAAAGTTACGCACGACGACGAGGCAACTTAGAAATTTCATCGAGATGTTAAGTACTGGACCGTGTAGTACCTACGTAAATACGAAGAGAATTAATCTTAGAGAGATTTCTAAGTAACTAGTGAAGCTGTATATATTCCGTATAGACGACTATTCTCTTTGCGTTTATTTAAATGTCATGTACCGTAAAATCCTTTTTTAGGAGTGCTGCCGAATAAGGCAGTCAATTATATTTTACCGAGTGTTAAGTCAACGACCTGTATTTTAATTTGCACTTTTATTCGTAAAGCGCATTGCATGCTTCTTAAACATCGTTACGTATCGATAAATAAGACCATGTCGACCAAAAGTCATTTGACGAAGCCCTGTGGTGGAAAGTCAATGATTTTCATTGGCATTTAGTGATGTCTACCTTCTATCGGGAAGCCTGGTGAATGTACTTTATAAGAAGGATTGTTATATGATACCTGCGTCAAAGAAAAAAAATTAAATTCAAGGATCTTTGGCATTTCGAAAGTTACTTACATAGATGTAATCACGCACTGTGACGCAGTTTATTATTATTTTGTATGATACTGCGTAAGAGTAGCACTTTGATTAAAATTAACCTTTGAGGGGATGCCTAAATAATCATATTTTCCATATTATTCTATGGGCTTGGTCTCTTGCACACTACTGAGATACTTCTTGTTCCTAAACTCTTTTTTGTATCGAGCGCTCTTCTTCATTGCTAATTTTTCCTCCGCGTGCGCTTTTTTTAATATGAAAAGAAATAGAAATGCAGACCCAAATGACGATACCACAAGACACACGAGGGCAATCGTCACGTTCCTCATTTTCTTAATTCCTCTAAATCCATAATAGTTATTTTCGTAATCCACTGGATTCGTATCTTCTGCCTCGACTTCCCATTGGTAAGGATTGGCATATACTCTATTTCACAGGAAATAACAATGGTAATAATTATTATATTAATTTAAATCGCGTATAACGTACACTTTGTGCGGAGAACCACCCACTCCAGAATTCTGGCACTTCGGTTGCATATCGTATTGCCTCTTTGTATTTTCTTTACTTAAGATTCTGTAAGCTTCGTTTATTTCTACAAAATCGTTGTGATTGCTTTTACCAGTTGCATCGGGATGTAACTGGAATGTATAAAATGAGTTGTTTATTTACGCGTATTCTTTTAATCGGGAATATATTTTACTTATATAAAATAACATTCTGTACAGCTCACTTCCTTAGAGAGCTTTAGAAAGGCCTGACGAATCTCCTTTTGCGAAGAATTGGGCGAAATGCGTAGCGTCTCGTAATAATTCCGCGGACATCTTCAACAGAAATCCATTTAATTGCTAAGTTTGTCAGAATATATAGAAGGAATTAAATCAAGCCTTGAATTTCACTCTCAAAATTCAAACATTTTTCGTCAAACGTTGCACAACTGCGAGACATATACGAACTAACCTTTGACTTCGAGCTCTGTAATATCTGCAGTATAAGAACATGTTGGGCTTACATAAACGAGCAAGTGGGTACATTTTAATGACGGTTAAAAGCATTGCGTTGTCAAGGAGAGTTCTTTTCCGAGTGTATCGTTACTCAACGTTTTGGATGAAAGATGCAGAATTTTCTACGCGCTTCTTTTTGGCTGCCAAACATGTGAATACAGCTAATTCCTGCGTAACGATAATATTAGATCGAGAGCATTGCCAGGATTAGCCGGATTAGCTGGCAAACGGTTGCTTCACGAGTTAGTTGACATCGTTCGTCGATCATCCAAAACTAAAGACAAATAAAGTACAGCATTTTACACAGCAGGCAGAGTACGACGACGATTTGAATTCATATTAAGTCGCGCGCTGTTGCTACTGATCGCTACCGCGGTCTGCGCGCGCAGATTCCATCGACCAATCAGCGTTGCCCGTGATGGAAGATGGCGCCCTATCAATTTATGCTTTTAATCCATTTTCTTTACGATATCATCTCCATAACCGGATATATACCATATACCGGAATTGTTAGATGTTACAGAAAGACCGAATATGAACTTAGTAATAATCGATAAAGATATTTGCAATTTACCCATCGAGCGGTACGACCGTCTCGTTGAAGTTACCGTTCCGTTTCAGGTGGCACGTCAGTCGAGCCGATTATTTTACCCAAAGTTGCCGGTCTTCGAGATCCAAACCAATGGAATAAAATTGTTCGCGGGAAGGGACGGCACGTAATGACATTTGCGCGAAATCTTGCGCCTGCGTATGCACATTACGCGGGATGTCAAGGGACGTTTTCGTTTCGCGTTACATTGTTTTTTAGCATAATTAGAATGAAAACTAATTTGCGGAGGATTTAAATAACTTACCGTGACAAATCGCCTCTTTTATTTGGCAGTAAAATTAATCGAACATTTTGGCGGGACCGTGCATCCCTCTAATTGGTCTGAAATTGTTGGTAAAGGATTGATACCGGCAGTGAACCAATCGAAACGATTCTTTTAGTAAACATTAAATTTTTTACCGGAGAATTCCCGCCTAACCAGCCTCACAGCTGTTTCGGTTCTTGTACGGGTCCTCATTGACTCGGCAAGCCGCCCCAAGACCGTTTCTTCACTCTAGAAACGTAAAGCCTCGTCATGCCTCTGAAATTCACGACAAAGGAGAATGTCCAGCAGGACGGTAACAAACAATTAGAAAATAATCACATAGACAGTAAAGTGAGTATTTAAATTATAAGACGTTTTTCTATAATGTTTCAATCATTAGGAATCATTTATTATACTGCCTAAATAATCATTTATATTCTTTGCTACCAAATACTCATTTTGATCCGAAACAGTTATATATCGATTATTGGTAATCACAGAAGGATGGGTGTATTTCATTGTAATGAACTAACATTTTGAAATGGACTGAACAACCGATTAACTAATATAATACTTTTGATTTATTTTGTTTCAGTAGATCTTCTATTTCTACTATTTAGTCCAAATTTAATACTCTTTGTTATTGATTAATAAACATTGACAGAATTAAGACATTTTATAAAGAATAACTACTGAGTTAAATGCAGTAGTAGAATCATCTCTCGATGAGTCACTTTATCCGGTCATGGAGGTCTAACTGATTAATCTAATCGGAATATCCATGTACAAATATTGAAATATTATGTTATTACACAATGCATTGACACAGGTCTCGTTTTATTCAACTAACCCACCTATTGAGTTTAAACCTTGAAGTGCTTTTATAGTTCGTGCATTGGTATTTTAAGGTTAATATTCTCAATGCTACTAGGAAATAACTTGAGTTCTTCAGTTTAAACCTGAATTTGAAAACGCAATAAACATAGTTTAATGAACCAAACGTGTTAAAATTTTAAATACAGTTGTTTTTACTGAAGTGGTTAAATATCAGTTGTCATTGATACCGACAGAGCAAATCACCTTCATATTACATTTTTATTTAGATCATTGTTCAATATGCTCACATATATGTAATAACATGACACCAGAAATTATGGTTAACGATTGTGATGATTGGTCGTGAGAAGGTAAGTATTTAAAATACTTACAGATTTTTTATAGTATTTTCTTGTACTTATGTCACAGATATCAGTTATATGAAAGTGCCATGATAATGCATTTTTCTATGTAATTGCACATTTCATAAAATGCTTCGTTTGTGTCTGTTATGTAATTTGAATTAAAAAAAAAAAAGAACATTTCTGATAAGAAACTCAAGAAATGGCTGTAAATAAAAGATTTCATAATACTCTTTATAGTGTTTTTCTGTAACCAACAAAACGGTAATTTATAACATGGTATTTTCTGTTTCAGATATCTCCAAAGAAAGCTTGTATATCACCTAGAAAACGTTGTGCTTCCCCGGTGACTTCTAATGAAAATAAATTGACAAATGGAGTACGTTGATTATTTATGATTACTGATGTACATTTTATGACAATTCATTATTTTTCCTTTTGAAGAAAGTAACTATGTATGTTTTACCTAGGTTGAGAAAGAAAAAGCGGCAAAAAAATTGGACCAACAAGAAAATCAATTCGATCGTCAGCTGGAGCCTTTACTAAGAGAGAATCCACGCCGATTTGTGATCTTTCCGGTTCAATGGCCAGACATTTGGGAAATGTACAAGAAAGCAGAAGCATCCTTCTGGACTGTAGAAGAAGTAGATTTATCCAAGGTATATTACCAATCTAATTTAATTATCATATGGCAAACGAAAGATTTTTCATAGTTTTTACATGTTTCTTCAAACTAATAAATTACCTTTATATGTGTGCTATATTATAAAATTCTTTCACAGGATATACCTGACTGGCTCAGCCTAAAAGATGACGAACGTACATTTATTTCACATGTCCTTGCATTCTTTGCTGCTTCTGATGGTATCGTCAATGAAAATCTTGTAGAACGGTTTAGTCAGGAAGTACAAGTTACGGAAGCTCGATGCTTTTATGGATTCCAAGTGGCTATGGAAAATGTTCATTCTGAAATGTATTCTCTACTAATAGACACTTATATCAGTGATCCAAAAAAAAGGTAAATATTTTGTGCGTCTCCCCATTTTTACTGTCAAGAAATGTTTTCATAATACCCATGAATTAAATTACGTTTTTAGAGATTTCTTATTTAATGCCATTGAAAACCTTCCATGTGTCGCTAAGAAAGCAAACTGGGCACTAAATTGGATTAATCATGAATCCGCGACATTTGGGGAGCGTGTTGTGGCCTTTGCTGCTGTAGAGGGTATTTTCTTTAGTGGCAGTTTTGCAGCTATTTTCTGGTTGAAAAAAAGAGGACTCATGCCTGGCCTTACCTTTAGTAATGAACTTATTTCTAGAGATGAGGTATGAGAATACATTAGAATGAGTTTACTTATGATATAAAAAGTACCTATTCATTTATTACTTAATGTCATACCTATTTCTAGGGTTTGCATTGTGACTTTGCGTGTTTGATGTTTAAACATATTGTACAAAAACCGTCGAAAGAACGCGTTACATCCATTATAAAGAATGCCGTTGAAATAGAACAAGAATTTTTGACAGATGCTCTACCAGTTGAAATGATTGGTATGAACTGCAAACTCATGTGCCAGTATATTGAATTTGTTGCTGACAGGCTTCTGGTCGAATTAGGTTGTACAAAGGTACGTAATGCTCTTAGAAATGTTAATTATTTTTATTTGTGGTTTTATAAGAAATTAAACACCCTTATGATAAACTATATATTTTATGAATATACTTTTAGGTGTATCAATCAGAGAATCCATTTGATTTTATGGAACATATTTCCCTTGAGGGAAAAACAAATTTCTTTGAGAAGAAAGTTGGTGAATATCAGAAGTGGGGAGTGATGCAAAAGAAAGTGGAAAATACTTTCTCCATTACCGCCGACTTTTAAGCAACCTAGCAATGTTAATGCTTAAATATAAATTTAAGTATGACTAAACCTCTAAATCAATACCGAAATGGGCTGGCCCTCTGGAATCTGGTTTGACATGTACTTCAGAATTTTCAGTTGCATTGGATTCTAAGGTTCAGTACGTCCTTTATCTAATTCAACCTTCTGAAGCTGAACAAGTATAAATGAATTTTAGTAGAAAAGACTAAAAATTAGCTTTAATATAATTACAATTAAATTTGAAAGTATTTCCAATTAAAGAATTAGGAATACCATATGTGATTTTTTAAATTTACAATAATTGTTAAGTTTAAATTAATCCAAGAATCATGAATTATCTTGATTTTTCACTTGACGTTTGTACATATCATTTTACTACCTGATTAGGTATAATTTCAATGTGATTGCAAGAAATATGTCTGACTTGATCAAAAAGATGACAATTTTGTCATTCCTTGATTTAAATTAAATTTACCTATTTTTGACAACTGTATATTTGCGTGCAGTCCTTTTTCTATTTTATACAGATCTATATACTGACTGTTTAAAATGACACTAAACTTTCACTCTAATATGATTGTAAGTATGTACATATGATAATCAAAATAAAAAATGTAAATCATTTCATTACTTGTATTTATTTACATCATTATATAGTTAAGGCCTAACGTTTCAGGTGATGAAGTTAACTACAACCAGCTACCCAATTTCCATTTAATTGCAACTAACGCATAAAACATACAAAAATAGTGAACATTGGTCAAAGTTACCAATATTATCTAACTTGAACTTCAAAACCTTTCTTTAGTTTCTTAAGGTATTCTTGACGACAATCCATTTCATCCGCTGGTCTGTTGTATGGAACCCATATAGGTTCTCCAACAAAGTAACGTTTTGCTTTTATGTAATTCTAAAAATGAATAAAATATATAAGGATATATTTATAAAAAGATGGAGCATTAAAACAGTGTAACCTATTTTGCATTTTACATAATAGGGATTTTATAGACAGTAAAATTACACAGAAGCAAAAAGAAGCGATTACATTTGTATCCAGGGTGAATCGATGATATATGCCGCTAGGAATAATAATCAAATCTCCAGGAACAACTTCAATACGAATCCATTTGTCATTTTTGTCTCTCACATCAAAATATCCTGATCCATCGAGTACAAAACGAATTTCTTCGTCGGTATGAAGGTGTTCCGCAAAGAAGTTTTTTAACTTACACAAAAGATATTTCATTAATAACGGTTAATAACTTCACCCGCACGCTTTGACTGAAAACGAACGAAATACACACCTTTTCCTCATAATTTTCCAAACAGTCTTTAGAACACGTTATCTGATCCTCGTAGGTGTATCCCCGATCTTTTTTTAATTCATTTAAAAGTTCATCTTTTGAATGGTTCGCATGGTCGATCTTGAATGATAAAATTACAAACAAGTTTAATTTTAAATGAATTTACTTTTGATGAACATCTGCTGAAACAATGTATAACTCTAAGCCAAATATAAGGTGTAACTACGATTTTTTTACCTTAAACTGCTCGACACCAGTTAATTTAAACAATTCTGTCAGTGACACAAACTCTGGGGGTTCCTTTTGGTGTTCGAGTCGTTGATCCTCATCGGTATCATTCATATACCATGCGCGAACCATTTTTCAACTTTCAGAAAATGCAATAATGAATACCTCCGAATGTGTTAATTATAAAGGAATCAGCATAAAACGGATCTTTCGATCCGTAGAATACTGTATATCAGCGGGAACGATCGTTTCAGGAGGTTTATTCTACACGCTCAAAAAATTACGCGTTATCAATTTCATTGAACCGGATCGTGATGTATCGTGTACATACTTACGGAGTGCCCCACGCGTTGCTCAGCGTTGATATAGAAACTGCCCGCGCGTAGGTTCAAACGTATCATGGTTTTCGATGATTGATTTCGATTTCGACATTCGTCCCTCGCGTTCCTCACCATTCTCTAAACGAGTCACGACAAGTTATCACGTCGGTTGTTCCCGAGTCGTGTTTGCGATCCTGGCCCTCCGATTGGACGAAGTCGTCCTTTGTTGGGCCACCGGTCCGCATCGCGTTTTGCTAACGTTTGGATCTAAGTGCACGAGCCGCCGGCATTTTCCACCGAGATCCGGACAGAATGCAATCGCGCGACTCAACTCGTGAGCACTCTCCAAATTTATTTCTGTCGATACTGGCAATCCTCGGAATTGTCGAAACGCTGCACCGTTCAGCTCTGTTCCGGGTTCCGGCAGCAGCTTCTTTCAAAACGTTATTTCGGGTGGTCGGTCGCCGTGATTAGATTTCTTGTAAATAAAACTCGCGGTTGATAGAAAGTTGTGATGAGAAAGAGGGACTAGCAGTAATGGCATCCGCACTGGAGCAGTTTGTAAATAACGTTCGGACACTTTCATCTCAAGGTAACCTACGTTTGCTTCCCTGCACTCTTTGCCGTTTGGTAACGTAACCTCGAAAACCCCGCTTGGTTTGCGAGTGTGGCTTTGTCTATTTTTTCAACAGCGTCTACGTTCCGGAAAATGACTGCTTGTCAATTAATTATCAATTTTTCACTTTTTTTCCGAGTATTATCAAGTAAATGCTTCGGCGATATAATAACTTGGTTTGCCAAATATTTACTGCATAGAAGGTTCGTTCGCTGTATAAATTACTTAACGTCGATTTGTGCAATTTCAGGTTATTTTCGAGAGTTATGCGACGTTATAAGCAAGTCCACGGAAGTGCTTGTAAAGAATGTACAGCATTTAGATATTGTTCTGGAAACGTTAGATCTGCAACAACACTCTTTAGGTATCCTGGCGGTACTTTGTGCAAAATTTTCTTTATCGAATTCGAGCGGAGCGAGTACCCCCAATTTCCATAAGCACTTATTCAATCAAGTCCGAGAATTCATTCTTGAGTGCAACGCGGAACAAATTCGATTTGCCCCGGATACTTGTAAGTAATTCGAAGTAATATAGCTAAGTCAAAACGGCTAAATGAATGTGATTTATATAATAATATTAATCTCAGTATTATTATATAAATTCTATGTTGTAATTGATATTGAGTGTTCCGTGTATGTAGATGCAGAACTGTGTCATCTATTTACTCAGTCATTGGTTCAACAAGAAACGCCGATTCGAGGTATCGAGTTGCTGCGCCGTGCTATACGTAAGATCCAATTGTTCGACAATCTGTTGACATCTATACATGCCGATCTCTGCCAACTTTGCCTTCTCTCAAAGTGTTTTAAACCAGCACTTGAGTTCCTCGACACTGATGTTATGGTCATCAATCAAGAAGTTGGGCAATTTGACTCAAAATATTTCTTACTTTACTACTACTACGGCGGAATGATTTACACTGCTTTGAAAAACTATGATCGGGCGTTATACTTCTTTGAAGTTGGCGTTACAACACCTGCAGTAGCTGTGAGCCACATTATGCTTGAGGCCTACAAAAAATATATTTTGGTCTCGCTCATTTTACATGGAAAATTAATACCACCACCATATGCAAGTCGCGTGGTGAATAGGTTTATCAAATCCTTGAGTCACGCATACCAGGAACTGGCTACGGCCTATGCAACGAACAGTTGCGAAGCGGTACAAAGCATCATTACTAAATATCAAGACCTGTTCACACGGGACATCAATCTAGGTTTGGCTGAGCAGGTGCTCAGTTATTTATACAAAAAGAATATACAAAGGCTGACAAAGACTTTTTTGACTCTTAGTTTGAGCGATGTCGCTAGTAGAGTTCAGTTACCAGGACCTGCGGATGCTGAGCGGTATATTTTAAATATGGTAAATTTATATGTTCCTTTCAATTTTGCATGACTCTTAAATCTCCTATGTGGAAAACGATACAGTTTAAAGTTCAATTTTCTTGTAGATCGAAGATGGAGAAATTTTTGCCACGATAAATCAGAAGGACGGTATGGTAGTATTTCACGATGACCCAGAGAAGTATAATTCTCCGCGTATGTTAGCAAAGCTAGAGAAAGAGATGGCTGCTTGCGTCGAGTTAGACAAAAGAGTACTCGAGCTGGAAGAAGAAGTCATCGTTATGCCACAATATGTTCGAAAAGCCTGTGGACAAAATGATCAAGATGATCAGTCAACTGGCCCGCCATCGACAAATGTAACAAATGCTCAGGGCCAAACCAAACACAACACCTACTCTATGTAACATACATAACTACGTCATTGTGCGTTACCTTCATTAAAACGGAAAACAAAACACCTTGTTGAAGACCAAGCATGCTAAAAAACATTTTGAGGCCTGTTTTGGATGCAACTCTTCAGAAAAAGATGAACATTAAATAATTTTTTTTTGTCGAATTATTTAATAAAAACAATGGCGTCAATGAAAACCTTCCAAATTGAACAAGATAAAGAAAGGTGTAGAAATATGTTGAGTATATAAATAATCATTAAAGTGAAACGAGATTTCGTAAAATGATTAACTTTAAAATATTTGAACGATTATAAAAAGAAAATTGGGGTTACTTACCTCGTTTCAGTTTCTTTTTTGATATCAACGAAGAATTACCAAACACCAAAATGTAACACATTGCTATCGTACACAGAATGCTTGTAAAGAATTCTTTTCAACTATAAACAGGGTGTTTAGGATGTCTTGTAAAAGTTAAAGAACTATTGACAGATAGTATCCGAAACAGGTTTAGCGTGCCGATCTCCTGGCAAAATGTACATGCTATGGTTGGAATTGTGATATATAATAACGTGCCGGAGCGTTGTGATAAGGACTAAGAACATCATACTTGTTCGTACAGGGGCATTATATTACGCACATTTGGAAGCTGATAATGCACCAATGATTGTGCGAACAAACGTTACCGTGGAAGGAGAGACCGTAAAAGCGAATTTAACGTAGCTTTTAACGGTGGTTCATTGGTTGAATAAAACATTTTGAGTGTATGCATTACATACTAATGCTCAATGCATGAATACGGGGTGATATTCGCTTCAAAGAAAAACCAAAAGTGATCGGTTCATATAAAATTAAATACACAGAAGTAGCATGCCATAAGGTTGCTATAAACTTACAGAATAAATAGGAAACAAATAACTGAAGTAAACACCTTTATTATGTAAAGAAAAATTAGTTCTGCTTCACCCTCTTTTCCTAATACATCATGGAACATATGTTAGTTGTAACTTATATATTTTTCTCCAGTTTTAACGATTTCGCTGAAAACTCTGTCAAACACGATTTTCTGATTTTCGGTTCCATCGAGAAAAGTTATAGAATCACATAAATCCTTATTTCCTAGAATTTCAGCTTTGTGCTTAATATATTCTGGCCATACAACCCTTTCAAAGTAATCAGGAACATCTGGTGGATCGTACTTTCGATGTTTCCTTCGCCCCCAACATTGATCCTTGGTCAATGTCAAAAAGTACCTTAAATCGCATAAGTCGCAGATCGGTTTATAATTAAAAATTATAAATCCGTCTATGATCAAGATTCTAATTTTAGGCGTCTGCTCCGTATCTTCCAGTGATGAAGACTTAGTAATTTTCAATATATCGGAATGCATCTTTTCCATATCCAAACTTGTTACAATTTCCCAGTTATAATGCTTTAACTCTGGAACCTCAATGTGCCTGGGATCATCCTGTGCCAAAAAATAATCATCTTGATGTATACAGAGTGAATTCTTAAATTTTGAAGCGAGTTCTTTCGCCAGCGATGTTTTGCCACTGCACGTGGCTCCAGAAATACCAATTACCAACCACTTTGCCATGGTTATTTTCTAACTTTGTACTTCTGTTTGGGTAAAGCCTTATTCAAAACATTCTTTTGCTAAATAATTTTTACAAGCGGTTATCGCACATAGATCTTAAAACATAAATATGTACACCTCACCCAGAGATGGGTTGAGAGATTGATCACGGGTAGGATTACGCAGGATCACGTGTGATCACGCGATCGCGTCCTGTGTGAACCCCGATGGAGAGTGCGGACGTCTAACTTACTTACCACATCCTCCACCGAGGGGCAGCACAGGACGCGATCGCACAACCTGCCCGTGAGCAATCTCCCAACTTATCTAATAAATATTTCGATTCCCTGTGTGACATAACCTGTAATCTGTAATCTCTACACATTTTCGCTAAGTGAACTCCTCTGATTTTTTTAGCTACGACACATCTTATTTAAAATAGAAATTTCATAATAATTTCGAATGTTGTGTTAAGAAACAACAATAATGCAGCGTTGTCAAAGGTTACTTTTTCAGTTACGCGGAACTTACGGTATCGGGAAGCCGAGATCTGCATTTTGTAGATTCTCGACTACAGATTCTACCGATCCACCTTCAGCAAATGAAACAGAAAAATTGCAAGTTGAGAAACAAAGCAATGTTAGTGAAAATGAAGAAATTGTGAAATTATCCGGATTTGCGCGTGCTTTTGAAAAGTATACAAAAGAAGAAGAAAAAGAACCAGTGAAAGAGGAATCTTTCGCATCCATGCTACGACACTCAACATTCATCGATGTAACTATTACCGTATTAATAATTTGCATGTTTAATGTATTAATATGTGACAAAGTTTTGCTGGAAATCGTTCCAATTGTTGGTTTGCGTAATATTTCATTGACAATGTTCAATCCTTTTTTAATATCGTTCAGCTGGGTGATCCGGAAGGAAAAATAGCAATAGGTAAGATCTATCATGTCGTCGAAGATGACCTATACATTGACTTTGGATGGAAATTTCCTTGCGTGTGTTCTCGACCTGCAAATAGTGGACAGTGAGTATGGACTTCCTATTTTTATTTTGTAACATTTAGGAATTAATTTTAAATAATCATCCCGTTTTAGTTTATATGTAAGAGGAACTACCGTCAAACTAAGGATAAAGGACCTAGAACTGTCCACCAGATTCCTTGGCTCTCCTAAAGATTTAACTATTTTAGAAGCTGATTGTTCGCTAATAGGTGTTGTATCTTCTCCTGTTAGTAAATATTCTGAACAAGGAAAAGGAATTTCCAGCCATAAGGCGTCTACGTATCGTATGACAACATAAAATATTATCAAGTGTTTATGAACTTGCAATATATATCGTATGGAATTACATAGAGAAATTAGCTTACTGATTTTGTATATATGTAATAAAATAAAATGTATAAAAAACAGAAAGCCAATTTTTTGCAAGGGAGATACGGCGAATTTTAAAATACTTTACTAGAAAACTGTGGGATACTCTTTCCTCTTTTTTTATTAAATCGATATAAATCGTTGTATGGTTCTTGGTATGTGATGGCGCTGAGGTCTTGGCAACAGATATGGAATAGACGACGAGTACGCTATACTAGTCTATAACTTTATGATCAAAAGAACGTGATGTATGACGTATATTTGAAACATCTTGTTTATAAAAGACTTTTAATACAATTCTTCCATAAAAGTTAATCATAAACGGACTTAAATTGTGGTAAAACATACGATACAACAATGGTAAGATAAATACTGAAATCCGGTATGTTTGTGGTACTTCTATTGGTAACCTAACCTTTACCTTGTGTTTATTTTTATACGTCGTAACACACGTAATGCTAGACGAATCAATAATATTCAATAAATTGTATGGACGTATTGAGATATTTTTTAACTGTTTTTCAAGTTGCCTATTCGGTGTCGAGGATGTCTTACTAATTTGGAAAATGAAAATAATGGTAAAGATATATTCAAAGATGATCTTGCCATCGATACAGTCAATTTAGAAGACCAGTCACAAAGCACATTAAACTTGAATAAAAGAATCAAATTAGACTCCTGTATCGAATTAATTACCGGGAAAGAGGTGAGTTGGTATCAAACAAGTTTAGTGACTTTTTTTCTTAATAATGTTATTCGATTTTAGTTAATGCATAAGTTATTGAATAATTTTCTTTATTAATATAAATGATATTTAATGGCAGTTACAGTAATGATTTTTCACAGATCACAGAAACTGACAATTTGCCACGTGTTCTGTGTGCAACGTGTCTGAAGAAACTAGAAGCATGTATTCAGTTTCGTTTTCAGTTATTGACATCCCTTGAAATATTAATTACTTCGGTGAGTCATGATGATGCATTTAATCCAACATTAGCATGCGATGTGAATGATGACAGTAGTCTTGCAAGTAAAGCGTTTGATGCGGAAATAAAAGGGAAGAGTCAAGAAAAAGGAACAGATGTTCTTCAATCTGTAAGTGAGAATATTTGCAAAGGAATAGATTCGAAACAGATTTTGGATGATTTAATAAATGTTGATGAGAACAGTGCATCTGTAGATTTTAACGTAATATTAAACGAAGAAGCAGATGCAGTTGATGTAACAAACTGTAACAAACACCGAAATGATAAAGAAAATAATAATCTGATTGAATCCGAAAGTTCAAATGACAGTATAAATCTTCAATGCTCTATAGAAAAACGGACTAAAATTCAAGATAATGACATCGAATCTGAGATCGATGTATGTTCTGGAGAAGATGATGAAGTATTGGAATTAGATATTCAAAGCAGAAAAAATGAGACCATTGTACTCGAGAGTTCTTCCGAATCTGATATCGAAGTGTGTGATTATGAACCAACAGGAAAGAAAATAAGGAGTTACAAAACTTTAACTCAACCTATATTCTTTTAGCAGTGTTTCGTGCATCTGCAACATTGTCAAACCAGCTTGTGTATAGCTTATGTTAATGAGGTTACAAAAGAATAGATCTTAATGTGTGGCATACAATAATTTATGATTGACGAGAGACTATATTTTAGTTGCTTTAGTTTATGAATATACGAAGTAAGTTTTAACCATTCTGTATTAAATAAAGCACCTCTATGAATTTTCATATCATCTTGCGATCTGCTATACATATATCTGTGATAAAAAGAAAATATTTGGTGTAATTAAACATTCTTTTATAAAAACATTTGTCCTGTTATGTAAACCATGTCGCAAAGTGAGAAAAATTAAATCATTTGGTTTTCAGAAACACATTTATATTGAATATACTAGCTGAATATTCGGCATGTCATCCACCAAAAGAATGATGATGAATGCTTCTATTTTAAAAGCTATTAATAATTAAAAAGTAAATATAAATAAAAACCTCCCTTTGCGTAGTCTGTTAGCTTAGTTGGTAGAGCCTCGTGCTAATAACGCGAAGGTCGTGGGTTCTATCCCCACATGGATCAGCTTTTTTATATGATAATGTATTAAAAAAAATAGATGGACCGCTACTGCATTCAATTGACCGAGTCGAAATTAAACGCACATGCAAAGGCAGATACAAATGCGAACAATTGATAGCCGCAGTGAATGAATTGAAATTCAGAGATAAAAAGTCTCCTTGAATAGCAGTAAACACCTTATCGTTTACGTAAGTGTGCCGAATATGATCCAATATCGCAGGGCATTCCGTGTATCGGTGTTTCTTGCTTCACTATATGAACCAATGAAAACAAACTCTACAAGGAAATATATGTAGATGTAATTCCGATTGCATGTGATCATTCCCACGCGATACTTTATAACACTACTTAACGGTACGAGCAAGTCATGAATCGCATAGGATGGATAAAACCACTACTTGGAAAGTAAGGATTTTCTATATCCAAATATTAATAAAATATTTTTTTCAACATTTACTTCTGAATATTTTTCAGGGGAAGCTTAACCTCCTTTCCAGAGCGTGATTTTTCATTGGGCACAGCCCTGAATTTTAACATCGATAAGGTTCGTAGTTATTTATTATGGAGAGCAGTATGTAACGTTTAAACTGATTGAAACAAGTTGTATCGCGTTCAAGAAGTAACTGTAATTATTATGTTATATTTTAATAGATACTAACGACATTTGAACACTGTTTCATTTTAATAGATACTTATAGCGAACAGAGGAGAAATAGCATGCCGCATAACCAAAACGGCCAAAAGACTTGGTGTAAAAGTTGTTGCGGTATACAGCGATGCAGATCGACATGCGATGCATGTCAATTTAGCAGATGAAGCGTATAATATCGGCCCTGCTCCTTCTGGTCAGAGTTATCTTCGCCAGGATAAAATTATATCTATTGCCAAAAGGTCAAAATGTCAGGCCATACATCCAGGATATGGATTCTTGTCGGAAAATATGGAATTTGCAGAACTCTGTCACAAAGCGAATATAATTTTTATCGGGCCTCCTGCGAGTGCAATCCGAGACATGGGTATAAAGAGTACTTCGAAAGCTCTCATGGATTCTGCTGGAGTTCCTATTGTCAAAGGTATGAATAGATTTAACAAAATCACTGTCCATTCCTTAATTCTCATTTAATTGGAGTTTGAACACGTTAACAGGTTATCATGGCGAAGATCAATCAAACGGAACATTACTAAAGGAAGCAAAATGCATTGGATTTCCATTGATGATCAAAGCAATCAGAGGTGGTGGAGGAAAAGGTATGAGAATTGCAATGAAGGAAGAGGATTTCCTGGAAACACTAGAATCTGCTCGAACCGAATCTCAGAAGGCCTTTGGTGATTCCGGTGTTTTGTTGGAACAATATATTGCTCAACCGAGACACGTAGAAGTACAAATTTTTGCTGATAAACAAGGGAATGTCGTCCACTTGTTTGAGAGGGATTGTTCCGTACAAAGAAGGCATCAAAAAATTATCGAGGAAGCACCAGCGGTAAAGAATACATTTACTCTGCAGTTTTCATCCATGAAGAAGTATAATTTATTTTTAAATAGATACAATGATATTAAATGTTCCGAAACATAGCCAGGAATTTCAAAAGAGCTTCGCTCGGAATTGGGCGCTGCAGCTGTACGTGCTGCAAAAGCTGTAGGATACGTCGGTGCCGGTACAGTAGAGTTCATTATGGATCGAAACAGTCACAGTTTCCATTTTATGGAAATGAATACCCGTCTTCAGGTGGAACATCCTATCACAGAAGCGATCACTGGAACAGATCTTGTCGAGTGGCAATTAAGAGTGGCAGCTGGTGAAGACTTACCACTTAGACAAGAAGAAATTCAACTAAGAGGTCATGCATTCGAAGCAAGAATTTATGCCGAGGTAATTGGGAGATCATTTTGTTTGAATTTATTATCTGGAACAGTTATCGAATTTTTTGTTGCCATTCAGGATCCCAGGAACGGTTTTTTACCTGGTGCAGGTCGATTGTTGCATTTAACTATGCCTGTTGTGGAAAAGCATATCAGAGTTGAAACAGGAGTAAGGCAAAATGATGAGGTCTCGGTGCATTATGATCCAATGATTGCAAAATTAGTGGTTTGGGGAAAGGATAGAGACGAAGCTCTTCGTGTACTCAGGGCCAAACTCTTCGAATGTAATGCAAGTATCGATAAATTTAAATAAGGAACTTAAAACAATGATATTACGATTGTAAAGAAATTCTTATCGTTTATTAACTTCAGATCGTTGGGCTTGAGACGAATGTGGAATTTGTCATGGACTTGTGCTCTCATCCTAACTTCCAGAAAGGTCATGTCCATACAGGTTTTATCGATGAACACAGTCAATCGTTATTTCCCAAATTCCAAGTACCAAGTAATGTACTGACTCAAGCTGCTTTAACTTTCATCTTATACGAAGAGTATGAATGTCTGAAATCGATAATAAACGTTAAAAGTCACATCGACCCTTTTGCTGTCGAAGCGGGATTTAGGATGAATAATATTTCAATGAGAACGTTTCGTTTTAATGCACAAGGGGAAGAATTTGTTATCGACGTAAAGTATGTGGAACCAGAAGTGTATGCCATCAGAGTTAACAAATTAGGTCCTTGGAGACAAGCGACAGGAATATTAACGAAGAAGGATAATATTATGGAATTAACTTCGGAGATTGATGGATTAACATCCCAAGCAAGAGTTGTAAAGATCAACGATGAATTAAATCTTTTCGCCAGTGTAAGAATTAAAATTACTATCAATTCTGATTTAGCATGACATCATTTCAAGTAATATTTTTCTCCAGAATCATAAATGGCAGTTTACGATACCAAAGCCAGCATTTATTTCTGCTATCTCTAACGATGCAGATGACACGAAAGGAGCAGCGGTGAGTCCGATGCCAGGGGTTGTTGAAAAAATTTTTGCAAAACAGGGTGACACGGTACAAAAAGAAGATCCACTAGTTGTTATCGTAGCAATGAAAATGGAGGTGAGTAATTATTAATTTATTCACATTAATTAGCATTTCGTGGTAACTTGAGCATTTTTTATACAGTACATCATCAGAGCGCCGTCAGCTGGGGTGGTCGAGAGTGTCCTGTGTGCGGTTGGTGAAAGCGTTAACAGAAATAAACTTTTAGTCAAGTTGTCCGATCCTGTAGAAAATTCGTAAGTATGCAATTGTTGAACGAGGGCTACGTATACTTGTACACTGCGATGTTCACATGTTTGACACGTTCCTCATGAAAAGACGTTATTTGTTGATTGTAAATTTTATGTCTACGCTCTTATGGGGAGTTGTCGTGAATAAAAGTTTAATGAATCGTTAATTCATTAGTGATCGGTGGTGGTAAGTAAGTAAATGCGGACGGATTATTTAGCTTCCACTTGCATTTAAGCGGAACATTAGACGAACGAAACCTATTAGGGCCAGGGTATAATCTTTTCGAGAAATTGAGTACTTCCGTAGGTTTATGTAGATTTTACGTCTCGCTTTAAAGTGCGACCGAGTGCCACCTACTCGGTATGTACGGAACTGAGTAACAACCCCTGCAACTATGTAGAAAGGACGTAGACTTTGCAGGATTCAATTCACTCCTCGGTTGAATTCACAAATTGCTGGAACGAAGTACCCGGACGAGTACCCGCGTGCGTATTGTTATCGGAATTAAAGTTTAGAAATATCTTCGTTAGTGTCGACATGTGTTCAGCGGTCGCTAAGGAAAGGTGAGCATATGCGGTTGCAATGCGCGTAAACATTCCGTGTATTTTTCTTGATACCGTATACGAGATAAAGTAAGCATTATTAAGAAAATTACGTGTCTACACGTAACTCCCCGTGAAAATCGATGTTTCAAATTACTCGAAGTGTCTTCGTGCAATTCCTCCACTCGGGAAGGGATCACGCGAGCTGTCAAAATCAGCTGATCGCGCTTCGCCCCCCGCGTTCTTTTTTGATCCGCCTCGGGATTGAAAAAATGATCTCTCAAGGTCGCTCAATTTGCTCTTATCAATTTCTTTATCTACTTGGAGAAGTTAAAGCCGAGACCCCACGGCTGTGAAATACGAGGGGCCGAGCATCTAGGCGGGCTTTTATAGGATCCTGTCACGAAAGCGTCGGGACGATTGCAGGGTGTTTCGGAGTAAGCTAAGCTTATGACACTCGAGGACGATTGATATTCATATTTCTGTGAAAAAGCCCTAGGGACGTACCGCGCCTGTCGTGGGACTTACTTTTCAGCGTAAAGTAAAATTTGGTTTATCCAATTTCGGGGGCTCGGAGCCTTTTAGGCATTCTTGCCATTTGGCAGACGCGCGTTAAAGACGAGGTCGATAACGAGAATAACCCGATTCTTTCCTTATCGGCAGCGGCGGAAATGCGACGGCAGACGGAAAACCGTCCAGGAAATTGAGCTCGGTGGCAAGAGCTCTGGCAGCCGTCAATGCGGTGTCGAGGCAGTACCGACCGGTTGGTGGTGAGCCGACACGATTTTTAAATATATTTCGCGAGAGAAGTGCAACCGGTTCCGAGGAAACGGATTCATCGCGAATACGGACGAGTCTAAGTCCGATCGATGACGAACCCTGGAGGTATCGGAACCACGGGCGAGAGGTGGCATGTACGAATCGCATACATGGAGGGCTGCTCCTCATCCATAATGGGCGTTGTTGGGTGCCGCTCCTGGCACCGACTCCCATACGCGCCACCCGAAGCCTCTTCGACTTTGATTCTACGGAGTTTGCGCCTTCGAAGACCGTGCGATCTCTATTTCAACCTCTATTTTAACCTTGGAAATGCGATCCCGATTCTGCATCCAATCGAACCGAGTCCAAATCAAGATGAAAGGATCATTTGTCAACTCATATTTATTAGTGTTTATTAACAGTTTGGGAAAAAGGTGGCACGAGGGAAGCGAGCGAGTGGCGAGCGTTTCATGTCGAAAGCGAATTACTGGGCGGCGAGGGCCCTTTAAAGTCTCGTCGTAAAATCCTAAATTCTCCCTTGCCGAAGGGGTTGAGAACGCCCTGCTCTGGAAGAGAGCGCGATTCGTAAATGTCCGTTTAAACGCATTCACCCCCTGACCAGTCGACTCGCCGTGCTCGTATATTCTCAAAACCAACTCTCCCCATTGGCTGGAAAAATACTCACGACGAAATTCTATTTTTCTCATTCTCTCGTTCTCCCCGCAGATTTGTAGGCACAAATCTGCGGAGCTTCGTGGGGGGCAAATCGTACCTAGAAAAAAAACAAAAAAGTGGCGAGGGTAGTACCGAGGTATAGCCGGTTCCGGTCTATTTACGTCCTCGTTAGACTCGTAAGTCGTACTTTGGCTATAGACAACGAGCGATATACGTGCAAGAGTTCGATAGAGTCTCGAGATAGACCCTTAGCATCTATAAAAGGGGCGGACGTTGGGAACAATTACCTCAAAGGCTTGGCGCCCGCCTGTCAGTCATCGAGTTCGGGCTGAACCGTTCACGCAGACTCTGCTTCTTTCCAATAAGTCAGTCGTTTTAAAGTTTCATCGGAAATTCCACTCTAACCGTTCCCCGTCAGTGCTCCCGGCATAATTTCGCCCTTGGAAAAAGTTTGGACGTTTAATCGGCGCTTCTTCTCGGAAGACGGTTCCTCTTCGACCTCCGAGCCGAAGAGGACCCCGAAATTTATCTTTAAATTCCAATATTAAGGAACCCGAATATCATCTCATTTTTATTTAACGTCGTACCGACCTCTGCATGCATCGTATCATCTCGCGATTCGACATTCCATAGTTCGTTTCGTATTTCCTCAAGAAATTATTTCTCCTTAATTAATCATGGGTGAAGTAGAGTCTCCTAATGACGGCGAGGCTGTAAGGACACCTTTGAGGCGTCCCCGGGAACGGAACAAGGAGAGGCCCACTTATCTCAGGGACAGAGGTAATTAAACGACGCGATAGAAATGTCGATACCATCGCGAGTGTTTCAATTGGTAACGGGGCTGTTATGCCGGATAAGATTAATGATACGAACGAGACACGATCGAAAGCCTGTATGCGATCATTACCGCTATCTTTATATCCAAATCGATGTATCTTTTCTCACGTAGTTGCGAAATTTTCTCCCCTCGTGGCTGAGAAATGATCGAAATCGAAGATTCCAATCGTTCCTAAAATTCCTTCTTTAACGTTGCGGTAAGAAAATCCCCTCTATGATATGTACGATAGATAAGTTAATTTGTTGGAGGTGGGTCGAGCATTATTTATCCACTGAAAATTCGAAACAACCCCGAAACGCAAAGTCGGTAATCGAGGATCGCACGTGCTCATTCCGACACGAGCTTATAATCCGACCTTTATTAGAAGGAATCACGCTACCCGAAGAATTTTCGCGGATCGAGGCGAAGGATTTAAATTCCGTCGGGGTGGGAAGGGAAACTCGAGGGCATCTCAAGTTCACTTATCGAACGATATCGTTAGGAACTATTCGGAATCGGCCGAGGAACGGAAACGATCATCCGATACGATCTGGCACTTGGTCTGCACGCAGCCCGGATATTCTCGCGATCTCGCTCCGAGATCGCTAATTTAGATGACGCGATCGACAGCTGCTTTCCGTTTCTTAATCAGGAAGCTACCGATAAAGCCGATCGATTGTAGTCTCTAAATTGGTGGAGCCAGCTATTAATTGAAAAATTTTTATTCGCGATCCCTCTGGTCCGAATTCCCCCGATAAAAAATTAATTCAGGGGCTCTTTAAATTCTACCCTAGATGAAACTATTTTTAGTGAATTTTAGTGAATCTTAGTGAATAGGATCGAACAGGTATTCGGTAATCGCGGGGATTCAAGGACTGTGCCATAGCCGCATGTCCCGGGTGAGACGGGCTTTCGGATAGACGTCAGTGGGGCACGTCCCGAGGCACGTCTAGGTGTCTTCGGGTGTCTCGAATTGACACGTTTCGTGTCCGCCCCAAGATGTCTACGAAAACAGGGGAGGGTCCGAGGGCAGGACGTATAAAGGGGCGCGGATTCGATTTGGACTCCCAATCGACGCAGGAAATTCGGTGATCGAATTTCGGGGCTTCGCGGACGGCGACGGTCCTCGTCGTTTTTCTAAATATTTTTATAAATATCGGCGCGATTCCGTTTGCCTCGATAAGAGGTCCTCGAAGGGTGACGAAGAGGGATGCTCCTGTCGACGAGAACGGCCAGATGCGCCGCTCTGATGGCCGAGCCGGACGAACTTTATCCAGGTCATCCTCGATAATTCTTCTCAGGGTGGATTTACTCGACCCTGATTTCACCATCGAGAGGGTAATTTCTTATCTGGGATTTCCAGAACGCATCGTATATCCAAGGAACACGAGGACGCTGGCCAAGACCCCCGTCACCGGCGGGGCTCCCATTCGAGAAGATGTCTGTATGGTAAATCAATTAAATTTTATCGTCAAACGTTGATCGAAAGACGAAGTTTGGACTATTCATTTGTGAATAATTTATTAGATTTATGTTGCTGTTCTTCTTTCGCAGGCTCTGAGAACTCTGGTTTTTGGGAGCTGCGCCGGTCCACCGAAACCAGAATGGGCCAGGACTGGCTTGACGTTCAGGACTTCTGGACAGAGTATGGCTTTTGGATTACGAGCACCAAGAAATTCTACTCGTGGGTTCGTCACCGCCGTCCAGGCCGTCATGTTGAAACACTACTTGTTCAAAGGCAACAAACAAGATAATCGAATCGTTCCCGACGCGTAAGTTTTATTTTAAGATTATTTTCGGAGGCTAATTTATTTCTCGACAGTCTTTATAATTCCCGTGTTTCAGGTTGCTGAAGCCGAATCACGACAAGCAGGTCGAAGTCTTGACGTCTGCCATCGCGGAAATTATTTGGCGATGTGCCGGTGGAAGCGCGTCTTCGAATCCCGGATGTTCGGCCGGCTTCAATACGGTTAGCAATGTCATTTTGCCAAAGGCGATCGTTGCTTTGCCGCAGGAGACCGCTTACATGCAACACGGTGTACAGTACTTCCAGGATGGGTTGACGGAAACCGTACGTTAAATTTAAAAGTATATATACCTATAAGACACGATATCGGCGATAATGTGGACGTAACGTGTGCGGAATAAATTCGTTACGTTAAAATCTAACATATAGCGTGATAAAATATATACGAGGTATTTAATTCTTGCAGCTCCACCTCTTCGAATTCACTTCCTTGGACGACCTGGAGATATTCGTCAAGAGATATCTCTACTTGGTATGTGAGAATAAATTTTCGATTTTATTTCTTTTTCTGCAGTTATCGTTGACGCGCGTACATTACGTCCTATTCAGTTTCAGGACGAGGGAGGACCAGGGGCTAAATTATTGTTGTACAGCGCAGTTTTATCCAGGGGCCTTTCCAAGTGAGTGTCCCGAAATATCGAATTTTTAACGCAGCGATGCAAATTCCAACGAAGATTCAGCGCCCAGTCCGGAAATAATTTGGCGCAATTTTTCAGAGTTCGAAGCGACCTCGAAGACTCAAAGACGTCTATTTTAAGCGGATGTCCAGAGGAGGGTCCTATAACGGTTGTAATGCTGGCTTTGACAGGCAGAGCTTCTCCTCATCTTCACAACGGGGTTCTTCATGTCGGGGACGAAGACACCTACGTAAGTGGCGACCGTGTTAAAATTACGTAGATTCGGTTAAATCCTTGTTAAGAAAAAATACATGAAAAGTCTCGGGCAGATTGTATCGTTAAAGAGACGTTTCAGGCAGTTCCACAGTGGGGCGTCCTTTTAAGGAGCGAAGTAGGCTTCCTGGTGTACGAAGGCGAAAGCCAAGGAGAAAAGCAGCCAGGATCTCGTCTGAAGACTCCGAGTTTGCCAATTTGGATGACACTCTGCCTGGGTCATTACGGAGTACTCTTTAACACGAATCGAGAGCTCTTGAGGAATTATCACGCCGAGCGACGGTAATCTAAGCTAAGAAACTAAAGAAAATACTTGGGCGTGCACGCATCCTTTCCTTTACTCGGCGTGAAATTAAAGGTTCGACGTGCAGTACTACACCTGCGGTGGGAGTCATGCTACATTGACCGTGGATACGAGAGCCCACGACGTGGCCTCTGGTTCCGATGCGTCCACCAAGGACTCCTTGGACATGGCAGCTACTCCCCTGGAAAAACTTATTCACTCCAAGTACGTGAATATTCGGGACGAGATCAAAGCGAGACTAGGAGGTAATAAGAATACGTAACGAGTACTTAATGTCGATTAATTTGACAGGTGGCAAGACGCCCAGATCCAATGGAATGGAACACCGGTCCTGTAACGACGAGTCGACGGACACGGGTCGTATGTCAACGGAAGGTGTCACGTCGTAGTGCACTACGTGCGATAACTCCACCTGTAAATAATACCTTAGTTTACTTATCGTTAAATAATCGTTACCAATACGTGTAGCGTATCGGCGCAGGTCGTTCATCCGTTGCGGCAGTTCCGAGTAGAAGAGATCGCTCTCCCTCTCTCTTTCGCTTTCACGCATTCGACGCGACGTCGAAACGCGAGGAAAAAGAGACGGGGATGTTGCAAGGGAATCGAAGGTGAGTCTTCACTAGGGGTTGTCGAAAATGCCGATCGATCCGCCTAGGAAACGGTTCACCGTCCCCTGACTTACGCGATCGCGCCGCGAGGCACCGAAAAATTCTTACTCGGAGAAAACCAGAAGATAAAATGATTAAAAACTGAATAAATTGAGGAATTGGACAGGGAAAATATTTGGCGAGTATCTTCCGAGAACTAGTCCGAAAATAGAGCATAATTGGCACGGATCCACGGATCCGATTCGGATCATCGATCCGTGCAATCGGCACTCTTCGACGATCGTTTCGAGTTGGGAGAAAATTGACGAGTGGATCGTTTTACCGGTCCCTCCCGACGAATGGAAAGCTGCCACTTAATCTATGCGGAACTTCGCCTCCTATGTCTTTCCTGATAATTATTCCTGAGGTAATGCAAGAGACGAGACACTTCCAACATTCAAGTGCGACTCCTCCGCTTCTTCGTCCAATCATTTGAAATGCTGTCTTGAAAATTGATATTTTTCCGAAAATGGTGCTCGGTGGAATGATTTAAGGAACGAGATTTTTTATTTGACCTCGCAACCGGTGGCCTCGTAATTATGCCTGGAAATTAGGGGGCCCCCTGTTAAAAAATGGCGTTTACCCTTCCGGCAGACAGGATACGTCATCGGGAGCCCGAAGGGGGGCATTCACGTACGCAATTATTATACCTCCTGTCCCTCTGCGAACACCTGAACAGGTGGATGGAGCCGGCCCCCTCTTCCTGCCGACTTCCTGAGTGGTTTACTCCACTCGGTTTTGTAGTAACAAACCCGAACGTGGACGGAAAACTTCTATAGCCAGGTCGTCGTAGGTGTCGATCTTCACTTGCAAAAAAAAATTACAATCATTCGTTCGATTCGAAAAAATGTACCATTAATCGCGTCTTCGTGCGAAATTCGATTTTCTCCTGGAACGAAAAAAACATGCCGGTTTCTTGATTTTAATCGTCTTATCAATGTTCACGGTGGAATCAGGTGCATTCAGTGATCGCCGTCGGTTGTGGATATTTTTGTTGATATTCAAGTGCAATCGTTGATCCCCGAAACAACACTCGACCGCGTGATTCGAAAGAAGACGGAGAACAATGTCTACGGGAACTCGTTTCGAAGTGTAAACTCTTATTAAATATTTGCATTGACATCGTAGGCTCGATCTTAAGATCACTCGGTGGGTAAAAGGGACGAGGAAAAGTTATCGAAGAGATCGTCACCTGCGCAGATTCGAGGGAAATCGTGGACGCTGTAATTAGCGGCCGGATATTCTGATCTCGAAAGTTAGATTTAGCGATTCGGACATCAACGAGACGTCACTGCACCGAGAGGGGTTTACGGAGAAGTCTCAATTTACGGTCCGTGGATTAAGGTAGTACCATGTCCTACATACTCCTTTTATCGGACTAACCGTCGATTTATGTTACCCCGAAGCGATATGCCTTCTCATTGTTGCAAACGTACTTCGCATTGTTTCGCGAACGACAGGTTTCTCCTATTTGCATGTCGGCGCCGTTTTTGCGCGCAGAAAGTGCGCAGCTCTTGTCGAAAACAAAGATCGGGTGATACCGATGAAAATTAGAGAATTTTCCATTTTTTCTTTTGTCTCTTCCGCTGCGCAAGTCGGGTCTTACCCTTTAATGACGGATAGTTTATGCGTGAACCATTAACTTTTATGCTTATTAGAATTCCCGGAAGGGAAGTAACGATTTCCTTAAACGGCAAACCATCCTCGGTATCATTTGCCGTTATTGCCGTGAAATGGGGAAGTCGGACAAGAAATGGGGTGAGGAAGAACAGCCAATTACGTTCCCATTGGCTCGAAATAATTACTTCATTCACCTTGTTGAATTTTTTTTTTTTTCCACGGAAAGGGTCGCTCTTCCTTAATAATTTTTAGAGAAATTTTTCAGGAATATTAATGTCGTCAATAACTCTTACTCGAGGGTAATCCGTGTGTACAACTTTGCCCGCAACGAGCGGTTTCTCCGCATGCTTTCTAGACACACGTCGCTCATTCCGTAGACATTGGGTAACTCCTCGTTACTACGTGCACCTGTCTCTTGAATGAAAAAAAAATTATTATTCTTCGCAGTTACAATTTTTTTTTATACTTTTAAGAATGTATATGTGCTTTCATTGCAAGAATTTCGCAGTCATTTAGCTGACGTACAGTCCTTCGTAAACGAGTATGTCGACATTTCACGGTACGACGATCCGTGAATGGATCTTTGACCGACATCTTTAATGATATATCCTCCTCGGGTATTTTTTATAATTAAAAATCTTGGCCGTTGCGATACTTAATTTTCCGGTAATCGCGTTACGTGGTTGGTGCTATTTCTTTCAATGAAGTCTCGGTTACTGCGACGTAGAGTTTTCATTCATCCATTTCAGGTAGATAACGTTGCACGGTTCTTAATGATATCACGGCAACTAATTAATAATTTTCTCCCCAGATGCAACAAGGAACGCATGAATCCCTGGATGGAGATCTTGGATCAATATGGAGGACGCTATCCTGAAGCTTCTTCTACCGCTTTGTCTCCTGCCATTGGCCACGAGTCAACGTAAGACTGTAACGATAGTTTGCTCCAGAATGGAGCTAACTGTAAAAAAAAAAAATGGGCTTACGGTAGTGCATTGAAACCGAGCCGTTTAGTCAATTAGTTATGGTCAGGGATAACGATGCTGCCGGTTGAGTACACCGTTAAAAGTGTTTCGACGAAAAGCACTCTACATACGCTAAAAAATTGGCAGGAAATTAATTTCTGTCATAAGGAGTTGATTTTCTTTCCGGGAGAATTCGCTGGCACTCGTTTGCATTCGATCGGGAAGCGGCAAAATCGCCGGGATTTTTCTGGGTATCGTGTTTTCTGAGAAAGTATATAGAAATAAGTTCGCAGAGCCGAGTATCGGTTGGTCGATGGTACGGGCTTGCCTTGGCCGGAACTTCGCTCCAAGGAAGCGCACATATCTACCCCACATAGATGCCTGCGAATGTCTGTATGCGAGCGTAGGCGACCACGTTCGTGTAAAGGCATCGGCCAGAACGCTTCTTTGTGAACGCGTTCGAAAAAAGAGGAAAAACAATAAAATCCACCTCAATGGCTTCGACGGAGCAACGTTCCAGCGAGCTCGACTCGATCGAGTCCCGCAGTCATTATGATTTTTTTTTTTTTTTCAAAACGATGTACTCAACGCGCGAGAGGTATTCGATCCGCGACGGATGATTCGTCAAGCTAATCATTGAGTCGTTCCATAAATTCGTGATTCGATTGGCAGTCATTCGGGACGCGCGATGCTTCTTGGAGAACGGGGCGACGACGGCGAACCTCTTCGTCAACGAGGAGGCTCGAGTCGGAGACGTCGTGGGGATCCTGGGGGTTCTCGGGGATCCTGGACCCAACGGGGACATCGAGATGAGGCTACAAGAACGCGACAGTCCCGTCGCTCTTTTGCCGAATTCGAGAAATTTCACCCTAACGAGGCCCCTCGACAAGGAGGGCGTGGACGGTCCTTCCAGTGTCTACATAAACGTCATCTGCGAAAAGAAGCGCACCTTGGACCCCGTAAGAATTTTGACCCATCAAAAAACTAACTATTCAAATTTTCCCACGGTATCGGTACAGCCTCGATTAAAGACGGAAATGAAAATATCAACCGATTTGCCTTCCTTTCAGGGTTTCGTGATTCCAGTCAACATCCGAGTTACGGATGCTAATGACAACGCTCCGGAATTCATAAACGCACCTTACATTCTCAACATCTCGGAGGTGACCAGACTTCGGTTCTCAATAAATTTCCCTCTCCCTTTGGATCTTTATAAATAAATGATAAAACATGTTTAGGTGACGGTCGTGGGGACCAGAGTCCTCCAAGGAGTCAGAGCCGTGGATGCCGATCAACCCGGTCCTTTTTCTACTGTACAGTATTCGATACTCCCGGGTCCACATTCGGTAATATACTTAATTAATCGAAAATTTAAGATTATCGAACGCTCGATAACAGGGGGAATTTTTCATTCGCTGTAGGACTACTTCGTCTTCGTGAATGCTTTGGAGGGGACGTTGGTCCTGCGGAAGCCCCTGGATTACGAGGCTCTCACCAATTTCTCCGTTGGCATTCGTGCACAGGTATGGAAATGGCGATTTCGATATAAACAATTATTAAGGACCCTGCTAAGTGTCAAACGAAATTTCCAGGATCAAGGAATCCCTCCCCGATCGTCGGAGACCATTCTCCACGTGAACGTCATCGACGCCGATGATCAGAATCCCGCATTCGTAAACGATCAGTATAAAGTGACCATCCCTCGACAAGTAAAAACGGTGAGTCGAACTCAGCGTAATTAATCGCTCTACGTAATAAGGCGAACGATAAAAAATTCGAGATCTGACGGTGAAATATTTCTCAGAGGACGATATTGAAGGTGGATCCTGCCCCGATCAAGGCCTTGGATCGGGACGTCGGAATAAACGCACCTGTCAGGTACAGCTTTCAAGGTGCGATCTTGCCTTTCGTTACGGTGAATCCTGAAACGGCCGAAGTCATCGCCACTCGTCCATTGCAGGATCACGAACTCATCTCGCCGGCGACCATAGTCATTAAAGTGCGTACATTTACCGTTTTTGTCCTCTTGAATAATCGTTTGTCAAAAGAGAAAGGAAGGGTAATATGAAATCTCAATTTCAGGCAACGCAAATTGACAATCCCGATAGATACACCCTCGCCACAATCGCGGTATCTCGGGATGACAGCGTGGCCCCTACTGCAGGTAATTGCGATACTCTTAAAATAAATAATGTAACGAGTTCATCATTAATTTCATACATTTTCATAAATAATAATTTACCGATTTCTCGGCCGGCAGGTGGCAAATTACCCGTTAGGTTCGTGCTTAAGGATTACCAAGCGAGCGTGCCGGAAAATACTCCACCAGGAAGCGTTATCCTTACAGCAGGGGTTAATAAAATAGATCCCGTAAGTGTTGATCCTCTTTGGATCGATGTCAGACTTTGTGATTTGTAACATAATTCATACGACGAATGAAATTTAAGAATTTAAGGTTCTGGCTCGTGGGGGCCCAGGAGGATCTGGATAGGTTCTCGATAACCAAGTCCGGGGAATTAATCCTGAAAGGAGCTTTGGATTACGAGAGGAGGATCCAGCACAGCTTTCTCGTCCACGTTACGGATGGAGATCACGTATGTTTGGCCTTAATGTCAATTTCTACAGTAAGACGTAAAATGAATTTTATTATAGAACGACACGGCGCGAGCGAACGTCTCCGTCGAAGACATCAACGAGTGGGAACCGAGATTCCGACATCCCAGATACGAATTCCACGCACGAACTCTCAGAGAAGGGTCCATAATAGGTGGGATTTTTATATTACGATAAACGGAGTAATTGATTACTCGGACCGCACCACCTGGTAGAGTACGCTATTTACAATGAAAAATCATCAATCGCGCGTAATAGAAATTCTTGGTCTTCAGGAAGGTTGGAAGCTGCGGACGGTGATCGAGGGGACAGGGTATCTTTATCCTTACGAGGTCCTGATGCGAGGTACAGAATTCTTAACTAATGAACAGGACTATTGACCGTTTTGTATATATTTTTTTTAAATGGCGAGTTGTAGTAAAATTCGGCGGTAGTAATTCTGACCCTTTCAGGTCTTTTGAAATACGTGACAACGGAGAACTGATCCTGAGATCTCCGGGGCCATTCAATGACTCTCTAGCTCGCATAGTAGCCATCGCCTCCGACTCCGGTCGACCTCCCAGGTAATTAATTTGCGTGGTAAAATAAAATCAACGTACAAAGAAACGATTCACACAGTCCCTTCGCAGGTCCAGCATGATCCCCGTCATCGTGCACCTGCCGAATTCGGGATCACTTCCAGTAGCTGCAAGAGCTGCTCCCGCGTGGCTAGGAAGTAGCGTTCTACTGGTCGCAATATTTGGAGCGGTCTTGGGCCTCCTCGGGGTGGTCATTCTCGTCCTCATCCTGTACATCTACAAAAAGTAAGTTCCTAAAATAAATTGAACGTTCCGCAATCGGGCGAGAAGTTTGCGAGGATATTGAGATGGGTCCTTTTTCGTCTCTTTTTAGTAAAAGGCCCAAGGGAGGATCCGTGAGTTCGATGGGCACGGGGTACAGGGAAAAGTCCCCGGTACCTCCGGCTATGGGGCCCAGTTCTCAGATTCTGGGAACGAACGCTCTTCGCGACGTCCTGGAGTCTTACACCGAGCGTCGTTCGGGCATCAACAACATCGACAATCCCGTCTTTGGGGAGGACAACGAGAGCGCCTACAACGCCACCATTCAAAGTGGGTGGAAAGCCCGATAAATCCTGATTAACGCTTTAGACCCTACGAAATGAAGGAAAAGTAAACTTGATTGCAGGCGTCATATCGGCGGGGCAGATGCCCTTGTACTCTAGGCATAAAATCGCGCCAGCTCCTCCGGCGTTGGCTGCAACTTCGAACATCCCGAATATCGGTGGATTGGTCCAGAACATGAACGATTTGAGTGCCAGGACCAATTTGGACATAAGTTCGCAGAATTCGTCAAACTATTCCGCGGATCCGCCGGACTCGCTGGTCCCGGCCTGGCCGGCCTGCTCCGTTTCCCAGAGGGTGAAGAAGCTGTCCTGGGACGACGACGACGACGACGACGGAGTAAAGATTCATTCCGTTACGAACACGACTCGTTGCGAGATTTTCTCTATATTTATTTTGACCGTCCCCAGACGATGGACAGCGTGGAAGTCGCCACGGAAGCTCGAGCGGGGACCAGCAAAACCATCAACGATCAGCTGAACCTGACGGTGTACTTCTGACGAAGGCTTCGGCCGAAACGGAGAAAACCTACGCGAACCTGCCTGAAAATAAGGAGAACGAGATCCAACCTTGTGTACGACTTAATTATTTAAGGGGGTGTCCGAATACGTCCTCGGTCAAGAAACCGGAGGACGCTCGGGTACTCTCGGAGGAATCCTACGAGGGCACGATAATTTCTAATCTCTTATGAAATCGAGGTCAGTAGGCCCCAGTAGATTCTTGACCCCGGAAACGGAGAGGAATTCGCGCCTCTTCGGTCGGCGAAGTAGTGCAGCGATCTTCGAGGGCCTCTGAAAAGGAAACGAGACGAACAACGAACGGGAGCGATCGGGTCGTCAGTCGTTTTTGCTATCGTCTTTGACGATTCTCGGAAGTCACGATCCCTTCTCCGGGAAGTATTCCTTGGGCGAAGGATCATCGAGACGAGATTCCACCACCTATTTTCTCGGGGCGTTTACGCGAATCGGGTCACTAGGCTAATTGCGGCAAACGGAGCTCGGCCGAAAACAATTACCATCGATTGGCAATCTCGCTTGCTCGCATGGTCTGGCGTAATGAGAAAACCCAATCGATTCGTGGACCTTGATTTTTTTTACGAATAAAGGAAACTTTCCTGGCGAATGCGTCGTTACTTTTCTTATTTGCGAATTTCTCGAGATCTTCGTAGATTTGTCATCTCGTCTCTCCCTTTCTACCGGAACCGTTCTCGATGCGGGGTCCCGCGTGTTAAATATTACAAATCGACGAAAATGATTGTACACGTAAAACGAAAAATATTCCTGGAGTCCTAAAAAGTTGATAGATCGCTGATATTACAGGTTTAATCTAATTCCTTTTTACTCGTTGATAAAAGCAGCCTCACTTGTCGTCGGTGAATCGATCCCTGTTCGAGGAAACGCTTTTCATGGAATGTTCTCTAGATAATCGCGTAGCGGAAACAACGGTCGGCCAAAAGTATCCCCGAAGAAAGCGACTCGCTTCCAAGGTGGGGAGAAAGTGACCCAGAGAGGACCGAAGTCGAAGACGTCAGTCTCTCGAAGATCTTCGAACGAGCCTGAATGCGCTTATTTAGAAGCCGAGGATTTTGCGTGAGTATTTTTGGCATTTGTTAAGATGCGTCCTTTCCGTCTCCTCCCAATGCCGAATTTGCAAACGGCGAGTCTTTACTTAGACTCGATGACGTCTTCGGCGGACGTCATCGAGGTCCCGGAACTCTTGAACGTTCCTCTTTCCTCGATCACCCGTCGACGTCCTTCCTCGATTACATCGCGCAATTTCGTCGGCGTTTCCAAACGTGGAATTTCCTGGAGAAAGTCCGGATCGCGCGAGGTTCTCCCTCGTTTTCCTCGAACCGAAAGACGTGAAAGATATCACCGTATCTCTCCGCGCGATGACCGGAATTTAACGATTAAATCGATTTGAATTAAAAAATGTAAAATGCTTTTTCTTAGGATCACCAAAGATGTTCCGGACGGCTTCGGTCGTCCTATGGGCGATACTCGTAGCGACAGCAGGTAACTCCAAATAGAAGAATTATTTTTTGTCCTCGTTCGAAAAATGTCAACTCGCTCTCCTTGTTTCTCGTTCAGAAACGTGGACGCCAACCTCGACGACGTCTCTAATTTCCCATGGACCCTGGAGCGAGATCCTCGAAGAATTCGTCGTTCTTGGAAATAAAAGCTCCAATGCGAGATCATCCAGGGTGATGAAACTCGGAGACAAAATGTTAACGATCTCCTCCAGAGCGACCGCACCGAACAAAAGAGACGTTTCCGAAACGGACCTGTACCTGCTCGGTAGGCAATAAATGAAAAACGACTCGTTAAAATCCTTCACGTATAAACAGTGGACACAAGTTACATTTATTATTTAATTTCAGGCGCAATCGAGAAACTGGTATACAGGGTGGATTTTTTGGAGAAACGTCTGAGACGAGCGGAAGATCTTCTGCATTACGTTATCGCTGGCAACGATCACGCCCAAGGTGGAGAGTTATTTTTACACCGTTTCTACTCTAATCGAAGCCGATTGAAAAATATGACGTATTGTATTTTAGAATCCTGCCCAGAGAATTATACGAGGATCGGTCGGAATTGCTATCACTTCAGCTTTCGAGAATTTGACTGGAAATCGTCGGCCAGCCTCTGTCGCGGAATGGGCGGAAATCTGGTGGAACTGGAAACCGTTGAGGAGAATCAAGACGTTATAGCGTACCTGCAAACCGATAAGAAGGTTAAAGGAAAACATTTTTGGACCGGTGGACTAAATCCGGGACTTCTGTGGATTTGGGCAGGCAGCGCCAGACCCGTTCACCACGATACCAAACAGACCGTCAATGGCGATGGAAGGTTTGCAATCCAAATCCAAAGGACGATAACGAACGGCGTCGTTCCCGTTCCTTACGATTCGTTCGTTTCTTTTTCCAAAAATCTCTAATTGCCCTCAGGTGTTTGAAGCTGGAGTACAGTCCCATTTCAAGAATTTATTCTTACAAGGGCGAAGATTGCGGCTCCAGACAACGATATATATGCGAACTGTCGAAGGATGACGAATCCGCGAATAAAATTGAGAGAACGGCCCGGAGACTATTCGGTAAGGCGGATTAACGATTTCGATACGTACATCTTTTAAAACTGTACGTTATACAGTTTCTAATTACGCTTATAGAATGGTAACGTATCGAATGAATTAATTTATACGTTTATTGTCATGGATGTGTGAGTGTTGTATTTGTCCGTTTCTATCTGTATATATTTGTCATCGACTTTTGAGAGGCATGCATGAGTAATTGAATCGCGTAGTAAAGGTTAGCGATTGCAAATATCGATCGCATTGCAGTAGAAGGAAATTGAAGAGTAGGATCGTGGCGAAGGATTATCACGTTTATTATGTAAGTATATAAAGTCTTTACAACTCATTCACTGGCTTGTCGCGCGATTTCGACAGTTTCTAATGGTACGCGATACGAGAGATAAAACATAAATATCGTATTATATCGTACCATTTTTGTACTTTATTACAACCTGTCATGGACTAACTGTTCCCACGTCGCCTCGTTTAATTACCTAACAAACGTGGAATTCATTGAATTAAATTAACCTATTGAAAACAGCGTGTCCACTACAACGTAAAGGGGTAAGCTCTACCAAAAATGTCTCTTCGTGAACAGGAACTTTGAGGTAAACGTTAGTTGCATGTTTTAACCGAGGACGTCAAGTATTTCGTTTCGGTTTAAATTTGTACGGAATTCTATAAATAACTTAATCCTAAGAAAATGAAATTCTTCGTTTTTGGAAAATTGGAATATTTCAGGCCTGCCCTAATGACCGATAATGGAATCGTCTTTAATCCTACTAAGGTACGTTGGTAATGCTGCGAGAATTTAAAATCTTATAACTATAAAGCTGTTCTATTTTCCTCGAACGTAAGTACGGAGGAGTCGTGACGATCCTCTTTTCTCAAGATATGCTCGTGGGTGACTCAAAAGTCAAGATTCTTAATATAGCTTTAAGTGCATTCTCCGTTTGTAAATTATAATACTATAGTTTTCTCTTCTTGGACTCTTAGTCGGTAGGGTCGCCGGAGGAATTTTTAAGTAAATTTCTGGCTCCCTGACGCGCCATGATTAAGCTTCGCTTTTGACCATTGACCAGGGACAAGACGTCGTCGCTCTTGGCCAAAAATCCACCCTTGTCCGATATCTCGTCTCGGGTCTTTGCGATATCATCCGGGTCGACTCCGCGGCAGCAATCATCTATGACCGCCAATCGATATCCCAGGCGCAAACCGTCGAGACAGGTAGCCCTAACGCAGATGTCGTAAGCCAAACCGCAGACGTAAACGTCCGTGACGTCGTCGTCGCGAAGAATATCTAGCAATTCCGTCGAGTTCACCGCATTGTTGTCGAAGAAGACGGAATACGTCTCCATATCAGGGTTCTGGCCTTTTCGTACCTGAAACACGAAAGAAAGGATGATTCATGCGCTTACGTCCCCGTGGAAAAATACGTTAAAGAAAAAAAACCTTTAAATCACCTGTGCGGAACCTGACGCGACAATCAGATCCTTGTGGAGTTGAGCTCCCCACGAATCCATAACGCAGTGCCTGGGCCAAAGTCTTTGCTCCAAATGAGGATCGAAAAATATTACGGTGTCGAACAGCTTAGCCTCTTCCTTGGAAACCTGTCTCGACAAATGGAATAGTACCTGCATCTTGGAGAAGATCGATCTTCTAATTTTACCTTTGAATCGGGATGGAGCTCTCGCATGCTCAGGTTGTGATAAAATCCAATGTGATCTTCGGGATGCCAGTCAAGGGAATATATTATTTTGTGCCAGTCACCTTCTTTGACCAGCCGGTTGATCGGCTCTACGACGTCCGCCCCGTCTTCTCCTTTTCCGCAATCGCGAAGGGCAATCGTTCCGTCGATGAAATCATTCTGTACATCCACCACCAATAGGGCGTTCACTGGGCTCGCGACGACGGCGACCCATTTCTCGTTACACCTGCGAATGTCCCCATTTCTAATTCCCGTAAATTCTCGCAGGCTCGCAGGTACCGACCTAGTCCATTCTTCGCCGGTCAGCAGATCATCTCCATCGGTGTCAAAGATTTGGAAAATTTCTTTCACCGCATCCTCGTGCTTTTCCACCTCCTCGGAGCCGAATAGTTTCTCGCAAAGTGCCCGGAACTCCTGCAGGTCCAAAGCCCCATCCCGATTGACGTCGAACTCGATCAAAGGATCCTCTTCCGGCTTCCAAAGTTGTCCGTTTGCCGGCATTTTCTGAAAATAAAAATAATACAATAGATTGGGGACAGACCATCTACATAAGTTTGTGCAAACCTCCTAAGGTTTCGCCTTATCGTTTTCCACGATAAACGCAAATGGGTCATTTTTAACACGTTGGTTACCGCGTGACCCAGATATGGATGACGCTACGTGTAAGCGTGAATGGTAGCAGAAATATGGGCAACCAACGCGTTAAAGAGAGAATAATTTACAATGAAAGTAATAACGATAGGGCACGGTTGCTTATCGATTTAATATTTAACCCGATTAGCTGGTCCAATTATAGAAAAAAATTCTTTCATTCAGGGGATGCCGATCCTCGTCCTCCGGATCGTCCGGATGAAGTAATTGCAAACCAAATGTGCATTCGTACGCGTTCTTCCCGCAATTTCCGCCCAATTAGCATGTGGCCTAATAACCGCAGTTCCATCAATTGTAATGCCCGATGATTGCTGCTCGTTCAACCGTTCGTTTAGAGGAAATTGCCATCCCGTCGAATCGTTATCCTTCGCAACTCGAATATTATGAGTCGATTCCACGCAATCGTTATTCCCCGGAGCTTCGTCAACGTACGCACGGAAATACCTACATGCTTCGACGAAATTTTATTTTCGTCCCTTTGAAACACTTTGAAATTCCCGAGAAAAGAAATAACTGTCTAGTTTGTGCGAGTATCGCGAGACTGGTTCCTCAAAACCGCCATTTTGAATTCGAAAAATGCCGCGCGCAAAGCCGAGACCCCGAGGAATCGAGAGGATCGGAAAAACGGATGCCTCGTTCCGTGGCACGCGGCGGACTCTCTGCATTTAAACCGCAATTAGTCCTTAGACTATATTGTATCAATTGGAACTGATATATGAATATTCACGCGTAGTGGGTTGGTGTAGGTCCGTGTCCGGTAGATCTTGCGTATTGGGCGCGTTCCCGCGGTCTGGGCTGGCCTGGGCGCGAGCAACGGCGCGACGGAGGAACTCCTGACGCTTCTATCGACGAAACAGGTACATACAGCCCGTTGCCGAGCAACTACTTGGACAGAAGCAGGGAGACGAGGTCGGTCGTATACGCGTGCCCGACCACCGACGCCGCGGCATGCGCGGTCACGTGTCCGGTCGGAATCCCACTCGGCGCGAGTGTGGACAAAATTCTGATCGACCGTTCATCCTCGTCACGTTGACGCGCCGCACTCAGTCGGACTCCGATCGCGAACGACCGGCTTCCCGCGAAATTCGATACATCGCGCCTCTTGCGATTCAAAATGTCGTGGTAGACATTGGAACTATCGTTAACGAACGATGCGTCATCTTGTGGTGAAATTGGGAATGACGTCGCCAAGTCGCAAACGTAATCGGTGAGGAAGATTTCGGTGCGTCGAGGATGGTACGAATGAGGAATTACGGTTTTTACCAGTTTTAACAGAATACGTACGTTACAATATTAGACCGGGAAGTGGGTTAATTTCGTAGAATCCATTATTTAATAGTTTGTTATAATCATTCACGGATCAATACAATAAAGGTACAATTCTAGCATGAATCAAAATTGTGTAAAACGGCTTTTGTGAGCACTTACTAAAGTTTAAATTGTACTTAGAATTTTTAGTTTATAAAGATGTTCTCTGCATCTCTAGTTGGTAAGGTACGCATAGTATTTCATTCTTGTCAGTTTTTTTACTTACAGGTATTTCTTTGATAAATTGGTTACATATTAAACTGTGTAAAGCAAAGGATACCTGTGCAATTTGTCAACAATCAAGAATACTACACTAAATAACTAATAAACATTGCAAATGTTTTTTAATTAAAACATCTGCATAAGATCTGCTCTGGATACTTAAATTACGATACTACCTTACTGATCGCGTTTCATAAACTATCAAGGTTATAAAGAAGACGACAATACGAATTAGAATTAGAGCGCGCATAACTCTAACCAATCGAGCATTGTCGTGAATCTGCATGGATTACTTACTAGATGAAGCACCTGCACTTCAGTTATTTGGTAACACGTTACAAATATTTGGAGAACGTTGTACATGACAATGTACTCTCCTGTTAATTCTTAAACATAGGAATTCTTATGCTTAACACGATTATAAATTCTTCTGGTTTACCTTTTGCTTTGTTTATCTCTTACATATCACTTTCTCCAGATTAAAAATGTTTTACTGTTTACCATTAGTTTGAACGGGTAATAAAGCTTTTCTCTGAACATTAATTTCTTCCACAATTTGAGATATAAATGGATGCTTTATCGTTCCATTTATAGTTGAAAAAAATTCCTCCAGTTTTCCCGGAGTGTTATCTCGTTTCTCATACTCGTAAGCTTGCATAATTAAGTCTAATCGATCCAAATCCTTGACATACTGTGCTTCTGGAGATTCTTGTTTCTCATATTCCTAACATTGATATATTTTGATAAGTGATCACAATCATCATTGTAACATATCGTTACAACTCAATAAAAAAGTTCTTACCCTGAACATTTCCAGCATTTCAGGTCCCTTGTCACCTATAAGTTTACAGATGCTCTCCATGGCTTCATCTTCCATTCTATGTTTATCTTCTACAGGAATGCCACAGTAAGGTGTAATATCACCAACAATACATTCTGCTAAGTCATGAATTAATGCCATTTGCATTATCCTAAAGAATGAAAGAATATGACAATATTAAGATAGAATGATAACAGGTATTGAAATTAACACCCAACCTATAGTCCATACATACTTTGTTTTGTCTAAGTTTTCGGTGTTGTCTACAAAGAATGATATCATCGCCATGCGATACATGTGTCCTGCTATAGTTTCAGGGTCATTTATATTGCGTATAACCCAACCTGTCCTTTTCATATGCTAAAAAAATACCACGTAGGTTACACAAATTTCTTTTCTTCAATGTTTTAATGGAATTCTTCTAAATAATGTGTCACATCTCGCATCGACGATCCTATTATTTTAACAACGCAAACTTTCTTATTATAATATTTCTTTCTTATTTTTTTACCAGACCATATCACCCAACGATTTTAAGAGATGCAAAACCAATGCCATTCGATATACGAAACCTTGTACCGACAAATTTACACAACTTGATCCATTCTCATGTACTATAAATTATCAGAAATCGAGTTTGTTTCCACGCTTTTATGTAATCCAAGGCAAGTTTGAATGAATCTCAATAGACATTAGAACAAAGATAAAAGGGACAAAGGTCAGATATTTGCACTAGCTTCTAATGTTACATTAAGAAACACTTTGAGGTCAGGCCAAAAGAAGAATGAAAAAAATCAGGACACAGGTTTTGATAAAAAAAAAACCAAGACAATTGAACGCGTATATTTGTCAAAACTAATCTTCACTTTTTCTCCAAGATATTTTTTTTAAGTTACTCTAGATAGCATCTAATCATTATATAAGATATGTGAGATGTTGCAATTAATGCTTACTGCAGAAATGCATGAACGTTAGACTTGCATTCCGATGCAACACTAAAAATGTCAGGAAATGTAAAAATAACTAGGTCAACCCATGTAAAGTTTCCCGCGGGCTTAAATTCCAATTATAGGTACTCACTTTTAATCGCCCAATTAGTTCTAAGAATTCGTGAATCTTCTTGAAATCCATGTTCGAAAATTCTACTACAAAGACGTTATCATCCAATGACGGTTAACAGCAATCTGTCACCGATGAAAGTTCAGTTAGCATATTTCACTGTGATCAAACACGGACGTGCAGTAGTCCAGACGGCAGCCTCAATGCACTTTCTAGTGCACATGTTAGATACGTGTTTAAATAGCTCGTCCGTGTAGCGGTGTTGCAGCGGTCCGAACATCGCGATATAGTTCCGATCTAATCTATCTTCGGCGCAAGCGCCACCGTAGCCTCGATACTCAACCGAAATTACGAATTTGCCATCCTTTTCTTATGTCACTTAGATAAGTATCATAATTAAGTGACTGCTGTCGATAGTAATTACATCATTTCTCAAGATAGAAAGAGCGTGAAAGATTAAATTCATTTGGGTTTTCTGTAGTTATCTCAAAATTGAGCCTTCCTATGAGTCTAATCTAAGTTTTGTTATATATTTCACTGCAATACTGTATTTGCTAAGAATTTGTATGAACATTCGGTATTATATGTACATATCTCAAGTATAATACAAAACTTTACTCCTAAAAGGTATCAATAATAGCAAACAGTTATTTACATTACTTATACAAAGATTGTAATAATTCTGTCCTGTCGTTATTTAATGGTTCGTTCTTCTTTCGTCGTATTTCCATATCAGTTTCTCTCTGTTTTATCTTTGGTAATTTGAAGTCCGTTGTTTCACCTTGTTCTTGTTTCTTGCGTAATTTTTTACTCCTGTCAACATTGTAAGAGAAGAAATTCACTTCTCGTTTAGCCTGTGCGATCTCTGCACGTAATCTTTGCTTATGTACAGCACGTTCATAAGCCAATCGCTCGCAAAGATGAACCCACTTAAATCTAAATGACACGAATGAAATTTTATACAAAAACTGATATTGTTTGCTAACTAAATTAAACATTATCTTAATTTTATTCAAACCTTGGAAGATACTTTATATTCCACATCATGTCATAGAACTTGCTTTTTTTTCTGGTTGAAATCTGTGTATTGTTCAAGGTAGCAGCAACATATTTTGCCCGCTTTTTGCTTTCAAACTCAACCCAACCTTCGGTGAAATGCTTAGAAGGTGTTTTCTTCTTCTTCTTGAGCTTTTTCTTTTCATTTAATTCTGAAAAAGGAGTTAATTTTCAGTACTAGAAAATAAAACTACACTATGTTCAAAGAATAAGCTACAAATCTAAACAGAGGTTAAGCTTAGTGCGAAGTCTAATGTATTTAAAAAAAATACACTATGATATCGTTAACACGGAACAACTAACCCTGTTCTGCTAGTTGTAGGTATACTCGTCCTAATTCGCCGTATGCAGAAAATATTTCCCGAATTTTTGTGACATTCATGTATTTGGGTATTGTAGACAAATATATGATACCACGTTTTTTCTTCTTCGTTCCCGAGATTTTTTCTTTCGTAACATCATCTATAGTTTCACCTTCCGACGAGATTTCCGAAATTCTCTCATTATTTTCTACATCGGATCCATCGTTTTCGTTATAATCCTGTAAAACACGTGGACCCTCTTCCGCCATTTTGAAACTTGTTGACCATTCGAAAATCACTCATACGTCTGCTTAACGTTTTCTGATGTTTGCATGTGAACATTATTTCTCTACATTTGCCTTGCGTGGTGAGTGCCTTTGTAACGAATGGTCTTTATTATACTTATAGGTGAAACGAGTGCGAAAAGCATGGTCTTTCGGTCGGTAGGGCGGGAGAGACTGACGAGGCACTCTCTCGGGAATTTGAATTCCCGCTCTTATGGCTAGATGTTCCGCGGGCGGCTGGTCGCGTCGGTCGCGTCGGTCGCGTTGCGCAATGCGAGGCGCGCAGCGTCCGTGCGCACGGAAGACGGGGTGATTCGTAGCACGATGCAACGCTGAAAGAAGCGCGGTTTACCGCGTATCCCTCGATGTTTTTATAAAATCTCAACCGGGGGAAGTTTCTTTTGGTCCACGCAAGTGTTTCGGGGATATCCACACGCCCTCTGCGCGCATCATCGGTGAGTAACGACCGCTTTTCCTGATCGGTGCTACCTACTTCAGTGTCCAGCAAACCAAACAAGATGGCCGTTTTGGCCTTCTTGGCGGTTCTGTTTATTTCGGCGAGGAAGTTTGTTGCTCTTACCGCGATCGGGACGTTCCGCGACGCGAATGCCAGTTTCTGACTCGAAACGGCTGAAAATCCGTTGGGTGGTTACGTTCGGCGTTGTATGATGTTCCTAACGATCGTGAAAATACTCTGATAGCGTGCACCTACGTTTGCGAATACGTATGCACGTAGTCGAAGCGATTTTTTCGCGGAGCTAGCACATTACGGAGGATCGATGCCTTATATGGATCGTACGAACGAGAACTTCGGTTTAGGAGGTTTACCGGAACATCTTTATTTTGGTTTCAAAAAGTACTTTCGCATTGCTTCAGCAACGCGTTCGTTGCTTCGATTAACCTAATTAATGCTTTTGAATGAGAAAAGGGTCTAGTACTTTAAGTGCTACTTTATGGAGTAATATTTATATTCAGTCTTAAATGTACCGATAACTTGTAATTGACGTCGTAATTACTTTTGGCAATTGGGGCAATGATTTATGTCCAATTGCTGATAATATTTTCGTTTCTTCCAGAAGAGAGAAAATGTCTAGTACATATATTGTGGAACCACAGGAGAGTGGCTCTAAGAAAGACAACACTTTAATCATCGTCGTCAGCGACGATGGAACCATCTCTGTTGATCAAGAGACTTTACAAAATTTAATAAGTAAATAGTTCTATAATAAAATAAGAAACTAAGTTATTCTATTAAGATTATATATCCACAACCATTTTAACATTCTAGTGAATCAGTCGAATGCAAATGTCAGCGTGGTAAGAGTTGGACAAGCAGAAGGAGATGCAGAAAATGGTGATATAACACTAACGGTTGATCCTCCAGCATTTACATCTACTGATACCGTTACTACACCTGGAACTGTAATTTCCACTGACACGACTGGTTTGGTCGATCCATTTATGGAAATGGATCCTGAACAATTAGAAAGATTGGAAACGGCGCTGCAGAGCGAAGAGGCGAAACAAATATTAGGGGAGAACGTAACGGCTATGCTTGGTAAGTTGTAATTTATCATTATCGGTTTATTTCATAAGAATGAATAATATATATATATTTATATTTATATTTATAAATTCATATATTATATTTTAGATATGCTCACCGTGGAAGAGCAACAGAATTCTTTAAAATATAGTGTCGAGTTAGACCACTGCTATACCAGTCGTCTCTCGCCCTCAGATCCAAAACCAAGTGATCCTTTACCTATAGCAAACTCTCCCGATATCGATGACATGCAATATATGCATCCTGTTTCTACACCACAATCTGTATCGGTATCAACGCCTTCTTCCGTAAAGAGTGCAAATCCTGTGCCGACAAAGGAAAAAATAGTTACTAAAATTGTAAGCTTTCTTACATATAATTATTCCAATTTATTTAAGTTTAAAAAATCCACAGAATAGTGATATACAGACATTTGTTAAAATGTTGATATGCTACCGTGTTTTTTTTTTTTCCTCCCTTAACTACATTATTGTCTTCTCACTCTCAGGGTAAACCAGTGGGTCGACCTCGAAGAGAAGTCAGAACTGCGACACCGAGTATCACTTCGACTCCCAAGACAGTGAGCAATGCGGCTCCAAGAAATATGCTGAATATGCTGCTACCGGGAGTAAATAAAGGTGCACTTGTGCCCCTTATTAAGCCTCTCGATATGACTAACTTGCACAGTAAGGATGACATTAGGTTATAGATTGAAATTTTATTCTACTCAGGGTATCACTTTATTACATTCTATTAGCCTTGCTTTTTGCTACTCGTACCGCTTGCTTCATTGTGTTACCGTTGTAATAGGTTCAGGTCTAAAAAATTTTTTATTCGCAGTGTCAACAGCAGAGCCCGAAGCGAGTCAAGAAGGGACCGAAGAGGACGACGCGTCATCGTCATCGGAGTCTTCCGAATCCGAGCCACCATCGGATAACGATTCCGATTTTGGACCTCGACCTAGAAGAGGTGTTAGGGCAAGGGGAGGACGTAAGGGACTCACGACCAGGGGAGGCAGTATGACAGCTACGCGCAGACGAGGTAGCAACAAGCACTTAGACGTTGAACAAGTTCGTCGGCTGAACATGGAAATGGCTGCTGCTGTCGATGCAATGAAGAGTCCGGAAAAGGATAAGCCAGGTGAACGAATACGATACATCGATTGACTTTAACGCGTAATTGTATATATTTATTGTTTTATTCCGATTCTTCACCCCGCAGAAAGAGTGAGTTCTACCAGAGGCAGAAAACAAGTTAGAACGTTAAGCGGTAAAAAGAAAGATGATTCAGCACTGGCCCACTTAACGCCAGATTTCGAAGCTTCTCTGGAATATGAGAAGCCTTTGCAAACGACCAATCAAGTAAAAGCGAATTTAATTAATGCCAACATGATTAAGGGAGATATGATCCTAACAAAGCCCGGTCAAGGACGAAACAATCAGAAGGTTATTTTCGTTCAGAAACAAATTATGATGAAAGGGAACGAGTACAAAAATATGGGCTTGAAAAAGCAGGTCGTAGTTCCAAAGAGTAACGTATTGAATCAGGTGAATGCAAAGGTTGCTAGCGTCAAAGATGGGAAGTTGTCCCCAGCTTCGTCTAAGGCTGGACTGCAGAGTAGCCCGACCGGTCAGCCAAAAGTTACTCTAGCCCAGACTTCCGTGGTCCAACCTCAGGTGTCTCAGCAGCATTCTTCAAGAATAATTGCGTCAACGCCTATGAAGATTAAAAGTGCAGATGTCAAGAAGGAGAGGAAAAAATCCGATACTATGGATACTTCGTTAAAGTCTGATGTCGAGGGAGGTAAACCGGTGGAAAGTAAGATGCCGGAAGGTACGTTGGAATTCGGTTAATTAAGGAACGCTAATATGTATTTATACGTCGATACGTGTAACAGCGGGGTTCGTTGTTTTCCACAGTTGTAAAGAAATATCAAAAGAAAGAGCACCGAAAGTCTCCTGCGCACTTGGCAGACTCTATGGGACCAGCACTATTTTCTACGCCCGATATTATTCGACGAGTTAGTACCTCTAGCGAATCCAAGGTTCCAGAGACGCCATCGACTCCGACGACGCCTACCCTTAACACCAGTGGAGTAGCTATCTGTACATCGGTTACACCCACGACGTCGATTCTTTCGGTTCCTGGTTCCGCTACGTCTCTATCGAGCAACTTATCCAGGGAACCTGTACTAAATACATCCGTTCCTCCTCGGCGATTAGAATCTCTTCCTAAAGTAGAAAGTGACTCTCAACCAAAGCTTCAGATGAGCCATAGTAATCAGAAATTGGATACGAAGGTGTCCTTGGCTGAATTACACCCGTCTTTAGATCCTGGTAAGTTTATATTTTATCGAACAAACTGATAACGGTAGCAGTCAGTCCCACGTAAAATGTTATGTTCTATGATTATTCGCTCTTCGCCGAGTTTACATTTTTCATTGCTTCCCGATTAAAATTTACTTTTGTTTCATACATTACTTTATATATTTAATTTTTCTTGGTATTTATTCGCTTGATAGGAATGTTACGTTTAATTTTTCAAACCATCTTTTGTTAGCATCCAATACAGCTCAACCCGAAAAAGCCACACACTCCCCCGAACACGCTACCGTTCCAAATCATATAGTTTCTGAGCAAAGTAAGTTCCGTTACTAGCTTATCATCCTTTTATACAACCTTTAACGTTTATTTAACGTCTGCCGGAATGTAAATAACGTTTTGTCCCCGTTGCTAAGGTGGCATAGAAGGAGAAGAACACCTTTTGGCCACGTTGGAGATGGAAGCGAGTAAGCACGAAGAAGAGTTACTGGCGGAAGCGTTACTCTTGCAAGAAGAACTTGGGGTCGATTTGGCGGATCACGTATGTTTATGGATTAATTATTGGAGCCTCTCTCGTTTAAATTATTTTTTCTAAATGGATGGATTCGAAATGGACGTTTGTAAAATTAACAGGCTGCATTGGTTGACCAAGCATCGGCAGCACCAGTTATGGAGCCATTGTTGCAGTCAACGTTTGTTCCGTCAATGATAATGTCGGATCAGAGTTGTGCCAAAGGACCGGACGCTTCCGCTTCTTTGTCGAACAGTGCCTCGGATTTGAAGAAACGCGACGAGAAGGAACCTATTCAAATTGTTCGGGGTGGTCGCGTAATAACGTTACCTCCTATAGAAGCGCCTGCGACTCGAAGCAAGAAGTTGCAAGTAAAAGGTGATACTTCACCAAAGAAGGGAGACCTCAATAGAAGGAGCGATAAGATTGCGTAAGTATACGCAAGATTCGTTTGAACGGTTGTAACGATTCAAGAGTTTCTATCGTTCGTATCAATGTCCACCCTGCTTGTATTTTCCAGTAAGCAATTATTACAACATCAGCAGCAATTGCAGCAATTGCGACAAAAGGCAGAATTGGATTCCGACTTGGACGACGAGGAAGACGACGAGGATGACAATTCCGATTCCGAGGACGACCCTGACAGATTGTGGTGCATTTGCAAGAGGCCGCATAATAATCGTTTCATGATTTGTTGCGACGTGTGCGAGGATTGGTTCCATGGAAAGTGCGTTCACGTCAGCAAAGCCATGGGTAAGTCGTTATCACAAGTGAAAAAAATAAGAAAAAGCGCAAAACACGCGATGTACCGTGTTTCTTTCGCGGACTCCTTGTGCAACGATCATTTATTCTTTGTCTACAGGTCAGCAAATGGAGGCTAAAGGAATAGAATGGGTTTGCCCTAATTGCTTGAAGAAGAAAGCGGACGAAATTAAAATAAAGCACAGTCCACAGTCTTCGACTCCGAAACAGTGGAAGTCATCGGAGTCCGGTTTGCATCGGTTAGAAGGTGAAGACGCGTCTCCGGACACAACTCCGGTATCACCGGCGGAGGAATTGCCATTACCTTCCAATCAGTCGGCTGCGATTTCTGGCGTTACTCAGTGCGTTGTTTGCAAAAAGGAAGCGAGGAACTCGAGCATTTATTGCTCGGATGCTTGTATTCTGACTCATGCTCAGGAATCGGTAACGAAAGATAAGCCCCCGGCTCCGACACCGCCGCCACAGCTTCAAACCAAAGTTGTCAAGACACCGTCGGATTCACCCAAACCTAAAATGGACGGAAGGGTCATCGTCTTTGACAGAAAATCGGGAAAAGTCCTTGCTGGTAACTCGCGTTTTGATCTTTTTAAATATATAGAACCACCGTCGCTCGTTTCCATGCTTAGTTTTTTATAATAAAAATATTAACGGTACGAGAATATGGAATCGAAGACTGAACGATTTTACAGGCGCGGATGCTCCTTCGGCTTCGAATCTGAAGACATGGTTGAAAGAAAATCCGACGTTCGAAGTCGTACGGCCGAACAGTCTCAATACTGTGCAAATCGGGGGCAAAATGGTGACCGCTATACAAACGTCAGGAGTAAGTAAAGTCCTGTTACTCGCTGTGTTCAACGAGACAACGCGTGAGTTTTTTTTTTCTCGAAAACGTATTTTTTTTTTATCTGAAAACGAAGCTCGATATTTTTCAGTGAGGGGAAGAGAAGGAAACAAATTGTAAGTTTTTAAGTCGTTAACAAATTGCGTTATTTCTTAGATAAAAAGTGGACCTCAGACGGTAGCTAAAGGACCGGGACAGGCGAAGATGGTGTACACCAAAGTGCCAGGATCCAAGCAAACCATTCTGGCACCGAGCAATAAGAAAATGATCCTGATTTCTCAACAACGACAAACGAGTGGATCTCCCTCGCCCAAGGCGGTCCAACCGAGACAAACCATTCTTACGACCGCCATTAAGGCTGCGTCCGCTGCGTCGAAACAGCTGACTCTGAAAGCTATGACTCAACAGCAAGCGAAGTCACCTGGACCGACGACGCCGAAACGAGAGGTGCCCGTTAAGAAGGTGGAAAAGGAGAAACCGACTCCCCCGCCACAGAAGTCGCCTCAGTCCGTCAAGTCGCCGCCGCCGAAGAAACCCGAGACCGAGCCGATCAGACTAAACGTCCGGAAAACGCTGGCGGAATTGCTGACAACGAGGATCAAGGACGTCGACGACCTGACACTGAGCGAGGAGGAAATCAACGAATTGGCTCTGAATATCGAGCTGGAGTTGTACAAGTTTTTCAGGGACACGGGAGCGAAGTACAAAGCAAAGTACAGAAGCCTCGTGTTCAACATAAAGGACACGAAGAACCTGACGTTGTTTAGGAAGATTGCCGATCGGTCCCTGGCACCGGATGCCGTCGTCAGACTAAGTCCGGAGGAAATGGCTAGCCAGGAGCTGGCGGAGTGGCGCGAAAAGGAGACGAAGCATCAGCTGGAGATGATCAAGAAGAACGAACTGGACCTGATGTCACAGGCCAAGTCGATCGTCGTGAAGACCCACAAGGGAGAGCAGATCATCGAGAACGACGGAGGTATCGACCACGTGGACCTTAAGACTCCCGTGCAGGACATAGTGTCGGCCCTGAACAGCGGAGACAGCATCGGCTCGACCATCGAAGAGGAAAGAGAGGCGAGCGACGCGTCGAGGTCGAAAGACGACTCGAAGAAGCCGAGAGGCACCGAGGAGAAGAAAAAGAAGGATCGCGACAGGGCAAGCGGCCGGGAGAGAGACAGGGGCAAGGAGAAGAGAGACAGGAGCTCGAGCAGAAGTAAGCGACGTCGAAGCAAGGAGAGGGAGAAGAGCAGGGATCGCAGATCTACCAGGAACAAGGAGAGCAAGCGAGACAAGGACAGAGATCGCGAGCGAGACCGCGATCGCGACCGCGACAGAGAGAAGGACCGGGGGAGGGAGAAGTACAGGAAGAACAGGGGCGGCACGGGGACTCGCAACAAGGGCGGTCACAAGGAGAGGAAGGAGGACGACAAGAAGAAGGAGCAGTCGCCGCCACCTTCGGACAAGCCCATCGAGGATCGTCTCTGGAGACACGTCGAGGAGGAGACCACCACGAACACGTTCGACGGCAACGAGTCCGATCTGTCCGACCGAGAGCCGAGTTCCACCGTTACGATCAAGACCCCCGATATCAACGAAGACGTGGAAAGGGAAAGGGAAAGGGAAAGGGAGTCGGAGACCCCGAAAGAAGCAGCGAGAGGTCCGCTGCAGACCGTGTGGCGGGGCTTCGTCAACATGGTAGACGTCGCCAAGTTCTTTATCACGGCCCAGGAAGTAAGTGGCCACGCCAGAGACTTGATGGAGGACTTGCCGGACACGGTGGACGTGATCGGCAGGATAAGCCACGAGACCGTTTGGGACTATATCTCCAAGATGAAGAAGACGGGATCGAAAGAAATTCTCGTGATCAGGCTGACTGCGGCAAACGACGAGGAAAAGATTCCGTACATTACGCTTTACAGTTACTTGAACAGTCGAAGCCGACTCGGAGTCGTGGGGAACGTATCGAAGAACATCAAAGACTTTTACATTATGCCGTTTTCGAGTCAGAGTTCGCTTCCGCAGGTACTCTTGCCCATAGATGGACCGGGATTCGAAGAGCGCAGGCCACATCTGCTTCTTGGGATCATCGTGCGCAACAAGAGGAAGCGAGTGTCCGCCGTTCCTTCCGCGATACCTCCGAAAATCTCCAAGAAGGACTCCGATCGTAGCTTCACGCCTCCCTTAGGTGCCCTTTCCAAAGATAAGGCGAATCCTTCCCCCCCTGCGTCTCCTTCGGTCCATCGGAAAACACCTTTGAGTGAATCTCTCAAGGAGAAACAAGTAGTCACGGCGATGACCTTAGATACGTTGAATAAAGCTCACGTCGGAATGTCCAGAACCGTTATCGATAGTGCAACGATATCTAAGATCGTTCCAGAATTGTCCTCGAAACTCGACCTGACGTCGTCACCAGGTAAGGCGCAGCTGGATGACGACGGAGACGAGCCCTACAGCCCCGGGCAGATGGACGAGGACATTGCCGATGACGTCCCAAAGGCGGCGGATGCCGCGGTTAACCTCTTGTCGCCTGCTAAAAACTCTACCGAGTTGCAAAGGAAAATGGATGAATTGAACAGGCAAATAGAGGAGCAGAAGCAACAGATCCAGAACATCAGTTCGTCTTTCCTTGGAGAGAGCACGCCAACTCTGCCGGTGAGAATAAAAAACCTAACCTCTCGTATGCTCGATTGTCATTGGTTTCCCTGTGTTACTGTAAATAAAACTGATTCACATCTGCCTTGTTTCAACTCATTCCTCTTCTTAAGTTGTCTTTTCGTTAATTCAATGTCAAATCTTCCTTTGTTAACGCGAAATTAATAGTGTATGTATGTATGTACGTATAGTATTTTCACGAGTGTTACTTATTCGGAGGCATGTGATAACGTTTACTCTTTGCCGTCAACTTGTACCCGATGACCCGTGGTAATTTATTTATATTTAAATACCCTTGGTTATTATCGATACATTTGGATGAAAACGTTTACCGACGTCGAGGTTCGATAACTGCAGGTAATAAACGTCGGCGATCCAAGGTATCGAATTAATTCCTCTGGACGTTGGGACCGTTGGCGGCAAGAAAGAAAGAAATCGTTAATGCTTGTTGAGTGAACGTTTCTTATTTCTTTGATTTTAGGGTCTGGGACTGGATCCACCCAGTGCCGACGATTCGGAAGCCTATAGCCCGTCGGATTCTAGATCCTTCACTCCGCCTCCGCAAGGGCTCTCCAAATTCGCTCAGCCGATTCTGGATAAAGTGTCGGATATAACGATTCCACCTAATCTGCAGGAGATCCTCGCCAACGTGAAGCGACAAGAGAGCTCAAAGGTAGATCCGTATTTACCCGCCAAACCGAGTGCAACTTTCTTGACGTCCGTGAACTCGGCCGCCTACCAAAAGCCGGAGAAGCATCCGAAGCCTACCACCCCCGGTAGGAGTAGTCTGGAGAAGACAACGTACGATACTCCACCTCCCCCGGCGAAGGAGACCAAAAGTACGTTGAGATCGCTGAGCGACCTGGATCTCATCAAGAAAGCGGAAGAAGAATTGGCTGCGGTCGCTGCCGCGGCCGTCATGCGGAATCCTTCTCCTTCCATATCGACCAACGTGCCGCAACTCCCTCGCGTTCCCGCGGCGCCGATTTTGCTCCCACCTGCCGCTGCCCTCGGCGTTGTCGCTCCTGTGGCAAGCTTCTCTTCGCCGAGGGACTCCCCGGAGAAAAATCTAGGATATCAGAATCGTGATATCGGTATCGTGGACTCCGCTAAAAGAGCTTTTGCTTCCGATCAACCTAAACCTCCTGGACTCGAAGACGAGGATATCCCCCCGGTGTTCCCAACGACGCCTCCGACAATGGAGAACGTTAGCAAGTCAGCGACGCCCGCGAAGTTCGTTCCGAAAAGTGGTATCGTGCTCAGTGTAAAACGAAAGCCCGGGGACGACAACGGCTCACCCGTGCCGAAAGCTCCAAGGACAAAGTCCAGGTGGGGGCAAGGACCCTCCGATTGAATTATTCCCCGGACTCGTGTCTTTCCGGAGAAAGGAAAGACACTTAGGCTCTGAAATATTCTTTCTTACGACGTGTAGTATAATATGTTTGGATGCTACGTAGAGGATCTATCGGTGGGGATTAGCTTTTGCGACCATTTCTTGGGGCGGGAGTTGTACGCCGGTTCCAATTCTCACCTGAACTACGAACCTGAATTATTATAGACAGTCGTCGCAACTTTTACCTACTGCATTCTGTGAGGATGCCGGTCCTTTGCATTTCAATAGGACAAAAATCTTATGGCAGTTAGACGTTAAAGATTCAGGGAACTAGCGTTACAAAATTGCCACTTAGGAATTCCCAGTAACGGTATTCCATCTATGGAATTTACGTTTTCAAAAAGCTACGGTAGATTAACTAAGAACCTGTAAAATGGCATAGTTTACAATTTTTCCAGTAGTTTTAAAGTGATCCTTCCCGTCTACGCTAATTCTTTGGATCGTCTCAAAGATGGGAGACAAACTGGGTGAATGTAACTTTTATTAAATTAGATTGGGTAAAAGTTTGAATACAATATTGAAAAGGATAGGTGTGTTCCATATCGGTGGATTATTAGATTTAAATCCTGTCGCTTCCTTCGCGAGGGCTTCGCATTATCTTGTGCAATGTACGTAAAAACGGAGTCGATAGCGGTTGGGGATGGCACGGTTTAAAGTGCATAAAAATAAGATTCTCTGCGATCATGCAGCATCCAAGCGTAGTTCTTGTAAATACCAAAGTGAGAGATAGATATCGGAACACGCGGTACCAACGGATATCTTGACGCGCCTGAGACGAGGGAAAAAAAAAGCGATAGCGTCCTTGTCTGTACATAGTCCAGTTGACGCGCCCTGTAAGATATTTTCCAAAATTGTGACGTGAAGGAAAAAAAAAGGAGGGGCAATTCGAAAAATGAGGCAAACTGCAACGGTATTATTTTGACAGGTTAATCGTGTAAATATTGAACTTGGTGATTTCGGAAATCAATTTTTGCAACCGGTACTCGTCCGTACGGCGTGTTTGATGCTAAGCGATAAGTGTAGGAAAATCACGTTTTATAAGCAACGCCTGTTAACCTCCTCTCTGTCTCTTCCTCCCACGTTTTAGTAAGTGATATAAATGTTTATGCCGTTATGCATAAGTACCGCAACCACGTAGTTAACACGACCGCTACACGTTATATAGCAGCTGTGTAATTGGAAGTATGTAAAAAAAAAAACTTATCGATAACCTAGCTCGTATGTATGTACACTAACGTAACTTTATGGAAACACGCAAAATTTAAATTTTGTTACGGTAAAATAGTTGCGCTTCAGTTCGAGGGTAACCCTATCGTTTTTTTTTTTTTTTTTTTTAATTATCGGTTTGACACCTGGTCGAGCACTCGATGACAGAAATCGAGAGAAAAGCTTAATATCGGTGCTAACGTCATAAGGCAATGGTATATCGTGTAAAAATAGGTAGTTATTCTATGGATAAAGATAAACTATGATTTTCAAGGTCCAATGTGTCTTTACAAAGGTTAAAACGATGAAAGGGACATAAAATAATCTGTCTCAACGGAAGGCTTCTTCTTCTTCGATACTTTTTATTTGCACAGTGGCAAACAACGGATAACTCATTGATTACTCATTGTAGTGGAGGGTAAGCGAGGTTGAAAGTTTTAACCGAAGGACATTTACTATCCACTTTGCATGTTCTGATATATTCTGAATTTTATTTGTTCCTGTTACTAAAACATGTGGTTCGATATCGCACCCCCAACATAACGGTATCATTGCTTACTACTCTTTATCAAATTATAGTGCAATTTACGCCATTTTGTATTATCTACTACCGCCATGGCAACGATTGTAAAAATGTGAAATGAAAAAAGGTAATCCCACGTATGGAACAATGGCAAACGTACTATTGTCGAAACATTGTACTGTCAATTACATGTAAGACATTGTGATCGAGACAATAACTCATAGAACGTTCTCATTTTTACATGGACTTTTGTAAGAAATAAAGTAGGCATTTTCTTATCTATCAAAAATGACTTTAATGCTTTACGTTAGTTACTTGCACGTGATTCAAACGTTGGAGGTGCGATGTGCAATGATGTATTTTTTACTGCATTTCTCAAAAGAAACAATTGTTTTTTGTATAAAGCAATGCATGGCATTAGAAAAACCTTTTCTAAATCTTCCACAGGAGTAGCTTCTTAGAACTATGGATATGCATACAGGTATCTTTGTACGTACTGTGCATCTTCCTTGTTTTTTCCAGTTGTTCATTTTCTTTCCCGGCATCATTGGAAAGTATACTTTCTAAGTGCATGCACGTTACACCGGTGAATGGGTTTCCATCGCTCCGATGGCAGCGTGATTAGAATATATAATTTAACATTGACTTTGTTGCTTTACTCACGTCGATAATGATTAAATAGCATTTTTGGTTTAAACCGAAACAATCCCATCGTTTGCATAAGAAAATGATTGCATTAAATAGATAGTCTCTTCTTTTTGTACACATATCCATAAGGGACAACACGGTATTCTGGCTCGATCAATGTGTTGGGGCTATGCGTATGTAAATACAAATATATATACAAAAGTATATCATATATATATATATATATATATATATACACACAGATCTATAAGTACTTATTTTTAATTTTTACTACATTGCATTTATGTTTCACATGTTATACCACGATTGGCAATGATTTAAATATAATACATGGGCATGTACTCTTTGATCCGAGAAAACGGAAAATATGAATAATTTATTTAATTAATTACAGTTAATTTTAATATCATTGATATTCTTTTTAAATGAAATATACACGATGCCGATTGTGAACGATACTAAACTTTCCTTTTAATCGGTGATGCATACAAACTATGCTCATGTATTGGTTAACGTGGGAGTGGATCAAGAGGTCGATTCTGTAACTTTGGCGAGAGTGCTCACTTCTCGCATTGTCATCTCACATGAGTTTATTCGCTCGGAGTTTCTTGTCGAGTGGACTCACGCGAAGTATTTCACATTCTTACGATAGTGAAAGATACGGAATCGCCGACTTTCACGTTTCGAATTTTTCACTAGATTCGAGATACAGAATCGACCCCCCCAGTGACGGAGATTCATTTTATCTTTGTCACACAAATGATTATAGAATTTTGTGCGACAAGGATATAGATAAACCGAACCTACTTGGATATTTTGGAAACTGAGGTGACAGGCAACGGTATACAAAAACGAATCACGTGGATATGATATCCAACGTTTTTCCGCGATAGTAGTAATTTTCTTCAAGTTTATATTTTCTAAATATGTCTAATTCATTAGTACGAAAGAGTCTGGAAATACTAAATTACGAGAAGGACCTGAAACAAGGTGATTTTCTAAAATAATTTATAGGTTAGAAGTTTGCATAGTTTTCATGCTAATACAAATTTCTGAAAATAATAGGGAAGAAGAAAAAAGAAAGATCAAAGAGTACTTTGGATCTGATTCCTGCCAAGCATAGGACCGTTTCTCGCAGAAAAGCAGGTTTGCATCTTATAACAATCTATGACATCGTTAGGCCAAAAAATATTTATGTTTAAAGATTAATTGCGGTCATAGTACATGATAATAGAAAAAAAACAATAACCCGTTCAAGGCAACTTATAAATATATTTACAGATACCACGGCTGTTTTACGACGGTCGAGTAAAATCACGGTGCACGAAGCTAAGAAACAATTGTGCAGCAAGACAGACCCGATAGAAGAAAATGTCCAACGACTTCTTCTTTTAAGTAGTGGACACCTGGACACAGAAACATTTGATAAAGTTTGTATTTGTAGTACTCGTTGCGCAGGACTTATTCTTAAAGAAATACTGATTTAGCAAATAATTTTTTTTAGCACATAAATCGTGCAGTTAAACAGTACGTACCAAAGAAAGAAAAACCTGCAGTACCGGAAACAACAGCTTTTACCGAAGAAGATTTTAAGAAGTTTGAACAAGAATACATAGGATAATAAGTTTAAATTAATATTTTACACGTATTAACGCAAGCGTACACAGGAACGACATGTTAGACAGCGACCGTGAAAAGGGTAAAGTAATTTTAATCGCGATCACTCTTATTTTTCTGTATTACACCATTTGGGTAATTGGTTTGCCATTCATAGACGACGATAAATTACATTCTTTCTTTTATTCGCATAGCATAGCCTTGATGACTCCTGCTATTACCGGTCTTTGCTTTGTCGGTGGTTTGGTAATATTCACGGCGTACCATGTAACGCCTTATTTGTTGCAATATAGGCAGCTCGATAAATAAATATCGATATATAACAGAAATGAAAATAAATTTAATTTGTAAGCCAGAGATTCTACTTAAGGCACTTTCCTTTCCCGCATGTCTTTAAAAGTCTACGAATGGCGATATGCGATGACGTCAGAAAATGTAACGGCTGACCCGACTATAAAAGCAGCAGAACCTAATGAGAAAACAGGGGGTGTTTTGTCGTTCTGTCTCCTTTTATACGAAATAGTTGCGCAGCACGATATAGCGACCGGCTGCGACCGACTGTCCAACGGCAAGAGAGAAAGAAGAGTTCTCTCTCGATTTGGCTACCTTTGCGAGAGCATCAAGGGAGTGGTTCGATCGCGACACGTAACTTACGGCCATGTACGGACCCGACGGGCCAATTTAATTGCGCGGATATCAGAACCGAGAGACAAAATAAAGGGGACGTTTTCTCGTTCTTTCTCCCTCGGTTCGGACGAAACGATCGATTCGTCTACGAGGGCAACGAAACGGGGGGGCCATTTTCTCGCTCCTTCTCCCTCGTTGCGCAGCACGATATAGCGACTGCCGATCCAACGGTAGAGGGAAGAGAGAAAAAGGAGCGCCTCCCGTTCTTCCTCTCTTTCCTTTTCGTTGGCTTCGGGAGAATAAGCGAGAATATCGAGGGAACGGTCGGGCTGCGGATTCCCCATACCCGCGTCCATGTCGAATGCGGCACCGGCTCGGGCGGCGAGCGCATGCGCGGAAGGGGGGAGCCGTCGCGCACCAATGAGCGGCGAGCTCGTTGGCCGTCGGTGGCGTCCCCCGTCCTGAAATACCTAACGGGCAGCCCGCGGAGCCGCATTCGCTTCTCGTCGTTCGACAGACACCGAGGCATCCGAGTCGACTTGATTTTCCTACCTCCGGAACGCGAAGAGGCAAAACCTGCAACATGAGGGAGATCGTACACATCCAGGCCGGCCAGTGCGGAAACCAGATTGGCGCAAAGGTACCCCCAACATTAGCGAAACGTCGATATTCGAGCGGCCCGTGCCGCGTTTACCGGTCTAACGGCTCTTTCCCGAGTGGCGTCCCTCGAGAGTCCGGCGAGTCCAATCCATTCCGATTTCCCTGGAGGAAACGCAACGGCCGGTTCCGTTTTTCACGTATACGCTCGACGAGAACGAAATATTTCTACAATTTTCAAGGTTTTGGCCACCCGCGGGTATTTCGATCATTTTGACCGCAAAAGGTCGAGTTAATCGAGACTTGATCGGGACTCGAATGTCTTTCGAAAAGGTAGTACAGAGTCTTCGAGCGCGTCGTTATCGGGGATCGGACCGGGTTCAAAATTAACGGGAAGAAAAAGACGACGGTTCAAGGGTGGAGTCGGAAACCGTAAAAGATGGCCTCTCCCGATCGAAGGGTGTGGCTTGGTTCTGCGGCAACGGTATCGAACGGGTGCGCGCGCATCTTTGTTTCCATGCCGGTTCTGGCCCACGCTTGAGCGCTCGCGCGCGCGCGCTTCCTCTCTCCACTCCCTTCCTCTGCGTCATCCGCTACCCATTTTTTATACAGGGCGTAACCGTTTACCTCATAAGGTGTCCTTCCTTCTATGTACTCTTGTATTATTTAATGCTCTTATGACACGGAACGCTCGAGCCGGGTTACGCGTTTCTTTATTTTATTCGCGTTTCTTTTCGTCGTTTTGTCGAGCCATGCTGGGACGGATTTACGTTTGGCTTCGATGTCTTCCATTTGTCAATATCGATTTAACATCGAGGGTTAAGTGGGGAGGTTGCGACGTTAAGAACGCTTAAAGGAACATCTGCGGAGAAGTAAAGATACTAAATTAATTAAGCGGATGAACGTGCCTTTATCAATTTATATCTCGGAGAGAAATGTCACGCTAAATTAAAATCCAATTTTATTTTGGCCCGCGTTGGCAATCGTTCGTTTATGCTCGCAACAATGGACACGCACGATTTAAAAATTAATTCATGGTATGAGTTTCGTGGTTCCTCTTGTTTCTAAAAGAGATATAAATTTATTTCTTCAATTTTATTTGCACGAATGATCAGAAAACGTGCAAGGGCAGGTTAAACGAAGATTTCGCAAACTGAACGTATCCCCGCAAATAAAATCATTATTAGCCGAACGCATGCCACTTCCATATCCTGTAAAAATGGTGAACTGCCGTAAATGGGTACCGGAAAAAAAAATCTCCAAGTATCGGAGGTGACGGTTTGACTAAGGTTAGCAAATTAATGGCGCCGTCGAGGGGAGGGGGAAAGATGTCAAGTCTAACGAGAACGCGCCGGTGAGAGGTGACCAAATAAGGGCAAGAGAGGTTCGTTTCGTTTCTCCTCTCCTCTCGTCCCGAAGGAAAACGGGAAAGGCTGTCCCATATCGGTCGCTCCTTGTAACGGCCTCGTACGATTCAGGAATTGGCGTTTACGTGGGCGCGGATTTATTCGATCGAAAATGAACTCCGGGCCGAGGGACCGAATCGATAAGTAACCGATCGCGCCCCAAAGAGCCGGGTATTCCGCGGAATATCCTCGAAATAGGGCCGAAGAAAAGCGTCGCTCGGGCGTTTTACTCTCCAGAGGAATTTCGACAAGGACGCGACCCAGGGGGGCAAGATGTAAAAAATGTAGGTGTATCTCGGTACCGAGAGTCGTTTCTATATATAGAAATGACACCGATGACTCATAGGGTGGTGGTGCGTCGGCCCACCAGCGATTTTCTTATATGGTCAAGCACGGACGGGGCCGCTCCCGGAAAGAGAAACTCCGGAGGAGAGAAATAATCGAAACGATCTCGTCTTCCAGTTCTGGGAAATAATCAGCGACGAGCATGGCATCGACCCGACGGGCGCCTACCACGGGGACTCGGACCTCCAGCTGGAGAGAATCAACGTCTACTATAACGAGGCCTCGGGCGGCAAGTACGTGCCCAGGGCGATCCTGGTCGACTTGGAGCCGGGCACCATGGACTCGGTGCGGTCGGGACCCTTCGGGCAGATCTTCCGACCCGACAACTTCGTCTTCGGGCAGAGCGGCGCCGGCAACAACTGGGCCAAGGGACACTACACCGAGGGAGCCGAGCTCGTCGACTCGGTCCTGGACGTCGTCCGCAAGGAGGCGGAGAGCTGCGACTGCCTCCAGGGCTTCCAGCTGACCCACTCGCTGGGTGGCGGCACCGGCTCCGGGATGGGCACGCTGCTCATCTCCAAGATCCGCGAGGAGTACCCCGACCGGATCATGAACACGTACTCCGTCGTGCCCTCGCCCAAGGTCTCCGACACGGTGGTCGAGCCGTACAACGCCACCCTGTCGGTGCACCAGCTGGTAGAGAACACCGACGAGACCTACTGCATCGACAACGAGGCCCTCTACGACATCTGCTTCCGCACCCTGAAGCTGTCCACCCCGACCTACGGCGACCTGAACCACCTGGTCTCGCTGACCATGTCCGGAGTCACGACCTGCCTCAGGTTCCCCGGCCAGCTGAACGCCGACCTGAGGAAGCTCGCGGTGAACATGGTCCCCTTCCCCCGACTGCACTTCTTCATGCCCGGGTTCGCGCCCCTCACCTCCCGCGGAAGCCAGCAGTACCGAGCCCTCTCCGTCCCCGAGCTCACCCAGCAGATGTTCGACGCCAAGAACATGATGGCCGCCTGCGACCCCAGGCACGGCCGCTACCTCACGGTGGCGGCCATCTTCCGCGGCAGGATGTCCATGAAGGAGGTCGACGAGCAGATGCTCAACATCCAGAACAAGAACTGCTCCTACTTCGTCGAGTGGATCCCGAACAACGTCAAGACGGCCGTCTGCGACATTCCGCCGAGGGGACTGAAGATGTCCGCCACCTTCATCGGCAACTCCACGGCCATCCAGGAGCTGTTCAAGCGCATTTCGGAGCAGTTCACCGCCATGTTCCGAAGGAAAGCTTTCCTCCACTGGTACACCGGCGAGGGAATGGACGAGATGGAGTTCACCGAGGCCGAGTCCAACATGAACGACCTGGTGTCCGAGTACCAACAGTACCAGGAAGCCACCGCCGACGAGGACGCCGAGTTCGAGGAGGATCAGGAGGCCGAGGTCGACGAGAACTGAAGACCCTCCGAAACCGCTATTTTGCCTTCTCGATTTCATCCTTTCTTTCTTTATAGTCGATTTTTCCCGATCATTTATCCCACGATCCCACGATTCCGCGTCCGCGCCATTTACGTAATAAACGCCGATGCGGAGAATACTGTCATTTTTCAATAAATTATTATCAAAAGTAGCCGCGAGTCTCGGATGATTCCCTTCCATTATGCTAAATAGACGAAGGGCGCAGCTCTTGCGCGTTATCGATCCGAAGCCTGGCGTCGGAATATAAAATGGTTGTGCAAGGAAAGGAACGTTCATTCTCGCTCTTCGATCCTCGGAATATTTTCCAAATGCAATATCGACGAGCATTTTCCGGACTTTATGATGATACGTACATGGCTGCGGATATGGAACCCGTCGGGTGACTCCATGGTTACGAGTGGGTAAACCTGCGACGTTCTCTACCGAGGGCAGCACCTGACTCGATGGAGAGGAGAAACTGATTGACAAGGCTGGACAATTTGTTAACATTCTTTTAAACGAGCTCGAGAACTTATGTACTTGTGGTATCTGAACGATAATAAACTGTAAAATAATTAATGTAATAAAGCAACTTATTAAACAGTAACAATGAGTATGTTTAATTAGACTAGCATGTCTAGCGAACCCTCCAATCGCCTATTCCTGATCCTTGAAAATCACACGTAGATCTAAGTTAATGTTAATTTTCTTGCGGTGGGAGAAAACAGAAAATTTGCGATAAGTCGTTGGACGACGTGGAAAGGTTTTTGCGTGCCACCTCCTTGGTTATCCTATGATCCTGTTACAAATCGAAAATTTTAACCCCTGCAATTTTTGCCCGGGAGAAACTTCGTGCCACCTTCTCGGTTATATCCTATGATCCTGTTACAAATGGGAAATTTCAACCCCTAAAATTTTTAAGGAACATAGGATAATCGAGGAGGTGGCACGGAGTTTTACCCTGGCAAAAATGATAAATTATGCGGCAAATGCGGTAGCCGCCTGCATTCTCCACCGAGGGCAGCACAATTCGCTATCTGCTCATGCGCAACCCTCCATTTCATCCCTGGTAAACTCGAGTTGTGGAACCCCGATCAAAGCTTCGAGCTTGCCGCTAATGGGGTCAGTTCGTATTTCACTTCGGAGGGGTTTGGGTCGCAAGGCATGACGGATCTTCGCGACCGACGTCAAATTGGATGCTAGCGATCCATGGTTTTGTAGTCAGAGGATCACGAAGAGCCGTGCAGGCCCGTGATTACTCGTGTTTGCCCGTGATTACCCGTGATCGTTTGAAAGGTTACCGCGTCACCCAGTGATTATTTTTTAACACAAGAAAGATCGTACGATTATTACGATGTACGCAATTTTTTGTTTATCATGACAATGACATGTGGATGATTTAAACAATGATAAAGTTCAGTCTAGGAAGTGCTATGTTGTGAGATTTACGGAACAGTGAATAAGACTTGGGCTTGAATTTTAATATTAGTATCATTATTATATGTGACTTAAGTAAAAAGATCTGTATTACGGTGTATGGTATCAAACGAAAATTATACACGATATAATAACAAAATAGATCGTTCTGCTTTAATGAACGATCGCGTTAAAGAGTTTGATATTAAAAAAAAAATGGTATCTAATTGGGATGTATGTTGTCTTGTATTTTCAATCATCACACATGTAGTAGATGTAATACTTGATATCACGCTAGCGGTCAGATACCTTTTAAACGATAGAATAGCACATTTTATATGGACCATAGTCTTCGTTTTTGTTCCAACAATTGTTGTAACAGTTATGAGCATGAAAATGTACAAACAGGATCAAGAGGTAAGTTAAATAATATTTCGGTATTAGAATAGTAAATATCAGAATTTGTATCAAGTTGCATGATGGATGAGAATTAGGTTTTGGCTTAAGGTATATAAGTGATATTAGACAAATATTTTGCTAGGTAGACGATATGATTACTAATTTGATAATCATTTGTGAATTATATATCTTGTTTCATTTTTTGTCATATACGACCACGTTACGTTATGAATAAATTGAATCCATTAATTTCCTTGTTTTTCTTGCTTCCGTAGTTATACCAAAATGCTACACACGTGTCGAAAAAGTTTAAAGCCCGTGACATTGGTTGTTGTTTGGTCGGAGTCTTCTTTCACTTGACTCCGATATTACGTTACGGTAATGCGCTCAACTACGCTATTCAATCCCGTAAATATGAAAAACTGGGAGATTCAAACAAGCAGAAGCAATATTATTTGCAAATGTTGCGAGAAGATCAAGATGCTGCTTTACTCCGAGTTACAGAATGTTTTCTCGAAGCAGCTCCGCAACAAATTCTACAGCTGACCATTTTATTGAAGAATCTCCAGAATGTGCCCTGGTTTGAAAGTAAACGATCATTGCCCTCATTTATCTTATGCCCAGTTTTTTTGCTTATGCGATTATTTTAATTTCCATTCATAACAATCAGGATGCCATTACCCTGTTTCCAAATTGTTTATAACGACGTGCAAGGTGTACAAGAATTTTGATTCTGAAATTGGAGACTCGAATTGTCAATGGTGGAAATTTCGTCGATTGATGATAACGCATTAAAATGTTGTTCACAGTAACGCACCAATCCATCTGCATTGCCAGTTCATTAGTTAGCATGGCTTCGGCAATGGCAACTTATCACCGCAGTATTCGTGCAACCCAGAGAGACAAGTTCGAAATTAGTTCATTAGGCATATCTTTACAATTTTGTTGGCATCTGCTTATCACAGGTACGTACAACGATCACGAGTAACTTGTTCTTTTCTACTTTGCAACAAATGCGTAACAGGTTTAATCGCCCTAATGTAATTTGGATATTTCGGTGTCAATATGGTTGCATTACGTATGTTTCAGTGTCAAGAATTCTGGCTATAACGATGGTAGCGATTTTATATGTACCATACGCTGTTTCAAGCTTACTTTTACACTGGTTTCTAATGTTAATATGGATCGGTGCCGATTCTCACGGGATACACGAATTCTGTAGAAACAAGAATCGCGCTCCTCATATTCGTCGAAATATTATCGAACGAATTTCTTCATTCATGTTTGTATCCGTCTTAAGTGTAATATATATTTTTATATATCTGAATCCTACAGATGGGCGCACTTTTCGGAAGTACTTCTTCTACTACACACTTTGTCTTTTGGAAAATATTTTCGCATGTTTATATTGGATGCTAACTCCATCAACGGACATCAGATTTCTCTGGTACTTTCAATTTCTTCCATTAACCTGCATTTCCTTTTTCTTACTTGGCATTGTCATAATGATTTTGTATTATGTTTACTTTCATCCGTCTTTAAAACAAAAAAATGTAGAATCCTTAGAAATTTAGCTTATTTAATCATTTATATTAACTTTTGTATTTCATTGCGAAAATGTTTTCCAAATGGAAGAATGAGCCCCTCGTTTTTATTTTTTGCATAAATTTTGGCAGAATCTTGTAATCTGCAATTTTTATACATATATTGTACTGTTCTATAATATATTTTCATCTACTGTTTAATATATTTTTGCTATTTTTTCAATAATAGTGTTAAACGTTTATTGTTCTGTGGCACCATGTTACTAAAAATCATTGAGAAAATATCTTTATTACCTTACTTTACTATAAAAGAAAAAAAAGACATGACACTGATGTAACGTTTAGGATTGTAAAATGTACGAAATATTTGGACATAATCGGTTCCGGAACCAATGACATGGTGACAGTGTCGTGAGAACACGCGCGTCCAAGCACAAGAATAATCGTTTAATGAAAAGTATATAAAAATATAATTATATGCAGTACAATGCAACTTTTATATTTATCTAACGATTTAGGCTTGCAATATTTACATTATATGCACACGAAAACTGGAAGAGTTCTAAACAGAGTAGACGCAATAGTAATTGAACTCTTATATAACACATAATAACCTATCTTTAAAGGAATTATCTTACCATAAAATATCTTTTTAAAGTAAAAATGAGATATATCGTTATTTGCTGTACATTTTTATATCGACGAGTTAGGAATTATGAAGTATCTTGTTAAACGCATTATAAGAAGTTTCAAGATCAAAAATAAGCTGCCTAACTTGAGTCTCCGAGAGTTCATCGGATGCTGACATGCTGTCGAGGGTCTGAAGCCATTCGGCAACCTTTTGCTTGCCACCAAAGTCGGTGGGAAGTATGCTGAGGCGATTCATAGTATCCATTAAATCGCGCAGGTCCGGGTGTAGCTCATCCATGGCTTTAATTTCTAAGCGCAACTTATCCATCAAAGTGATAAATAAAGAAACGATATCGGCGATACATTTAGAGGTGTTGCCTTTATCATCTTTAATAGTAATAGGTCTGTCTTCCTTTATTCTTTCTAGTGCTGCTGGACAGTCCAATCGAAATGCCCTGGCAAAGGCATCTATGGTAGAAAATTGATCACCTTGGACCTATAACGATATGTGAAAGTAAATGTAATCGAGCGACAAAGGTAATTTCTAGACCAGAGCCATCTAAGACGCGTACTTGCTTGAATGCTGCTCTGTACTGTACGAGTAATTTACTGCAAGCTGCCGTGTATTCTTTTGGAGTAACGCAGTCTCGTATGTAAGCTTTTTCCAGGTGTTGTAAAGTGTTTACTACCGCATACAAGTCTGCTTGGTTATCATATTTCTCGCGTTCTCGGGCGTTCTTATAAAGTTTCACTTCTTCGTATAGTTCTGGACGATCTTGTGCTATCGACATGTTTACCTGAAATATTTGATCAAACGTTTGTTCGCACGTTTGAATGTAACTATTGTTAGAAAGGAAATAGGGATCTATATTTATTGGTAGGAGACACCCACAATATACACTATTCTTTATGCTAAGGTTAATAATTTCTGATTTTATTTTACTCTATAAGTATCAGAACACGAAATTCGAAATCAAATGGCCCCTTCTATATTTCCATCTGAAATATTTTTCTTAAAAAACGAACAATTATTTAAAATTCTACAAGTGATATCATCAAATCACCGTCCTAAAATTTGTGAAGGGGATGCCAATAATAAAGGGTAACAGCTTAAACGATTTACCTCAACGGTAGATATTGACACTCTTGAATCGATGAGGACGCAATTCGTTTTGTAAATTAACACAAAGTATTGAAACAGATATAAATTAACGGATTACTCACGGACGTTCCCTTCCGTGCGATCTAAGAGTAGAAAGAATAGCAGAGAGTTTCGATACATCGAAGAGGTGCTGCCACCTGGCGGTCATGTCCAATGCCGCGGGCCGACCGACCGCCGCCATGTTTGCGCCGTGTCCAATCAAGACTCGCGCGTAATCCGCCATCGGAGTGGAACATCGTGCCTCGTTTACCTGGTCCGTGCCGAAGAGTGTGCCACACAGTGCCGAACGTTCCTATTTACTCGAAAGTACTCGCGTATGACTTTGCCGAGTTCGGGCAGGAGAAGAGAGTTGGCGAGTCCGAAGGAGCTATGCGTGCCAGGTGTCGCGCGTCTCGAGAGTCGGTAGCAACGGGCCGCGCATCGAGGAAGACGCCGGAGAGCCAGAGAAGATCCCGTAAAAGAGAAGTACGTTCCGTGCGCAGGTGTCAGTGGTTTTGCACGCGCGTGCACATACATGCTCAATGAACGTACTCTCGGTCCTCCGTCGCTTCGCTCCCCTCCATCCGTCCTTGGGTAAGGTGGCTCGGACCGAGTCGGTGCCCTAGGAGACGTCGTCGGAGCGACGGGTTTGGTTAGGAAGTATGGGAGTGCCGCCGTCGTCGTCGTCCTCGTCGTCGTCGTCTTCGTTCACTTCCTTGGCGAGGTAGAGGTCCTGCGCGCGCGTCCTGCTCGTGTCGTTACGCCGACGATAACACCGACGTAGACGACACCTCTTCCCTTTGGCTCGGTCAAGGATTTTTGTGCCCTAGGTAGGTGCCGATATGCTCAAGTATCGATATTTTTATAGCCGATTTCCGCGCCTCAGACCTTGATCCGGACAATGTTACGTGTAGTTTTGTTTCATGCGAGCAAGCATCGATACCGAACAAGAATTTTGCTCCTTTTGCGTCTTAAAAATTAGTTAAATGTATCTCCTTGTTACATCTACTTTGTTCGATTCGATACAATTACTTTTCACCGGTGTCGACCAAGCATAGATCGTATTGACTCGTTGTCGGTTCGTCGATCATTTCAGGTCCTGTTGCAGCTTGCCTCGTCTTGCCTCTTCTTGAGTGCCGGTCGGGCCTGGGTCTAGACGGATTTGGAAAGGACGGGAGCGACCTTGGAGTCTACCTCGTATTCAAGGTTTCTTCCTCTTCTCTGGTACCGGGCCGTCCAACGGAGCGGACGCTACTTTCAAAGCGATGGAAGATCCCTGACGAGCCTAGGTTGCTCATCCGATAGAGCGGATTCGACGAATGCGGCTTTTCATCCGTTGCAGGAGCTCAGGTAAATTTTTCGGTCGAGGACGAATACGCATTTGATTCCTGGTAGCTGCGGAGTGTAGGAATCGGGGTGAATTTGTGCGCAGAGGATGCAGAGGCCGCAGGACCCGGAGACTCATTGGCGGTGTACGCTGTGGGCACCGATGATGCCGTTGACGCGGCACTCTACCCCGCTAGATCCGGACCATGGCTGGCAAGTCTGAGCAGCCTTCCGCTCGCTCTACTCCCCCGTGCCAAAATCGTGGTCGACAGACGGTGCGAGATATCCATCGGAGCGGTGTTCCAGTCTTCAGATCGGGGGAGCACTTTGCATACGCGGCCAAGGCTGGACACGATGATGCAGCTTCTACCGTACATCCTGCTGCAAACATTGGTATCGTCGCTGATACAATGGGTTATCAGTCGCCACAGTCCGAAACCTACACCGACGACGCATCGCCTCGAGTGTCCTGCGTGGATACCGGAAGCGGGAACGGAGACGGCGACGGATGCGACGCCGACTTTGACGCGGAGACGGAGTCGGAGGTCAAAAGGATCGACGACGACGACGACGACGCTCGTTGCCGAATCGCGAAAACTCTCGATTACTCCGTCGGTTTCGAGGTTCCGAGAGACCGCGGCGAGGCGGGGCGCCCGTACTCCGTCGGAAACGTAAAGGCCGACCGCGGCGATCGCGAGAAGCGCCTTCAAGGCAAGGACGATGGCGAGAGGACCTACGCCCTCGAATTTGCCGATCAGCGGCAGGAGGTTCCGATCAACGGCTACGCGGCCGAGACGGAGCGGAATTCGATCGACGCGTTCAACGGCGCTTTGCTGAGCTGCGAGCCGTCGCTCGTCTCGCGAGTTTGCCCTCCGCGGCCGAGAATACCCACCGATCCCGGTGCCGACTGCGGCGTGGACGTTTTGACCGGGGTCCGTGGCGTTGGCGATAACGACGGCTACGGGAAGAGGTACCTCGCCGGGAAGGATCCCGTCCGCGCGATCGAGACCTTCCCCCTAGTGGTACCTTCCGGAGTTCCTCCGGATCCTCGGGCGGGATATCGCCCGATAGACGATTTGGCGTCGACGGAGAACGTCGGAACGAAGGCGCGCCCCGAAAGCCCGAGCGGGGAAGTCGGCTTCGGAAGCTACCGCGATGACAGCCGGAGAAACGCCGATCTCGTCCTCGGCGGTCGCTGCGACTCGGCTCGGTCGGAGTACGACGGCTTGAGCAGCCCCGATATCCTTGGGCCCGAGCAAAGAGATGAGCAGGAATCTGGTCGCAATCTGTGCCGGTCACATGACGCGATGGTCAACGGCTCGGGGGCGCAGCAGGCTGCGCGCTCCGTCCCAAGGATGGCCCCGCAACGCGCTCCTCTCTCGACCATGAGAACCACCGACTTCCCCGCGACGCAGCGGAAGCCGCAACCGACCGTCTCCACTCCTCCGGGATGGAAGCGAATTTGCACCAACGATGTCATCGTTTACGTCAGGTGCCGTTATTTCGTTTGTCCTCTTCGATCTGTTTCTTGCCTTTTTTCCGCCACTTTTTTATTTTCCTTGCGGAAGAGTCGAATAACGAGGTAGGACTCGTTGCGTGTGTTACAGCCCAAGTAGTACAGCGCTGGGATCGCTGGATCAGCTAAAAAAGTACCTGACGACCCCGGGAACATGCAAGTGTGGCCTGGAGTGTCCTTTTAGGCCCGAACGAATCTTCAATTTCGATCCAAAGGTAATATTTCCCTTTCGATCGCCTACCGGCACTTGAACTTTTATTCCGTATTATTAAACGCGTTCCAATGGCTTGAAATTTGGAGTATCCGTCGCCATCCGTTGCTTTCTTTTTTCTACCTAGGTAACAACGAGGTCGTGGGGCGCAGATCAAGAAAGAACGCAAGAAATGACCAAGCTCTGTAACCATAAGAGGAAATCTTTGTTATCCGGTATAGTGGTCAATTCAGCGGTTCCATGTACTTCCAGTATTTCTACCGGATCGTGTACATCTCACACGTTACACGAAGTCGCGGACTCGCCTACGTCTCCTAGTAAGGTGTCAAAAGGTGAAAAGCTTCTCGTCGTTCTTCTCGACCCTTCTACCGATTGTTGATTTTTACTGCTAATTTTGACGATTTCCTTTTTATTCGCAGATGGTTTGAGCAACAAGAAGAAGAGGAAGCTTGGAACCGCGGAAGGTATATGCTCCGAAATATCTGTTCCCAACAATGTTACGCGAGAACGGATACCGACCGATTCGGCAGCTTTGCAAGTTCACAATTCACAAAGCTCGAGTGCATCACAGGTAACGAACCGATACGATAAAATGAATATCGTATTTTCATCCGGCGCTGTCTGACGCGTTTTATCGTTGTAGGTGTGGCCAATCGCTATTACCAATCTGGATATTCAACAAAATAACAAACACATTAGTCAACAAGTTCTGAACTTCCCGCCGCAAACTCAAAACCGTAATCGATGTCTGGGAAGAAATTCGCAACGACTCGGACAGCATGTCACAGGCACGGTGATGGACAATTCACCGTTGACGAATAAGTCGATTTCAAGTCGCGCCAACGTAACCGCTCAACAGCAGCAACAGCTTTGTCAACAGCAGCACTTTGTCCAACAAAACGTCTCGCAACAACAGCACTCCCTTCAAGAACAGTTGCTGCATCATCAGCAGGTGCAACACATGCAGATACTGCTCCAGCAGCAGCCAGTTCGTCAACAACCTCCAAACGTTCTCTCCAACCAGATATCTTACCAGCGAGCTGCCCCTTACGTCAATCAATTAAATCAGCACTCGTTTCATGTTATGCAACAGCAGCATTTGAACCACCAACAAAACGTTAATTTGCAATCTCAGAAGTACAATTTGTGTTTGCACGAGCAACGCGTAAGTCAAGAAATCGATCAGCAGCAACTAAAAGGCTGCACTCTCCAGCAGCCCGTCGAATCTTTCGATCATCGCATGAATTCGTCATCGAGTACTTCGGAAAATTGCCTGCAGCCACGATTACAGCTGAATCAACGCCAAGGACAGCATCGGACGAATGAAAACTTGATACAGAATTTGTCTCCCGAACATTATCAAATTCAGCCTCGGTGCGAACAAGCATCGCAGCTCTGCCCTCCGGAACGGTATCCCAACCAGGTGAGACCCTTAAACGCCGCGAGCATCGTCGAGCCTCTAAAAAATGGAATTCAGTCGGTAAGAGACGAAGACGTGGTTGAAAAAACGGTACAACCGAAAGTTTTGCTGCATGGTTACGAAGTTCAGCGACATCGTATAAACAAAGGTAGACATTCTGGGAACAAGCAGGACAATATGCGAGGATGCAGCCAACACGAAGTGCAATATCCTTCGACAAATTTTGAGGCGACGAAGAATTCTACGTTAAATTTGAAATTGAGTCATCGACATCATCCAGTGGTCAGCCGCGTGGAAAAAAATAAAAATATCGTCGGTACCCAATCCGAAAAAGGATCGACCAAGCATTCCGTTGGGATGCACTACGACACGAGAACCTCGTCATGGCAAAATAGTAGAAACAACGCAGCGTCCGCTCCTGTAACCATTCAGAACGTTGTCTGCAATACTTTCGATCGCGTACCTCCTCTTCATCATCACATCCCTCCGGCGGCCGTATGGGTGGACGAAGTCGCCAGAAAAAAGATAAAGACCGGCAAAGTTCTTTCCAAAAGACAGCGCCAAAATGGCATAGCGGAGACAAGAAACAACGTCGGGACCTCGGTCAGTCCGGGAGAGCCGTGCTCGGATAAAAATCAAACCGCGGTCCAAGGGGAATCGACCGTGAGCAGCAGTCCTTCCTTCTTGGACGATCCCAGCGGGTATTTGGCCCAGCAGACGGCCCTGTTGAACAGCACGATATCCAGACAGACCGGCTCCAATACCTCCCAAGTGTTGGCATCGAACAACTTCGGAGCATCTCAAGAGGCGAACTCCGGGCCCTTACCCGGCAACGCGTACTTCCTTCAGTCGAAAGCAGCCGGTGTCGATCATTTCGTCGGCACGACCGCGTGCAGTTTACTCAACGCCAACGTAACGTCTCCCGTCGAGGTTCACAGCAGCGCCGTACCGGTAACGGAGGCAAGTACTGGAGACCGCGAAGAAAAGTCATTCGGAGGTTGCATCTCGAGTGCCGACCCGCAGTCGTGTTTGCAAGACCTATATAAGCACGGTCGTTGTCCGCGTTCCACCTACGGCGACGACTGCGGGACCTTCGACGACGGATCGTCGGTCAATCGGCAGGTGGATTCGAGACCCATTCAAGGCGGCACCGTGAGTACCAGTCACGAGTCTCCGATCGGGGCCAAAAGTCCCGGCAATCCGGACGCCCCGTCCGATGCGACTCCGAAAAATCACGCTCCGGTCCATCGAGCGTCCCGAAATTCCTCTCAAGCTCCGAAGCAACTCCCCTACGCGAATCAAGGACAGCGATCGGCCCTCGATCACAGAGAAGAACGCGCGTTCTCCCCCAACGCGTGTTCCTTGGCGACGTCGTCCGAAACCGCGGCGGGACAGGCGTCGGTGCTCGACGGGTATCGAATGGCGCGAGCCTCGACCACCCTGGGCAGTGGAACGTCCGCGGTTATAACGACGATGGCAAGCGGACACACCGTCAGCAGCAACACGATCACGTCCGTATTGGCGGGTAGAGCGAATACGGCGACCGTGTCCATAAACACCCCATCCGTGATACCGAATCCGGCCATATCCAACATGCCGTCGAGCAAATTGACGCAGTCTACTTGTTCGAACGGTACGCCCGCCTCGCTGGTGATGCCCAACTTGAGTCCGAGCCCCGTTTCCCCGGAGCAGATGTCCACCGTAGGCGTGTCCAAGTCACCCCTGGAAATGGTCCAAAGCGTGGTGAGCAGCATTCAAGTGCCGCCGGATAACGCGCGGCCCGCGCAACCGTCTCAGCTGCGTCTCCAGCAACATTCTCAGTCGAACGTTCAAGTGCAGAACATTTTGTCGTCCGGGGGAATACTGAAGCACTCGCCGGGTTCCAGTTTGCCTTCCGGACATATACTCGTGTCGAGCGGAGGTCAGCTGATAATGGCGAACACCGGTTCGGGGCTCAACGGCGTGATGGAGCTGTCGCCCGCGAAAATGATGTCAAACTCCAGTTCCGTTCCGCCGATGGTGACCAGCGCGAGCGGGCCGGTCGGCCAGGTGATTCCAGCGGTAGGGGTGGCCCAACAAGTGCTAGGGCAACCGACCGTCCTGGTCAACGCCATTCAAGCCCCGATGCTGATCCAGCCCGGCGTAATGGCCGTGGACGGGATCGGGCAGAACGTGCCGATTCCTCATCTCACCGTTGCCACGGGCAACGTGCTGCACAACGCGTCCTCCATTCTGGAGCAAGACGTCTCCAGGAACCTTGGGCCGAATCAAGGGATGCTCAACAAACAGCCGGTGTTGATGTCGCCGGAGTCTTCTTCCAGCAGGAAGAAGCCCTGCAAGAAACGAAAAGGGAATTCCCAGACGGTGCTACACATCGCGTCTTCTCAGCAGAACGCCGGAGTGCTCGTTCAGTCGCAAGCCAACTTTTCTCAGCAGAACTTCCAAGCGCAGAACATGGACGGACCCATGCTGCAGGCCCTCACCATAGTGCCCGGGAAAGCCGGAGCCCCCGCCCAGTTGGTTATAAACGGCCAACCCGCTTCGAATTCCGCGCAGTTCAATTCTCAGCAAATCATCGCGAATCAGCATCCGCCTCAGCACATTAATTTATTGCAGCCGGTTAATTTATTGAACAACCCCGCCGGGATGGTATCCAATTTCCCCACCATTCAACAGTTCATCGTCCCGGGGCTGGGAAGCATGGTCATGTCGGCGGACGGGACGGCGACGCTGTTGCAGGACACCGGGAACATGGGGATGCAGCTGCAGATACAAAACGTTAACGGCCAGAACGTGCTGACGCCCGTGCAGAGCCACGGAGGCATCTTCGGTCCGAGCCAAAATATTCTGGCTGCCGGTCCAGCCGGAATGGTCATCCGGACGTCGCAGACGAGCAACGGGAAGCTTCTCCAGCAGCACAACTCCGGGGCTCAGTTCCTCTCGTCGAACAGCGGGCAATTTTTAGTCAACGGCACCACGTCCTTCGGGAACCAGCTGAGTCCGATCCTAGCGAACGTCAGTCCGAGCCACCAGCTGACTTTCAACGCGTCGCCCGTGCGGTCGTCCAACGTCCAAGGACAGCAGGATTTCATACAGATGAACGGACAGACGCTGATGGTCCCTTGCGCGACGGCGCAAAACATGATCGTTTCGTCGGCGTCGAACCAGCAGAGCACCACGTTCGTCCACCAGAACACGACGATCGTTCAGCAGCAGACGACGATGCTGTCGAACAATCAGATCCAAGGTTTCCACTCTACGGCCGACGGCGACGGAGGCGGCATGGACCGGAACCGGTCGTACGTCTTGGGCCCGGGGGGCACGATCCAAGAGAAGTCGTCCCGCTCGCCGAAGAGCACCGCCGGGTCGCCGCCCACGGAGCGGAGTCCCGAGCAGCGGCCCTACGTCCTGGACAAGTCGGGCCAGCGAGCTAGTCAATACGGTCCCTCGATGGTCAAGCATTCGGTGTCCACGCAGACGGCGGGGAATCAGACGAGCGCCGCGCAGTCGACGGGGTCGAGGCAGGCGTCCCCCCCGGACACGACGACGCACAGCCCCGGGAGCAGCCCGGCCGACACGACCACCCCCGGAGCCGCTTCACCCGCGCCCCTGAGACATCGGTCGTCTTCGACGGTAACGACTCCCCTTCCACCCGGAGATATGCCCCCCTTCCTCCGGACTCCAGAGAGTCCTAACGGCCGACTTTTTCCTGCTTTCAGCCCATGGTTCACTGTATCTCGAGCAGCGAGCCGGACGCGGCCGACGCCCAGTCGACCGAAGATTGGCCCGTGCCCGACGCGTTCGCTAAGGAAATTTCTCTCGGACGGGCGGACGCGCACGAGAGGGCATACGTAGAGTCGACGGTGACGACGGGGATCCAGGTTGGTACCCGCGTAGAGCCGGACGATCCGGACGATGCGGACGACCCGGACGTTCCGGACGTTCGTTCCGCCTCGTCGGTGCACGGTATGGACCGCTCGACCCTGGACGATACGATTAACGTCGACGTCAACATCGTGGAGGCGTCCCTTTCGGGAGTCGACGTCGACGCGTTTCCGCTTCGCGACCACGGTGGCGGGCCCGACGAGAGGGCTCGTCGTCGCTCGTCGTGCGACGACGAGGCCCCCCTGGACGGTGGTGCCGGTTTCCCGGACACCGGGGCAGACGCGGAAGGAACCCGGTACCGATATTTCGCTTGCAAGCGGAAGTCGTTGCAACCTCCGGGGAGCGATCTTCCGTTTTCGAAAAGCACGAGCAACGAGAAACTCGTCGACGTCGGGATTTCCGTGACGGATCTCTATCCCCATCTGTACAACCTTAAGAGCAACGTTAACGAGAGTACCAAGTATTAGCGTTCGATTGCCTGCCTAACGAAGGGACTTTGGGTAGATTTCCCTCCCGCGACGAAGGCGACTAACCGTTCCGACGATTACATCTTAAACTTCTTATTTACCGATCGCGTAAGTTATGGTCTGGTTTTAACCGTACTTGGCACAAGTATGTTAAGTTTGTCATTTGTTTATATTTAAAATAATTTTATCGCTTCCCGCGCGACTAACTATTTGTAAAGTGTATTATTGTTTAACATAGTAAATTGCCATTTCTCTCGTTCCACTGCTACGGAGGTTGATCCGCTATCGACGCGTTACTCGAAATAAAGCTTTCTCTTACGTTACAACTAAGTTCCGTCGATGATTATTGATAATGGTGAAAATTTAGTTAGGAATGCGTTTGACGCCAATTTCTATCCGTGCTTGTCAATTTCTATGTACCGGAGGTGGACGCGTAATCGACGAATATAAAGAGATCATTGTAATTGAATCTTCGACATGAAACCGTTTTAATTTTCCGAACTGTTGACTCATTTAAGAGCGGTGGACTGGTGTTCTTACAGGTGAAACCTGGTCGATATCCAATAAGAGAATCGGAACGGTTGCGTTCGAATGACATTAACGTGCGATCCGTAGATATGTGCCTCGGATGATCGAGTTGTGTTTGACAGATCTATTCTACAAATACCCTGGTGCAATCCGAGAGGGTCGTTAACACGTTGGGGTGCAATGATAAAGATCCCGCGCTCGGTCGAGGAATCAAACGAAAGCTGGCCTCTGTCCGTTTCGTGCATTCCAACCTGCTCGGAAACAAGAATGGTTAGTACCGTGTTTTGTATCGCTTAATTTCCCCGGTCGCGTCGGGTCGGAAGTGGGGTATCTAATAATATCTGGAAACGGCTCGGCCAGTCGGTGATCCGGGAACGAGCGTGGAGAGTTTTTTTTTTTCGCGTCCAGGGCTCCCTGCAGATTATTCCGCTTGTCCCGGGGGAAACGCGCGGGCCGCTTGGGCGACCGGACGGACGGAAGGAAGGAAGGAAGAGGGAAGGGAACCGCGATTTCGGAGCCGCCAGTAGTCGAACGGTTTCGGCCGGTCGAGAGCAATAACCAGTGTCCTGTTTTCCAGGAAACGAAGCAGCCACAAACGAGTAACTTTGGAGAAGACGGACCGTGAAACGGTAGAGTAAGAGGTAACCGTAAACATCTCATCTTGCCCGACGCGGCGACGATCGTTCTCCCTTGCGACGCAAACGTGTCGAGTCCTCGGCCGACGTTTTTTCTTTACGACGAGGCTCTGACCGCGGAATTTTACGCCGTGCCGGAATCTCGGAGGACGAGTGGGACGAAATTTCCTGGCTTAGCAATGTATGAGCCGAACGACGGAAACTGCATCGAGAAACACTGTGAAAAATAAAGCGATACCTCAAGACTTTCGAAGCGACTTACGTAATTCTGTCTGACGAAACTTTCCTCTTAAACGCGATGTACAACGTTTGTAATAACACGATATTATTAGAAGCTGAAAGATAACTCGCTTTAGATAGATGTCGCAGAACGCGAAACATGCCGTAGTGATTGTACGTATACGTTGATTCGACGAAAACGATAACACGGTACGTTGTCTACGGACCCCTTCCGGATCTGGTCAATCGCCATTTCGCCCATTTCACCCATTTCGCCCATTTCGCCCCATTTCGCCTACTTCGCCCACTTTGCCCACTTTGCCCACTTCGCTCACTTTACTCAATTCGCCAGGGGAAAGGGAAGATCCCTTTCCGCTCTCGTGTCGCCGCGTAGTATTTTCTTTTGCGTCTTCCCGCTTCATCGATATGTAAAAACTGGATACGTTAGAATAAATTGCGGAGATGAAACGTTGCGACGCTTTCGGGCAGCTTCCTGGGCTTCCTCTAGGATTTCGCCGGAACTCCCGGGAAGCTTCCCGTTGGGCCCCTCGTCCATTCTTTACGCGTAGCGACGCGCGCGAAGGGAAACGTACGTTGTCCCGAAATTACCCACATCCGTTCCGAACGGGTTCGATATCCGTATCGATCGAATTCCCGCGTTATGCCGACTTTTCTCGCTTCGGGATCGGCACAGGGGGAGGCGAGATGTAAACGCTTTCACCGAAATTCGAAAGATTAGCGTAATACGGATACCGAACTTACGTAGAACGGACGTTTATAAAACGACCTCGATACGTCAGACTGAAAGTTTCGGACGTATTCCCTGTTTTTGTTCACTACTTCTCGCAGTTGTGTATACTTGTATACTGTGTACTGACTTATTTCTAATCTAAGTAAATGGTTTTTTAAAAACGAGACATCCGTCATCGTTGTCTTCGTTGCGGGACGGTATTGATTTTCGTCCAAGCGATGGAACGGATAAATTAAGGAATTTTTCAAGTATTACAAATTGGGAGAAGATAACGAGCGATTCTCTCCTGTTGTCTCGCAAAAAATGTTTCTTGCGTTCGCGTCGATGTTGGCAAATATATGAGTGCATCGAGTGATGGAAGCATTTGCGGCATGCTTACCATGTGCGGCTTGGCCGCAAACGAGAGCGTACCCAAAGTAAGTGAGTTTAGAGTTTCGGCGAAGAGTCGGTAGATGGCGACATTCTAACGTAGCTGCGAGACATGAGGCTATTACAGAAATAAGTTGTGAGATTGTTCATCACGTCCTAGGCAACCCTCGGAGGAGGATGAGGACGGCGAACGCATTTGCCACATCCTCCACCGGGGGACAGCACAGGACGCGACCGTCAGCAATCTCTGGCCCCATTGTCCGATCTAACTTCTCCTTATTTCAGGTTTCAGTGATCACCTATAAATATCTCCCTTGCTTAAAAACGTATCAAAAAGTGACATCGAGTACCTTAATAGCGGTTCCGAATGGGAAGTTTACGGCAGAACGTAATAAGCCTTTACAGAAATTTAATTCGGGAGAGTAAAAAGTGGGATTCTTACAATTACAGGTAAGAACGTAGGGAAGGCTTTTGAAATGGACTTTATTTTTCTACATCCAAATTATTCACTTTCTAGCCACATATCGGTCGTAAAGGATTTATGAATTTTTTGTAATTATTTGTAACGTAACATTAGTTCTATGGAGGAAAAGAAGCGTTGACGCGCGATAACCTTGTTTTTTTCTTAAATTATTATATCTTTTCTTTTCAGGATGTACGCTTTACGGAAAGTCCGCCACGAATTTCACCAAAACAAATCCCTGAAAGACGAAGTCTTAATTAAAGATCTCTACGAATCTGGATGCACAAAGTTGGAAACGATAAAACGACAGGTGATCATCGGGAATCTCTATAGCACGCAACCATTGGTTATCGAAAAGAGAATATCGTAACCGCGAACAGCAAAGTTAGGTCAATTAGCATACCGTTGTTTAAGTTATATGTGCAACTTTTAAGATTATTTTGAATATATTTCGTTAACCGATAAATGCCAAATGCCATAGTATTTTACGAGAATCGTTCCTATGTCGTTAAATTCTTCATTAAAGAGAACGCGCATTGGCGTCGATTCGTAACGCTTCTTTGTAAAAAAAAAAAAAATTGGAACCCGGAGGAACCGAAAAGTCCTGCAGAGTCGTCCGTGAAAGGAAAAGAGACGGGAGCAAGCGCGACCACCGCCGACAAGGGAAAGGGAAAGGGTGGACGCGCGCACGCATGGCAGAGCGGGGGGAGGGTACGGAGGCGAATCAAAGATGGGTGGCGCAGTCCTCGAGGGATCCTTGGGCGACTAGCGCGCGTCGCCTCGCATCGATCGCAGCTCTCGAAAGTCCGGCGTCGCCATGCCGTGAGAGGAGGAGGCGACCCACGGAAGCGACGATGCTGCAGCTGGTGGTGCTCGCCTTGGTGGCGAGCACGTACGCTTGCTCCGAGAGCTGCCGGTGCTCGCCGCTGAGGCGCAAGAGCGGGCAGTCCCGCCGCGCACTGGTCGAGGTCTCCTGCTTCGGGAAGGCGCCGGCCTGGTGCAGCCTGCCGGCCGACCTGGGAGGACTGAGGATCCACGACGCCCGCGAGTTCGGGGCCACGGAGGAGTGCAGGGGCCGGTTCCGGTGGGTGGAGGAGCTGGCGGTGACCAACTGCTCGGGGAGCGCCTTCCCCGGGGCGCGGATCGATTTCGAGGGGCTGCGAGCGGTGGACCCGTCCCGCGGACACTTCTCGACGCCCCCGACGCCCTCGACGCTGCGGCGGCTGAGCCTGAGGGCCAACGCCATCTCCTCGGTGGACGGATCGGCGTTCGTCGGACTGGCGCGCCTGGAGGAGCTGGATCTGTCGGAGAACGAGCTGTCCTCGCTGCCCTCGGAGGCGCTCGCGCCGCTGGCCGCGCTGGAGCGACTGGACCTCGGCGGGAACCGGCTGCGAGTCCTGGGGACGCGGTGGTTCTCGGGACTGCGGCGGCTGCGGGAGTTGGACGTGTCGCGAAACGGGCTGACCCGGACGGCTCCGGGGGAGCCGCCGCCGCTGCCGGGGCTGTCGGTGCTGCGGCTGGCCGGGAACCCGCTGCGGGAGCGGGACGTGTCGCTGCTGCTGGGGACGGGCCAACTGCTGGAGACGGTGGACGCGTCGCGGACGGGGCTGGCTCGCGTGCCGGCCGCGCTAACGCGGTCCGTCCGCGCGCTGCGCCTCGCCGGGAACGCCTTGACGGCGATCCGCGGCGGCGACCTCGACAGCTACCCGCTGCTGAGAAGCCTCGACGTGTCCGGTAACCGGCTGACCGACGTCGAGGAGGACGCGCTCGGGCGCCTCGAGGTCCTGGAGGAGCTGGACGCCTCGGGGAACGCTCTGCGGGAGGTCCCCCGGAGCTTGCCCGCGAGCCTGCGAGCCCTCGGCCTGGCCGGGAACGCGATCGCGAGGCTGAGGCGCGGGGACCTGCAGGGCCTCTCCAACCTGCGGACTCTGATCCTGAGCGACAACGCAATGGACGCGATCGAGGAGGGCGCCTTCGCCCGGGCGGCCGTCCTCGCGGAGCTGGACGTCTCGAACAACTCCCTCAAGGTGGTGACCCCCGACACCCTGGCCGGCCTCTCGGGTCTCGCCGTCCTCCGCATGGCCGGCCTGACGAGCCTGGAGTGGACGCAGCGGGGCGACATGGCCTTCCCGATGCCGACGCCCGAGAGGCTCGTCCTCCTCGACGTCTCGCGCAGCCCCGTCCTCGCGGCGCAGCTGCTCGCCGACGACGCCGCGCTCTCGGCCTGCAAGAGCCTCGCGGAGCTGCACCTCGGCGGAGCGAACCTCACGAGGCTGAGGTCCGACCTGGCGGACGTCCTCCCGCAGCTGCGGACGCTCGAGCTCCACGGCAATGCCTGGGACTGCGGGGCCGACCTCTCCTGGCTCGGGGAGTGGATTCGCCGACACGAGGAGATACGGCCTCCGGCCGAGTGCGCCCGGGGGCGGACATTCCTCTTTCAGCTACGGACGGCGCCTCCACTTCCGGGAGCGGACCAAGGCCGGAACGTCTCCGTCGCGATTCCGGAAACGTTGCCGTGGGCTGTCGGCGCCCCCCCTGATATGCCATACGACGGCCTTGCCCTCGCCGTCGCCACCGTCGCCGCCGCCGTCGCCGCCGTCGCCGTCCTCGGCGCGGCGGCTACCGCGGTCGCCGTCGCGACGCGGCGGAGGAGCAAGCGTCGAGACGTCGAGGCGCGCGACCTCGTCCCCGTCGAAGGCCGGTGGTGACCCCGCCTCGAACTTTTGCGCTACCCGGTAAATTGTCCCGAATGGATTCCTCCTTTTGCTCGATAGCTGGGGAACGATCGACGCGATCTCTCGTCCGTTTACCGATGAGGGCGAGGACTTAAGGGAAGACGGGCTCGAATCGTTCGTCTTCCGACACCAGTACCTGTTAATTCGTTAATGAACGCGGACCGCGATAAGTCGCCCGGAGGCGAAAATCTTTCTACACCCAGGGCCTAGAAATAGACCTCGGGCGAATCCATCGATGCATCGTCGACGTTTGATCAAACGGTCCGGACGGTTCTAGGACCTGGAACGAATCCGACAATAATGACGTTGAGTGCGATGATTTCGGTTTCTCGTGGCACTTGACGGCCGCGATCGAGCATCGGATCGATAACCGAACGATCGTTAGGCAAGTATGAGGAAACTGAAATAGAAGCCATTTCCGACGTGGTCGCCAGGGGTAATTTGTACGGCAACCTATCCATCGTGATCGTCGGATTACGGTACACGGTGAAAGGTCGTCTCTTTCCATGGTATCGACAAACTAGACGTTATCTTTCTTAAAGATAATTCGCGTCGAAGCGTTATTACGATAATAAAGAAATGTACAAATATTCGTTTATTCGTTATTTCCGAATCTTCGACCTCTGATAATGTCTCGAGGCCGCCGTGGAACGGGGCAAATCTCGATCTCCGAGCGGCGTCAAGAACCGCGATATCGGGCAGCGCGTTTCATAGCGGAGAGACAAAGGTGCACGAGACCGACAAGAACGGCGAGGTTGAACGAGGTCAGGGGAGCGAACCACCGAGAACGATTTTTCCTAACGTCACGACGCTAGAAGCGTGTAGAGGGGGAGGGTAATGACGTGATCTTGCATTCGCTCCTATCAGCTTCTATTACCGTCTGTTTCACTAACCGCGGCGACCCTGGTGCGCAGGACTTGCATGAAAATCGCCTAGGAAAATTGCTCGCCCCCCACCGTACAAGTTTCTGGGCTTGGGTGCCCTGGGTGCCCTCGACTCGGTTGGCATCCAGTTGGTATCCAGCGTTCCAGGCAGTCCCAGGTGTTTCAGGTGCGTCTGGGCGCATCTAATGCTCGTATATCGTTCCGAGTTGGTGCATGATGTAAAGGCAATCTGCCCGGGAGGACTCGTCGCGATTTCGCTTTCTTTATCGGTGCTCGGAATGGCTTCGTTCGGAAGATTCAGAGCAAGAAATAATCAGGAGCTCGTACAACATTTAAAGAGCAAGTATTTTTTCATTGGCCGTCTTTGTTAGGTTATAAGCAACCCCAAGGTGAACGCGTGCATGCGTTTGTTGAAAATAACCAAATTTCTCCACTTGGCATGCTACGGCTTGTTCCAACTACTCGATCCCAAGAATTGTGATAACACCCGAATAGTCCCGTTTAAAGATGATACGAGTGGTTTTAATGATATTTCGACTTCTCTCTTCTCGTGACGTGTTACTTTTGATTTTTAGATTCAAGAATTATTAAGTCCAACAGAGTGTACGAAACGATGAACTCCGTGGACAGGGGAAATTATATATCGCCCTCTTACGCGTACATAGATTCACCACAGGGGATCGGCTACGGAGTAACCATTAGTGCACCTCATATGGTATGAAATTCTACCAATTTCTTTACAATATATCATTTTTTCATTTACAAATACCCTGCAGAAGTAATATATTGTATGAACGATCTTGATGGAGCTTTTAGGAACTCGTTACTTTGTTACGAAGAAAGGACCCGTGACCTCTTAGTCTTTTTAAATATTTAATAATATTAACTTCAAAGGTGATATTTCTACTTAGAAAGGGGATCGGTACTGTTTAGCACGCACATGCCTTGGAATTACTCGAAGACAAACTGCAAGACGGCGGCAAAGCTCTGGATGTTGGATCGGGCTCTGGCTATCTGACGGCCTGCTTGGCAACTATGTTGGGTCCGCAAGGAATAGCAGTGGGAGTCGATCACATTCCCGAGTTACAAGAAATGGCTACGCGTAATATTCAGAAAGACAACGCTCAGCTTCTCGAAAGCGGTCGTGTTAAACTAGTTGGTCAGTTGTATAGCATTTATATGTTTATAAGTAATGCGCTATTCCATTAATGCTACAATCTGCAATTTTAGTAATAGACTTTAAATTATTGTAACTCATGAAAATTCTATAAAATCTGAACTATATTGCAAACAAGTTAGTACCAATGCTAACATTTCTCTATTATTATGTTTGCAGTGGGGGATGGAAGGTTGGGCTATGCTACCTACGCGCCATACGACGCAATTCATGTAGGAGCCGCGGCTAAAGAAATTCCACAAGCGGTTTGTAGAGTGTATTTATTTAATCAACGAAAAATAAAAATGACCTTTTTTAACATCAAATTATTTTGTAGTTGATAGATCAGCTTGCTCCTGGAGGTCGCATGATAGTCCCAATGGGTCCAGAAAATTCGGATCAAACGTTAGTTCAAATCGACAAAACGATGGACGGAGAAATTAAACGTAAATCATTAATGGGAGTTGTCTTTGTTCCTTTGACGGACAAAGAACGTCAGTATCGGTCATGAAAGTGGTGTTGCATAGAGTGAAGCCCTTTATTTATTTAATTTATTTATTTCCCCTTATCCAAGTCTCGCCAATTGTTGAGACAAAGCTTAAATAGTTACTATCGATCCAACATGACTGGGAATTCATTCAACTATTGTTATCACATAATTATGCTTCAAATTTATTATGCTAATGAAATTGAGATCTATCGCAAGAGCAATTTAACCAAGTAACTGTAAAGATCTGCACAACGGAGTACAACCTGAATAAAATGAACAAATGATCTGCTGGAATGTTATTGTCTCTTTTAACCAAAGGTCAGTTTTTTATCTTTGTACAATTAATTAGGTATACAAATATACTACAAGCTATTTCCCCCCTTAAATCCCAAGAAGGCAATTGATTGACAGAACGTTTAATGACGTACAAATGCATTTCTCTTGCAGGTGGGATGAAAAAGATTGTTGAATCGGTAGGTAATTATGTTTGAACCCGCGCGGAATGAGAAACATGGAACAGTTTCGATGCTCTAGGTGATACCGACCGCTGCGAAACGCGGGGCTTGGGTACGGTGGTCACTCTGCTTCAGAGATAAATTAGTTCCCTAAGTTGGCCGCCATTAGGGGCGAGTGTTTGAGCCGCCTGTATGCTTCACCGAGGGCAGCACAAGCTATCGCGCACCTTGCCCGCAACAACCTCCCAACTCATCTCTGTCTGCTTTGCTTTGTTTTAACGTTTCCCAAGATACGTCCGTCGTAGTGTCGTCAGTATTCGATAATTCATCCGAGCTCATTCGTATCTATTGTAATGAAAGTGATCCCACGTATTTTCTGGGAAAACAAGCCTCAAGTCACGTTTGACCTCACGAGAATACCGTTCTAGTTACGTCGGAATTGATCGGTTGTTTACATAGAAGACGTTCGTTGAATAACCTCTTCAAACGGAATTATGGTAAGTCACTGTATACGACGTGTATTATGCCGTTATGCACATTCCATTATGGGATTATTTTACAGGCCCAGGAAGTAGAGGAAACAATGAAACGCATTCAATCTCACAAAGGAGTAGTTGGGACTATAATTGTTAATGCCGAAGGTATTTCATGTAGAGTTTGTTTATATGACATTATGGTCTCAAACCATAACTAACTTTTAAACACTCATTTTGCTGATGAAAATGCTTGAAAGTAGCTAATAGTATGTTTAAAAAATAAAAAATAGGTATCCCAATAAAATCTACCTTGGATAATACAACAACTGTGCAGTATGCTGGATTGATAAGTCAACTGTCCGACAAGGCTCGTTCAGTCGTTCGAGATTTGGATCCAACAAATGATTTGACATTTTTACGTATACGAAGCAAGAAGCATGAAGTTATGGTAGCACCCGATAAAGAGTTTATTCTTATTGTCGTGCAAAATCCAGTGGATTAACATGTATGTAATTATAGTTTTATGCTTTATAATAATTTATTAATAAATCATCGTATGGAGAACTTATTAATAAGCCTAAAAACTTACGAAATTTGTTGATAAAAATTATATGTGTAGTCATAAATATGTGGACTTCTGAATTAAACCTTTAATTTCCATCAAATGATTATAAAATTTAGAAATTCTGATCTCACACTTTGAAGTTTGGCATCATTTTGATCTCAAAATCTTTTATTATTATTAAATGATATTTCACAGTGAAATTTAGGAACTTAGAAGACTGAACTTTGACATTTTTGTTTATCAGTAAGCTCCCCAATGCGGTGGTTGGTGAAAAGGAGAAAGAATTGTTTCATTTTGCTTTTCTGCTTCTAAATTTTTATACTATCTCCCATAAAATTTCCTTCACTTTATATTTGAACTGTATTAAAACAATGATTACACATGCTGTGGCTGTATTTGAAGTCTCCCCAAATAAATTTTATTTTTAATTGGTTAAACGAAGCAGAAAAGTATAGGCATTGCATAGAATGAAAATAGTGAAGATTATGAGTAGGGGAGGATACAGGAAGAAAGACATTAACAAGATTTTTATTCATGCTAACGTATAATAATTTATCTTTACTTTAATCATTGTAGAACGAAAATGATACATATAGTGACAAAGGTAAAAAGTTACGTTATACCAAATCTAAAAGTAATTGACTAAATTAAATTAATTAAACGTAACTATATTAATTAATTAATCGCCAATAAGGAATGATCATTGTCCAGGACCGGATAATGATTTGTCCATAAATTTCTTCTTTGCAAAGCAAAGCCACCATTTACTTGGCTTGCCATCCTCTCCATAGATTTTCTCAATGAGTCGTATGCCTGTCTCCTGCCTAATTTGTTGCAAGTATTGCCGCATCAGATCTAAATGGAAGAATAACTTCATTCTTGAAATTTTATTATCATTGCACAAACCGTTATATAAGAAGGCAATTCAAAGAGAACCAGAGATTGAATCTGGATTCCTTTAAGTTCAAATCTCTAAGATAAGAATGGATTGAAAAATAAAATACACCCAAACTGCTTACCCGCTTCAGTTGAATTGACTGGCTTTGCATATACAGAATTTAAAGGAAAACCAGGATCACCGGGTATATCAAATTTAGAAACTGCCAAGGAATACAACTCGCCTAATGCTTGATTTGAAGTTGCACACTTCTGCAACTTTTTCAGACATTCTGTGATATAGAGCGTAATGTAAATCAAAACTCTATCAGCTTCACTCTGGAAAAGGTGGATTTACCGATTAAATAATTGTATACCCTATTGCAAGGAATAGCTGGATAGTAATGAAAATATGTGTTTTGTTAAATTACTAGGGTAAGGTAAACCTACCTTTATCTCGTATGTTCTAAAAAAAACGTTTGCTCTAAATGAATATAAAGCTTCATCAATTATATCAAGCTCTTGATTATTGAAAGTAGGGGCTGGTCCTCTGAAAGATGTCTTCAGTGGCAAAAGAGCCATATTTCCAAGCATTGAATTATTGTCAACAAAAGTCGAGTGATAAGCCTAAAATTGAGTAGAATGTATTTAAAAAAGCCTGTGATCATTTTTCTCGGTACTTGAGAACACGCCCAACTAGTATTGCGTTTAAAAATCTCTTCTTAAATGTAATTTTTATACAATACATGCAAACCGTTACTATGTCATTTTCTAATTTAAAACTGTTTTCCTTGGTTTTTCAATTAATATCAATTTTTGTCAAGATATCTGATATGTGTCCCCATTGATCCAGATATGAATCATGTTGCATGATTAATCGTAAAACATGCTAGTAAAAGACATTTGTAGGAGTAGAACAAATTTGTTAAAACCCAGTCAATGTTGCCTGTCTAGAATTGTGATCTAGGCACTTCAATGAAATGAAAATAAGTGTCTTAAATGGTAAAATTAATTTTGAGCGCATTTCCAAATTTGACAAGAATACTGTATTCTTAAACGCTACGATATACAAAATGTAGACAATATTGCATATGATAATGATAGATAAATTGATAAATACCGGCATTCTTTGTCTTTTTTGGAAACTGTGTAACAAGATAACACTTATATCGTGCAAAAAGTTAAAGAAAATTCAGTACATATGAATGGGATAACTATTTGCACGAATCAAGTAAATGACTATACGAGCCAACACGAGCCGTAGTCAGCCACGGTATAATAGTTAAAGTGGGCTAAAAAGTGGTTATGCTGTAGCCTGGTAGTCATCGACGTTATTTAGCGATGTTTAGCGGTCACGTACCGAAACTGATCCACGCTTGGTATTGACGTGCTCCTTTGACGCTAGATGTCGCTACGGGAAAAATGAGGTGGCGTCATCAGCTAGGTCAACGGTACCTATATACGCAGTTCAGCAAACATCGCAAGCGACGCTTCGATAGGGTAACGCGTAATCACATTTTGGTTCGCCGTGTAGTGAGAAACAGGCTGGCGGCGGCCATCTTGCGTCGAAGATAATTCGGGTTACGTCCATGGCTCTCATCGTTGATCTCGTTTTATATTTTTCTCATTATACGTGCATACAGTAACCGCGGAAACAAAGTCCCGTTTTCAAGTAATTTCCGCCGGGGAGAAACACATGACGCGAATACCTAGTTATTTGGAAGAAAACAGGTAGGGTATTTTGCTTAGCCAATCGTAAGGGAGGTGTCGCCATCTCGAGAACTCGGACCATTGGTCGGCTCCATCGGAAGGGGCCAACGAGAGAGGCGCTCGCCGCGAGGCGCCAGTGTCGCGCTGGACGCAGAGGAGGCTCTCGCGCGGTCGAGTTTCCCGTCCAGCTCGTCGGCGTCCTTGGCCGCGGAGGGCAGTGCGGGGTGGGGCGTCGTTGACGTCACGTTCGGGAACGTCCGGCAGCGCTCGAGTGGCCCGATCTCGCCCGAACGGGTCAATGTCTGAGGAGGCATCGAAAAATCCGTGGGCTGCGTGTGGTGTTCCCGTGCTGCGTCCCGAGTCTCGTCTCGGGCAGAGATTTCCCCGCGGACTCGTGGCGCGACCCTTCGACGCCTCGACCCGGTAGGCTGCTGGGTGCCCTCGACGGATCCCGGGGTCGGCGGCGGCGGCAGCGGCGGCGTTGGAACGCGGCGGCGGCGGCGGCGAGTGTTCGTGGCAGAGGCGCCGAGGGTGGGAAAATGTCGTGCGCGAGAGACTGAAGGTGGTGGTGCGCGCGAGGCGGGCGAGGCGGGCGAGGCGAGCCTTGGACAGGCACGGGACGAGGCCCGACTTGGATTCCAGGAGCGGCGACTCCAGTTGGCGCGGGTGAACCTCCGAAGCGGCCGCGGCGCGCCGCGAGAGCGACGAAGACGCGCGTAGCCGGGCTCGGGCGGAGCGAGCGAGAGGAGGCGAGCAGCGGCTGCGGCGGCGGCGGCGGCGGCGGCGGCGGCGGACGGACCCGACGACGACGACGCCGCGGCGACCCGGTCGAGGCGCCCACGAGGAACGTCAGGCGGCGACAGCGTCGCGACCCCCGGGACGAGGACGGCCTCCGGGTCGGCGCCGCTACTTAGGCACGGCCCCTACGACCCGTCCCGAAAACGTCGACCCGGCGCCCCTTCGCGCGCACGGCCTAGTCGCGGTCGCCGCCTCCCCGGCGGCCCCGACGGCCCCGACGGCGGCTCCGACAGCGGCGCGACCCCGCGGACGAGCTATGTGAGCCGCTCTTGCCGTTCATGTCCCACGAGGTCCCCCGCCGACCCGCCGACGCGAGCAGCCAGCCGGAGCGCATGCAGGACCAGGAGCGGAGCAGGATGAGCATCAGGCCCAGGACCACCTCCTTCGCCGAGGGTAACAAGCCCCCGGCGAACCCTCCCCTTGGCGGCATGAAGATCAGCAGTGAGTACCTCTTACACCTGGACGAAGCGCCCTAGACTAAGTCGACACTCTAGGGATCTAGATTAGAAGTCATCGGAGCACGGGCAGGTAGGAAGAGGTTAGGAACGTGGCAGTGTAGCCTACCTTTCCAATTTCCCTTGGAGATCGACTCGACGGGGTACAGGTTCCAGGAAGGTCGGGACGATACGTCCCGAACCGCATGGCTATTTTTTTATTTTATGGATGGTCGGTGTTAGAAGCAGGTAGTTTTTATCGTTGCCATTGTTTCAGTGCTTTAGAGCAAGGAAGAAAGTCAGGGGATGGGACCGCTCTTTGTGGATCGTAGGTTACTCGGACAACCTGAAATTTTGAACGATGGATCGAGTTCGAAGATTTCATTAATCGATCATAGGTAGAAAATTGACATGTCGATTCGTAGCTGCTATAGTGGTCGTTGTGCAGTTATTATCATTTTCGGTTGAATCGTGAAAGGGGGATGGAACCTCAGTTCGAGAGTCGGTCTCCTCGGAAACCTTCCTTTTAGTCTCCGATACCTCTGCGATAGGATATATCGAATTAAAGATGCTCGAACGCAAGGCCTGGAAACAAAGGGAAAACGGAAAGGGGGAAAAGCAGAGAGGCAGGTCCAAAGTGGAAAAAAAGAGAAACTCCGGTTCGTTGCAAACTACCTAACTTTTTCTCTCCGTCACGTGGTTCTCTCGGGGGAAATAGCTCGCCATCTTTGGAATTTTACGGGGAAAAACGAAGCCTCCGTCGCTCTATTAGATTCTCGCGGAGAAACGGGGTAGCCCCTTTCGCCGTTGACTCAATAATTTATAAAGGAAGACGGCCGGCCCGCTGGAAACGACTCCGCGTCGAGTAAACTGAAAATGCTGGCCACTCAGGAAGTTGGCCTCGATTGCTCGCCGGAAAGATAAGCAAGGTTCAACTTTGAACTTTGCCCGAAAAGCTGCGACGTTCGGCTTCTCGTTTCTCCCTGGGAAATCGGGATGGATTCCGAATTGGTCCTGCCCCCTGAATATCGATGCAACTCGCGGAACCCCCGCAATTTCCCCCTCTCCCTCAAACGTCAACGCGCACGTGCTCGATGACGCATTGCACCGAATTAAGAACGATCTCTCCGTTAACCCGCTACCGACGAACATACCTATCTGTACGATAATGTAACAATTATGCGACGACGGTCGTTTAATTAATTTATTACTATTAATGCTGAAATTCCAGGACGCTTAACGTCCCGTAGAAAGAAAAGTCTCTCCTACAAGGTGAGCGCCGACGTGCGCTCGCATGAATAATTATTACCCCCGCGGGGGGTCGTTATCGGTCGACGTCGTTATCGTCGGACAATCGCATCGCCACCGTCTAACGCGACGGTTGAATTTCCGTGATGTGCCGTTCTCTGCCAAATGAAAGGGACGACGTAGCCGCGACGGCGGCGAAAAATGTGGGGAAAACGTAGAAAACGCGAAATTCCGCGGCGCGTCCCTCCGTCTCCCTTTTTTCGCGTTATCGCGACGCGTCGAATTCGCTCGGCTCTTTCATGTTCCCGCTCGGCGGTTTCTCGCGTTCCCCCTTTTTCCCCCCGTTCCGTCCATATACGCGATGGGCCCCGAAGTGACGCACCTCCTCCTTCCTGCTCCCCCCACCCGGGAGATGCGCCCTCCTCTTTCTCGGGGGCGTCGCGTCTCCCCGCGTTCCCGACCTGTCCCACTGGGTGCGGATCCGCGGAAACCCGAGTCCCCTTGGCGGCAGCCTCCTCGGGGCCGGGCCGGCCGACTCGCCGCAGAATGATCGCATGACATATTCATGCGTCTCACACTCTGCGGCCGGTTCGCGCGAACTGGGTCAATATCCTGCTGTCACTTCGACGGGGCGGCCTCTCGACGTCGAGCGTCCGCTCCTGGAACCGGCGCCCTTTGTCCAAACATCGTCCATTGGTTTTCAACGTCGCGCTCCTCCAACGGTGATAGGGAAGCTTGCGCCTGGAAAGGAGAGCCGGTAATCCTGCCTGGCGTTGGACCGTCCCATGGATGGTCCAACGTGCGTTTTGTCCGGCGTCTCGTCATCGGAGCCTCGCTCCGGTTTACGATGCCTGGGTCCCTTAATTATGAATCGATCCCGGATATCCCGTGGAGGAGCCTGCGCGTCGCGGACTCGAAGTCTTCCCTTTTGACTTTTTCCCCGGCCCTGTCTCGACGCGGCTGACCGAAAACCGTAACTCCTTAATGGTAATCGATAATCGCCGCAATTTGCGCGAAAGCGAGATCCCGGACTTTCGCGCAGTGCCCGGGTCTATCCGCGACACGTGCATACCTGGCCGTATGTAAAATCGTCTCCCCTTATTTTTTATCCTCGCTCTTTGGCACGTGCTCGTCGGGGGGTAACGGGATTAAGGTAAACTTCTCCCCGTTCGATACTTATCGAGTGGTCTTCTTCTTTTTTTCTATTTTTTTTTTTTTGTAAGACTTCGAGGGAACACGTGCCCCCTCCGGGTTGTCGGCGTCCCTTTTGTCCGTCCCTCGTAGGACGTTGTAGAAAAAAAAGAAAAATTCGTCCCTAAAGCCGCCGATCGATCCTCCCTGGAAATTAGCGCACTCACGCAGCGTCCCCGTCCGCGCCGATGGCTCATCCTCGTGGGGAGTACCCCGGAGAACGACGAAACGTCCGCAACGTGCGTCCACTCATTAGGTAACCGCTAATTATCGGGAAATTGCGCGAACGCGACTCCGATCGACCGTACCCTCGTGGCCTTCTAATCGGGGCCCGAGGAGCGCCTTAAGAGTTCCGGGCGCGTAACTCGCGTTATCGGCGCCGACGTACGTGCCCCCCCCCCCTCTCCCCCTCGCCGGACGACGTCGACGTCGACCGAGTCGCCGGATAACGTGGAATTATGAGGTCGGGATCGGTCGCGATTGCTCACCGCGAGGCACCGTGCCTGCCGCCTGCGCGTCTCCGCCGATCGATCGAATCCGCGTGCTAAACCTAATCGATACTCGAAGCTCGCTCCTCTCTCTCTTTCTCGGGGGAACTCGCTAAACGGCGGAGGCCGCCTCGCCGCCACTTGCAAAATTCCTGAATATTCATATCTAGACGGAGATGAATGTATAAATGTTTGGATGCCTCGAGGGTCTCGACGAGCTCCGGGGGATGCGCCTCCACCAGATCGATCGGTATCGATGGCTCGACCTTGCCGAGTCCTACTCGGAACCTATGATTTTACTCGGGGTGGATTTTATTACATAATTATTCCGATTTCGTGCCAATCTGCAAATTTTTTGGCAGGTTGATAGCGTTATCGAGGCTCGATAGGTGAT